ATGAGGAGAGTCCACTGGTGCAATTAAGATTCCCTCAAGCCCACTTTATATATATTAGTCTAGGAAAGCCCCAAAAGAAAATGTCCAAACTTTTTTTTTTTCATGAGCCAATACAAATAAGCCCAAGTCAACTTTGAATATTTTGTCCACCCAACATATGTTTGGTGGAGTCATTCTATAGTAGGAGCCTTATATATAGCCCTTACGTGAGGTCTTATCTTTTAATCGTTAGATTAGACTAGCCAATTTAATCTAACAGCTAAATAATTTGATCCAACAATTAAGATATAGAACCTTACTTAAGGGCCATATATAAGGCTCTTACTATAAAATTCTTTATGTTTGGTGATGGCGAGGATTGTAACCTTTTGTTCTTATCTGATTTTTTTGTTTTTTTTTGGAGAGATTTGTTTGCTGAATTTTTTACTTGCAAAAGAAGGGAATGGGCGAAAAAGAGAGAAGTCACGTGCTCACAACATGTCTTATTTGATTAAAATATGAATGAGGGTACAAGATTAGGGTGTATAAGAACTCCTTTAATTTGCAAATTTCTCACTTTTTTCCCTCTAATTGAAAAACACCCTTCAACCCAAAACCATGCCCATTTATTTCCATCTCCAACTTCCCTCCAAACTACCATTCCTGACCAAAGATCTCTATACAAATAAATAGCCCCATCACTCCCTACACACTTTGTACTTCCCCAACTTCCCCTTTCCCCTAAAAATCTCATCTCCAATTCACTTGGCACCTTCTCAACCAAAACCCAAACGTCTCCCTCCCCAAGCTCCCATATACAAACTCCCAAAACACATGCTCCTCCGCCGACAATTGTCAAGCTCCCATTGCGCGAAACCAGCACGGCGAATTCCAGCTCGTCCGCCACTGGCACACTCAGCTCCCTCCACATGTTCGACTCAATCTCATATCCCATCAAGCTGTAGGCCCGGGCCGATGTCATCCAATACAAAACCCCATCACAATACACACTCTCCTTCGGGGTCCAAACTGTTAGCCTCACCGCAAATTCCATTGGCATGGACCCCACAATTCGCCACGTGTCGAGCTGCGGATCGTACATTTCTAATGTGGGCTCGTATGTGGCGCCCCCGCTGGATGCCTCGGACATCCCGCCTGCCACGTACACTCTAGAATTCAGAAATGAATTTCTTGCGAATGGAAGCGTTGAAAGGTGTACAACGCCGACAGCCGGGTTGGTCCTTCTGATGTTTAACGTTGGGAAGGGCTTGTACTGCCTAGTAAACGGGTTGCACATACCCAGCCGGAGAAATGTGGAGTTAGAGGGCCTCAGCAAGAGGAGGCTCTCAAGTGGGCCCACAGGCCTAACTGGGTCCGGCAAGAAATCCAACGGCAGCACATACCAATTGTTGTTGATGGGATTGAGGGCATAGCAGCAGAGGCCGTGGTTGTGCAGCGGCAAGGCTATGAACCAGGGAGGGTGAAAATTGTGCAGCAAAAATGGGCTCTTCGTGAGGCCATGAGGGTAGTGGTTATAAGTAGCTGTGGTGCAGGCACAGGCTTGCCAATGTCTGCATGTTGACTTGGCGCATGCAAAAGAGTCAGCAGAGAGGAAGGAGAAGATGTTGGTGAGCAGATCGGAGGGGAGGCTGCTCCACATAGCGAGAAGGAAAAATTTGTGGAATAGTAAAATTTGAAAGGTTCTGTAGAAATGTGGAGGATCTTATAGTTGCAATAATTGGAGGTGAATTATTTGAAGGGCATATATTGACGTGGGGATGCGTGACCCACATGAGATATCAAAGTATAAAACGTTATCTGATCTGGCCCACATGTGACAAGTTGCTTGATTGAGCCACCAAGGGACAAGAGAGACATCAATGAAATTGGACGATCTCTCTTCGCTTTTGGCTTCACTCTTTCTTGACAACCCCTTCTTATTCAATGATTTAATCAAGCACTAAACTATTATATTATATTATTAATTGTTAGTGGAGGCGGCTTGATACAAATTATGATATGTAAGTTAAGTTTCGTATCGGAGAATAAAATAATAATTTATATTTTAAATACAAGTAGTCTATTTTTAATTGTATCGAGACCTTTTAAGTTAAAATTTTGCATTTAGATGCCCATTGAGCCTAACCCAAAAGGACCTGTTAACACAACTGAGAGAAAATGACATTTATGATCCTTACACTCAACTAGGCACTTTCCATAAATTATATGGTTATTTGATTAGCTTAATTGGGCTGAAAGTGACAGATTTAATTGTTATAGTAACCAACCTTATAAAAATTGAGTTTGTGATGCCTATCATCAACCAACTCAATCAGAGAATAGGCTGCTTTCAACAATTAATTTTAAATAAGTGAGGAATTTGAAACTTGACTTCAATTTAATTTTTTTGGTAACTAATATGAAACTTAAGTTGATTAAGGTAACATGTGGCCTTCTTTAAATTAATCAAAAATATCTTTCATTATTCAAACGGTTTGTGATATAAGAGCATTTCCACTCATTTGTCATGATAAAAGACAAGGGTTGTTACTATTCACATGAATAGTGCCCTTCATAACAATTTTTTTTGTTGGTTTTCCACCCATTGCCATGGGAACCCAAAGGCAATCACTATTAACATGAGATATGAGGAGATGAATTTGTATAGAGTATTGATGTGGGAAACGAAGAATATGGCTAGATATTTATGAAAAAAAATTATGAATTTTTTGGTTTTTTTATTATTTTTATTTAAATTTTGTTGTTGTTACTGACATCATCATTGACGTCATAGCCTCTTAGGCAACAGTTCGGGCTGTTCTTGCCTTCGAGCCTGCCAGGTCTTGGTGGATCCCATGCCTTACCTGGGCTGTTTTGTATTACTGAAAACGACTTGAAGGGCCTAGGCCCCCTCTTGCCTGAGCTGGGGGGTGCAGTGAAACTGCTCTAATTGGACCATAACCATAGCCATAGGTGTTAATTAGTGTATGAAATGATTGTAATCTTCATCTTTTCTGCTCTCCATAAAAACTTTAAAATAAAATAGAATAAATTTTTTGAGATTAGTTACATGACTCAAAGAAGATGTGTTTCATGTTATTCAATGTGATTCATCCACATGTATGGTTTACTTCACTACATACGAATCAAATTAAAATATTTCTTATAGTATTAATAAGCGCATAAATAACTATCAATCGTTGAAGCATATAAATCAAACAATACATCAACAATTAATAGTTATTCGCTCACGTTGGCAACTATATGCTTATTCATCTTAAAAGACATAGTGCAACTTAAAAGGAATATCTTACCTGCTTATCAAAATTAGTAACTACCGCGTTAATCATGGCAATCACTTAATTGCTAAACTCAAGTACACATGGTTGATGCAACTTTCTTATATTGTATCAATAAAACGCCCACAATCACGGTCTTAATTAATTGATTTTTCCTGCATAGGGTCCCTTCACTCAAGTGTCAATGATCCTCTGTTTCTTTATGAAAGATCTGAAATTCTTTGTGCGATTGGTGCTGGAAGAAACATATATCTGTATCACATGCTTGGGGCTTCTCAATTTCCGGGAATTCGAACCAGGTGAACAAACATATCTGCATGACATGGTTGTCTTACTTGGGGGAGGCTTGTCTCTGTGGTCCTATGCTGATGATGAGCAAAGAAATGGCACCGGTGGGGATGCTCAGCATAAACTTTTGGGGGACTTTGGAAAAGACCAAAAAAGAGAGAATTTTTAAAATAAGTCAAAATGGACAAAATTGTCTTGATTTATTTTTGAATTTCCTAAGGAATCCTTTACATTTGCATGTTTTTGGTTTGAAAGTTGAGAAGTTTTTCTGTCTTTTTTGAAAAAGTTTTAGCTTTTTTCAAAAGTGAAATTTTGTGTGTGGCTAAAACCTAAATTTACTTAAACTTTTATCCTCTTTTGCTTGTACTTGATGATGCTTTCCAATTAATGAAATCCATTGTGTTTGATAATAATAAAATAAAATTATTGACAAAGTAGGTTAGGTCCCTTGTATCCAAGTTTGAGTCTCCTTTATCATAAATTAGATTAATTTAGAATAATTTAGACTATAATTTATATTAAAAGAAAACACAGTTGACATATATCCCATCAGAAATACTCAAAAGACTTGTTTCTTTTACATAAATAGGCCCTCAATAAAGAGCACGAAAATGCTAATACTAATTCATGGGTTTTGTTAGATATGAGTTTATAATTGCATTGAAATAGGGCATTGATTTGCAGACTAGAGGCCTTAGATTCGAACTCTTATGACATTTTAATTGTGTGTAGGGGTAGGCATTCAAATCAGAAAATTGGAAAACAAAGCCAAATTGGACCCAAAAAATTGGAAACAACTGGGTTAACCAAAAATCGAATCAAGTTGACAAAAGATGAACCAACCAATTTGGTCCAGTTTCGATTCTAATTTTTGTATTGAAAAATCAGACCGGACCAAACCGGATCGACTGTGTATTTTTTAATAAAATATTTAACCCCAATGTTAAATTTCTGAACCCATAACTAATCTTTCTCCAAGCCTAACTCTAAATCACCTCTCTTTTCTAGGCCCAATCACCTCTATTTGCATAAAATTGGACCATTTTAAGCCCTAAAAATAAAATTTTAGTTAGATTTTGTAAAAAAAAATTTCAAACAAAATAAAGATTCCGGTCCAAAACTGGAGGGTTTTTTTGTCATACTTTTATGAATACAAAGTCAAAGCCCAAATTATTGAGTGTATTGACTAGTATTATAGGATGGGCTTTATGTATTATTAGAGCCCACTATAATGATAAGACAGTTTTTGTTTTTGAGTACATAACATAAGACAGATTTTTCAGAAAATCGAAAAAAAAAGGAGAAACTTAATGCGACCAAAAATAATTGTCACTAGGTCAATGTGCAGGGTGCACTCCGTTCCCACAGCGTCTTCCCCTTCCCTTCGTAATCTGTACGGATCCTCTGGGCAACCCATTAAAAAACTTCCTTGCCATGGCTTCTTCGAAGAAATGGGCAAGCATCATATCTTCCATTGCTTCATGTGTATATTTCCTTGTCATTATCCTTCAAGTTCCTCTTTTCAGGTAATTTCAGTTTTGTCTTATTATTCTCTCAATTTCAGTTTATTTTCCCTTTTTCTATAGAACATTACATGCCTAAAAGAGAAACACATTCAAAGGCCTGGGCTCTAATGACAAATTCTTCCTACATGTTGAGTTCATATGTTAGAAAATTTTACTTACTACCTAGTTTGCTTGTTACAATGAATATGGGCTCTCTTCTCTTTGCCCTAGTTTTAATGGGTTGGATATTATATGCAACAACAGATGTATTAAGTCATATACAAATCCATTATGAAACTGCTTTATTTTCATTTGTGAAATCTGGGTTGTGGGTTCTACTCATTCAGATATTTCTTTGGGTTACATTTGCACAAATGGCAAACTACCTACTGCAAAATGATCATAAAGAAATCATAACTAGCACAACCTTTTTTTTTATTTTTTTTGTTTATCAATTTCCTGAAGTGGGAACCATTTCAGAAATAGTAATCATTGATTTTTTCTTTTTCTATTTAAATTGTAATCATTAATTGATGTGGGAGTTAATATTAATTGCTAAAGTAAACAGGTTAAAATGGGAACAATACCTCTTCACTTGGTATTTGAAATCTTGGGATTTATTGCAGACATGTGCTTAGCCAAGTTGGCTAGAGTGGACGTGCTCCCCACTCTGCATCGGAGTTTGAATCCCTCTCCCTGTAGTTTAGATTAGTTTAAAATAGAATATTAAAAAAAAAAAAAAAAAAAAAAAAATATGGGATTTGGGATTTTGGTGGCTTTAGTACTTATGCCACTAAATTCTTCCTGCTTATCGTCATTCATCCTCTTCTTGATATGAAAATATGCTTCCATCCAAGAACTAACAAAAGGAAACAAACAATTATGTTAGGCATCCAATATATTTTCAACACTGAAACATATTGTTCTCCTTGCTCCACAGGGTCCCCTGCACAGCTGGAATATGCAGAACACCAATAGAGGTAACATCCTCACAGTTAATTGCATGTGAACTTTTCCCTTTAGTTGTAGTGAAAGCCTTACTTTACCCTGGGGCCTTTGCAAATGCATTGATAAAAAACAGACCAATCCCAAGCTATGATAGCTTGAAATTGTATAACTTCACCAATGTGAAGGCAGCTGATGCAATCTCTGAGCTCCAGCGCCTAGAGGTTAGTATATCCATAACAATCTCACTCAATATCCTGTGTTATATCTACCAAAACTTTATTGTATTTTAGTTTTAATAAGGTGAACTAAGTGGGGTTTATGTGTCTTATAGTATATATATTGTGATAATTAAACCATAGGTTCTTCTTCCAAATACTGATAAAAATGCAACAAGACAAGAATTTACAGCTATTTGGTAACTTTTTCTCCTATCATACCAGATAAGGAATAATGCAGTAATAGAGCATTTTGAATGAAGAGAAAAAAAAGGAAAAGAAAAAGAGTAAGTACATGATAGGTTAAATATTGTTCTAGTTTTTCTCACTATGGCCTGCACCAGGTTCTTGCTGGAAGCTACTTATCAGTGGCAGGAGCACTTCTAGGTCTCATTAAACCGGGGAGAATGAGCCTTTGCGGTATGCTTCTGATCATATGGGGCTTAGTTAGGGAGATCATTTTGAGAAAATCAACTAGCACAACTCATGTGTATATCTACCCTGCAATGTCAATTGCCCTGTTTTCTGCCTTCTTGTCTATAACAAAGGATGTAAGGAGGATAATTCGTAGTTGCAGACGTCCGCGGAATGTAAAAGCAAAACTGTTTTAAGCCTGCCTTCGAAATTCAGAATTTTTTTAAAATCTTCTTTCAGTTGTATCCTTCCTTTTTTCCCCCCATGAAAAGGACTACTTGATGTAAATGAGTCTTTATCTTTCTCTACTGTAAGTATAAAGAAAGGAACAGATTTGTTTCTATTGCATTCAGAAAGCAATTTTCCTGTTAAAAATGGATGAAATTACAGAATACATGGTGCCTGTGGACCAGATGCTGCCATGTCTTACTATATAAGCAAGGTTTTTGTGGTTAGAATCGCTTGGTGGGGTTTAGAGGCAATCATATGCACATGGCATTAAGTATAGACTTTGCAAAAGCATTTGGCAACCACTGTTGACCTTACTGATTAAAGAACCAATAATCTTTTTCTGGTTGATAATATTGTCTGGTTTCATGTGGGGAAACCAGAAAGGTGGTTAGGTGCTACTTTGTCCAAATAATGAAGTTCATTTCAAGTTGCAACTTGCAAGTATCCAATTTTTCTCAAGCAATTAGTTTAGGTGATTGAAACAAAACATAAAAAGAACAGAAAAATAAAGTTCAACGATGTTATTATTATTATTATTATTTTTTTGTGTAAACAGATTTCATTAATTTTTTTCTAACTTATTTACAAAAATGAAAAATTACAAGACTACAATCACGCATGCCAACCCGAACCCTCATCAGTTCATGCTTAAAGGAAGTTCCTCTCGTATGAGCCGGAAGAAAATCGCGATGTTAAAGCTTGATTCATGTTTTCTGAATCCAATTTTACTCTCTGTCTCCCCCCTGCCAAATCCTTCTCACGATCCCAAGGCTTCCACGGATGTTTCCCCACCCAGTCCTCCTCTCTCTGTTGTTTCTTGGATTTTCTCTTTGAACGCTTTGCAGTCTCCTCTTTGTGTTTTCGCAAAAGTGATTTTGATCGTTTTTCTTTATCGTATTTGTCTACCAAATCTCCATCTGAAACCTTCCTTTTCTTTTCCTCCGCATTTGAAGCAAAGGCTGCAGCCTCATTACTACTGTTAAATCTTGTCGATCGCCTGGGAGGCATACCGTGTTTCCTTTCGGATGGCAGCGTTGTCATCCACTCATCTCTTTTTGGTGCCACCTTAACATCCATCATGTCTGCTAGGAGCTCATCATCACCCTCCATGCATATTCCTTGTAACTTTCTCCACTGTGCAGACTCACGCATTGCCTTCAACTCAACCATAAATTTTTCGCGTTCCTCCTTTAGTTGAATTTTGTCATCCAGCACTTTCCTCTTATCTGGATCATGTAATTCTTTGAAAGCTTTGTTCAACTTAACAAATGCTTGTTGAGCTCGAGGATGCGAGCATTTATCAGGGTGCACCAAAAGAGACATCTTCCAGTACCTTTTCTTTTATATTCTCAGCTGACATATTTTGGTTGGCTCCTAAGATATCATATAAACTATCATCCGCAGAATCCATGATCCTTGTAACCTCTTCAAACCGCTCAGCTTCATTAGCTGATTCATTTTCAGCAACCACGGCAGGTGGTGGAGGTCCTATAAACACTATCTTCTTCCAACACAGCTTCTCTGAGCTCAGTCTGTGCTTCTGTCAGTTTGGCTGCAGCAGCAGCACCAAGTAACTCAGCTGATGGCAACGAAGGGCTAATTATCCTTCGTTTAGGACCAGTATCATCTTCCTCAATGCATCTGCTCGAGCTGCCGGCAGCAGGTCTGGCCATGCCGCAGCAGTGGCGCGCGATTGTAAAAAGAGAAGAGGAGAAGAAGAGATACAGAGAGCAGAGAAGAAAGAGAGAGGAAAGATAGCAGAGGGCGTTGAGAGAGTGACGAAGGAAGAAACACTAACAATTTAATTTAATTTAATTTTTATTTTGCTAAGAAACCTTTAATATTGTTGTTATAATAAGTAAAGAATATAAAAGAGAGAAATATTTGAGGGAATTGTGAAAGCGTTCTCCCCTTCCTCATAAACTCTTATTTATAGGGAATCAGGTGATTAGAGATGAGGCCATCTAATCTCCTAGTTATACATGGATTCCCATTTTAATATGGAAAAAGGATTTTAGCCTTTTTAGAAGCCACATTATTTATAATTACAATAACAATAAAACTTGTCCGTCCCAAAATTATATTAATTTAGTCTAAGATGGAGTGTGATAACATTGATAGAATTTTAATCCACTCTAATTTATCTTCCACATAAAAAAGTGTTATAAATTCACCACTTTTTTATTTGCATAAATTTCGTCTACATTAATAGAATCCACCTCTCAATATTTTTTTTCACCGAATTGAAAGAATCTCACAATCACAAACTGAAAGACGGACAAGAAGACTTTCATACTTGAGATGATGAAATGGACCCCCGGCCCCAGGATCAAGTTGCAAAACATGCACAGCCGCACAGCTAACGCAGACACGTGTTGTCTGAATACGTTAAATCATATTATTTGTTACAAAATCAGTGGCTTCCATTGGTTCAGGGACAAACAAGGCTTCATTTGTTTAAGGGCTGAACATGATGTAATGCCAACTTTGATACTGTTAGAGGCACAAACATTTGTCCCATTTGTTCCATTGATGAATTATGTCTTTCTTGTGGGGCCCCCCAAAGCAAATAGGTCCATTTGGTGATAACAATCCCCAAACCCTGGAAAACATGTACCTTGGTCTTTTGTTCTTCTTTGTAGCTGCCATCATAGAGAGAGAAATACAGAGATTTTTGGGGTTTTAGAGTCGGGTTTTGCCTTTCTCAGTTTAAGAAACAGAAAGGAGAGAGCCATGGATTTGCTTAGCCAGACTTGGTAGTTTCCTTGGGAGTAAGTAAGCTACAATTCAGTGATTGCATTTACTGCATAATTCTAAAACCAGATTCTGCTTTTTGGTGAAGTTTGAAATGTATACAGAATTATAAGCTTTTAGCAGTGATTTTGGACTTTTTGGTGTGGATTGATTGATGGAAGCAATGTCTTTGTGCACTTGGAAATATCCTTTCTGCAAATTGGGCTTTGTGAATACCCATAGAACCCTGTATAGGACAAGGTTGAATGTTGGTCTAGCTTTAAGTCCATCCCCAGTGCTCTTACACACAGATGGAAGTGGCAAGTTTCAAGAGTATAAGAAGGGTTCTGGTTCAAATACAGTTGGTATAATAGGAGGGTTATCTGTTAATTCTACTCTTAATTTTTTGAGAAACCTTGTTAACTGGAGTTCAAGAGATGGAGAAAGTTGTCCTCCTTTTGTTCTTTGCTCTGATCCTGCGTTGAATAAGGAGCTGTTATTGATTGAGAGACCTTCTTTTCCTTCTGTTAGCCGTAAAAATGAAGGTACAGAATTGGATCCTACTCTGATTGTGGAGAATTTGAGGAGTAAGAGGATTTATCTTGAAAATTCAGGATCTCGTTGCATCGTAATGCCTTGTCATATTTCACATTCTTGGCATGATCAAATTTCAGAGGGATGTTCTGTTCCTTTCCTTCACATGGGTGAGTGTGTTGCCAGGGAACTCAAGGAAGCAAAGTTGAAGCCACTTGAAGCTGGGAGTCCTTTGCAGATTGGAGTGCTTGCAACCTATGCAACTTTGAAAGCAGGATTCTATCAAGAGAAACTGCGGAATGAGGTAATTCGATTCTGCATATTTTCTTTCAGATTATCCATTCTTGTATAGGTGGGACATGGTCCTGGAAATGGTCAATCTGTTTATAACAGATGACCAATTCCCCAGGAAGAAAACAGATGTTTTATGCAGACATGTCAAATGATACTGCTGCAGAAGATCATGGTTTTGAGGGAATTGGATATCCAATGTAATTTAGGTTACATCACAAGAGAGATGAGCTTACTAGTTTTCTTAATAGGATTTTAGAAAGTTCACACACACACCATTCTTGGCCATTCTTTCTTTTTTTCTTTAGTGAAAACACTCCCCATTCTTTTGATTAATTAGGGTAATTTAGGTTTATATTAAGACTTTGTGTCATTTTGCTGAAAATTTTGATTGAAATGGAAACACTGAAATTTCAAATAGCATCCTGTTCTTGCCTGTGCCTGCTAAAGATGGCTATTTTGCAAGATGGTTATAACTGATACTGATTAGAATTGTACATTTTTATTGCTACATCATGTCATGGTATTCTTTTGACCACTCATTAAGTGCAGGGTTTTGAGGTTGTTCTGCCAGATAAAGCAACCATGGAACACACTGTAATCCCTGCTTTGGAAGCCTTAAACAGAAAGGACACAGAAGGGGCACAGAATCTCTTGAGGATTGCAGTCCAGGTTCTTCTAGTGAGGGCTGCTAACGCTGTAATTCTTGCCTCCGATGATCTGCAGGATCTTCTTCCCCCGGATGATCCTCTTCTTAAAAAATGCATTGACCCTATGGATGCATTGGCCTGGTCAACCATAAAATGGGCTCAATCTGCTAAAGAAGGTACATAAAAGAGAAAACAGTTCCTCCTACTTGAATCTTGATATTAATGTACAATATATTACTTCATCAATTAAATGTTGCCCCTGCATTCTTTTGTAGTGACTTTGTGAATTAAATGTTATTCGAATGACGAAAGAACTCTTTGAAGATTACCAATGAAAGAAGTAGCTCATACTAATCCTTTCATATTAATCCTTAATTTTATTAAAATGGCTCTGGTTAAACATGGTATTTGACCATACTGCCGCAAGGAAATGATGAAAATCCTAGATTTATATTGTGTGCCATCATGGTAAAAGCAAAACCCTTTACAAATCCAGCATCTATTTCAGCCTTAAAACTTCCTACTTTGACTTCTTAATTCTTTTTTGAAGATGGTCTTTAAAGATCCTACGATACGTCAAATAATGAGTAAAAATACAGGGGAGCAAGCTAGGATCACTATCTCCAGCAGGGCCTTTGCTATCCCAGAGCTTACTTTCTTTCCTGTTCTAAATTTCCTATTATGTTGTGGTAAAATCCAATATGCTATAGTGAGTTATGGTGGGTAAAAATGGTGAGGAAGGCAGCAAAGCAAGCAAGGGTGCAGGATTATTTAGAAATTGGTACTCTAGGGCCTTGAGATTGAAAGTCCTAAAAGGGTTGTATCCTCCACATTCAGACTTTCTGAAGCTAATTACATTTGCAGGAACTATGGACAAGACACTACATCTCATTGACATATATAACACACAATAACAATCTAGTCTAAATAAAATTGTTCTGTCGATTTTTCAATCATACATATAATTCTCATCCTTGTATATAGTCGATGAGAACTGTGGGTAGTGTTTAAAGCATTCAAGGAAACAAAATATCTGGTTCTTGTTTTACTGCAAAGACACACACACACACACATATATATATAGAATCTTTCGTTTCAGTAAGTAAAAATATCTACTGTTAATGATTCTTGCATCTGTTGTAGCAGGCTCCAAAGTAGCTTTCCACTTTAGCCATACATGTCACATAAAGAATAATAATGATTAAATTCGAATCAATTTTACGTCATCGTACGCTTTTGATTATAGGTTCCTGCATCTTTCCATATTGTAGATAATTAAGTTTATATCAATCCCGTGATATACATTTTCATATTTGTGTAAGGAATCTCAGTGAGGTTCACATGTATAAAGTCATTATTGTTATATGTTATTTCACACATGAATACAATCCTTATGTAACTTGCAAGGGTGGGCGCGGTCCGGTTTGGTTTTGTTTAGGACTAAAATCGTAAACTGAATCATTGTAACATAACGGTTTGGGTTAGTTCGGAGCAGGGCTCAAAATAGTAGCATAACCAAACCAGTCCATTTAGTGACTAGTTGAGTCAGTCATTACCCTTGCAACTAAATAAATATTCTATCCTCTTTTACTTATATCAAAGGGAACTCAATTGAACCAGTTGAGAAAACTTTTTATCATAGAAGACAGAAATTTTGAAAGATGTCTAGAGAAAGAGGCCTAGGGAAGCTTACCAGTTGCAAACTGGGTGCTCAAGGACTTTGTACAACCAAATTCTATATATACTAAAACCCAATGCAACTAAACACTGTAGCTAAGCACAATGAATTTACGAAAATGTCTTTATTTTAAACTGTTCAACCAGCTCCTTCTCTCCCTTTGCACAGTAAAATCGTGGTTTTGCCCTTTGGCTGATTGTTTTGTGTTTTTCCCGTTTTGCCCCCTCTTTCCTTTAGATCTAACTATGCAACTGTTTCTTCTTGAGAGGCATCTGGTTCGATTTCAACTGGCTGGTTCGACAACTTCAGGGGCAAAGATGGGAGATCGGTTCTTACACAAAAGGAAAACTCTTCCCTCTCACCATTTTTTTCTCCTTCAAACTCTCCTCTCTCTCCATGATTGGATTTCTTATAGGCCTGTAATTCAGCCGGATCGGATCGGAAATAGCCATTCCAATTTCCGTCCAACTTTTTTTCTCAAATCCCAGACCCAAAAATGGAACACCTCGCTGCTTCTTCCTTTCTCTTTTTGCCTTCTTCTGTGAGACCCACTCCGACGCCAACGCCATAGCCTCCACCACAATCAAACCTACCACAGCCTCCATCCACCATTCCTCCACCTAATAACTCAGCATTTTCACACAATATGAATTCAACATCTCCAAAGACAGGGCACAAGTATCACTGTCAAAGAGAACACAATTAAACCCAATCACTCAACCAACCAATCGAACCCAAAAAAAATAAGGAGAGTGGAGGAAGAAGAAGAGATAGAGGAGCCATGGAAGAGAGAGAGGAAAGAAAAAAAAAAGGTGCGGCGGCTGCAAATGAAAAAAAAAAGAAAAAAAAAGAAAAAAAAGAAGAAGTGTTACTTAGGGTTAAGAACGTGAGTATTGGAAGAGAGGGGGAAAATAAACAAATGAAATGAGGGTAAGTGGGAAATTGAGAAATTAAATAAAGAAAAGAAAGAGGATATATAAGTGGGAGATGGAACTTTTTTATTATTTATTTATTTATAATTTATAATTTTAACTTTTAATTTTATTTATTTAGCTCTTTACTTTTGTTTTTGAATTTCTGATAAAAAAAAGGTTTGAATGTGTGCAAGGAAGCTTAAGTCGGACTTTTGAGTTCTTTTTCTTTTTTTCTTTTTATTATTGTGCTAATTTTGACATACATGGATTTAGAATCTCTTCATCCAAATGAAGCCTTACTAGAGGGTGTACATATAACACGTATCTAAAGTGGTGGAAATATGAATGGGAGGTTGAGTTGTGTACATGATGGAAATTTTAAAAATAACATAATAGATTAAAAGTTTACAAAAGGAACTAATACTATTTGTTCATTCAATATCTTAATATGCTATACAATTGGAATACTATAATAGTCAAGCTCCAATGAATATATTTATATTATATGTGGTGTTTCATGTAATTAAAGTTTAAATGAAGATAGTTTAAAATTTTAAAATACATACAAACATAAAATACAAAATAGAATAGTATGATACTTCCCTACATATACCACATATGTAGTACGTTTTGATATAACAAGCACACATATGCATTTTTTGTTATATTCAAACAAGCACATTTGCCAAAAATATATACTCTTAAAGTTATAAACTATTATGTTTAATATTTTTTTTTGGCAAGGCCTATTTTTGTATATATATGAATATTTGTATGTGACCTAATAAATGAAACATATATAACACCTACACACTAAAAATAATGTAATTATCATAAGAAATTCGAAATTTTCTAGAAAACTTTGAAAAATTCAGATAAAAATGGGTTTGGTAAGCTTCAAAAAATTTTCGGATCGGAATTGCGGAATTTTCGGCATTTATCGGAAATATCGGATTAGGCATTTTCGGATATCGGATTTATCGGAGTCGGAGTTTTTTTGGGAAATATTCAGACCGGAATAAGTCGGAATTGGATTTTCCAATCCAACTTACACCCCTAATTTCTTAAAAAGCAAACTTGAAAACAAGAAGGTGGTTTGTATGTGCTGCCTCCCCGATTGGATCTTCATTGGAGCTCTCTCACAGCTCAATCATTCTTTACTTCGTGAATTCACACGTACGATTTGGCCCATCCAAATTTCATTGACAAATCTTATAACTTGACTTGGATTTTTTAATGATTTTTTTTATTTTAAAAAATATATATTATCTTTTCCACGTGTCATGACATTATTGGAGATGTGGAGCCCCCACTTACCTTCCACGTCAGCAATTTAACAGAGTTTATAACAGCACATACCATTTTTATTGTGTCATTCATGATCCTTAAGGTTAGTATGTGCGATCACAAATAGTCCTTGCCGTTAGGTTCCATCAAAAACTCCGTTAGTTTGCTGACGTGACATATATATATATATATATATATATATATATATATATACAGAGAGCTTCCATTGAGGGATCCCTCAAATAAGCTTATTTGAGGGACACCCCTTGTAGGGCCCACTCCAGATTGTATTTCACTAATCCAAACAGTCTATTTTGTAGATACACATTCAAAGATCATCTCTACAAAAAATCATTTAAATCCGATATCATTTGACCATTCAATTGAGTTATTGAAATTTTAGTACTTTCTTGAAGCACCGTGTTCATTGATTTTGTAGGATACAATTGGATGTCGAAACGGTTTCCGATTTGTCTAATTTTTTTGTAAGGATGATCTATGAATGAAGACCTAAAAAATAGATGGTTTGGATCATTGGAAAAAAAAATTGTAGGGTACCCTAAATGGCGTCCCTCAAATAAAATTATTTGAGGGATCCCTCAATAAAATGGGATTGTATATATATATATATATATATATAACAAAACATTCTTGAGGTTCACGCGCCTATCACAAATGGTCTTTAATTTTTTAATTTAAAATTTATAAAATTTTGGTTTTCTTTTTAAAATTATTTAAAAATATATATTGTATTTTAAATACAGGTGAAACTATCTTATTGGAGATGTGGGCTCCACATATATGCCACATCAACTAATTAATGGAGTTTTTAAAAAATCACTTAAAATTCATAAAACTTTAAAATGATAAAAACCAAGGGTCTAGAGTTCATAAATGGTCCTTGATGTCAAAATCCTTCTACAAATAAAACATGTTATTAGTATTTATTTTGTAACTTAAACTTGCTACATATTTTCATAACTTTATATTAGGGGTGGTTGCGGTTCGGTAACCACGAATTTTTACTCAAACAGCAAACCGACCGACTATTTGCGGTTTGGTGATTTTTGAAACCGCATTGCGGTAAATTGCAAAATGCAGTCGGTTACCTCGAATTAGCGGTTTAAAACCGCAAGTTCTCAAGCATTCACAAAAATATAAAATCACAACCTAAATAAATAAATACACAACCTCAATTTCTCAAGCATATATAAATTCACAATCTCCTCAACTTCTCAAGCATTCAAAATCTAAGAAAATTAAAGTTACAATTCCAAGCATTCTAATTAAAGTTAAACTTCTCAAGCATTTCAATTCCAAATTCTTTAAAGTTACAAACTAAAAGGAAAATGCAAAGCAAAATGAATTAAAGTTACAACCAAAAAGAAAAATCCAATTCAAAGTTAATTAAAGTTACAAACTAAAAGGAAAATGCAATGCACCAATGTTACAAATTAAAGTTACAAACTCAAGTGTTGGTGGTGAGTGGATTTGAAGAACCCCGTTGTGTTGTTTGAGCACCAATGTTATCTACAAATAAAACAACATAGTTTAGTACATTTTATTATAAGAAGAAGCGTAAATAACATTAGCATAAATAAACTAATTACTTACAAGTTGTCATATGTTCCATTTCCTTGTATAATTCAACCTCATTATCCGTGCGGCTATACTTTGCGGTTTGCGGTAACTGCAAGTTTTGAAAATCAAATACTGCAACCGCAACCGCAAATGCAGTTCTGTTCTTAATACCGCAAATGCGATTCGGTTTACCCCGATTGCGGTTTCATTGCGGTAAATTGTCGGTTGGTTTTTGCGGTTTTTCAGTTTAAAATGCCACCCCTACTTTATATACATTTCAGACAGTTTTAAACCCCCAGCATTGCTCAGTGTCACGGGATGACTTTTTCGGAGTCTTCCTTTCGTGCGGCCTTAGACTTGATCGCCTCTCGAACAAGCTAAGTCAGCCTCCTTCCTACAACACAAGATCGAACCAAGCAAAGAACAATTGCAAGAGCAAGAACAGTAAGAATGCTTAACAGAGTTTGGGAGAATATATGCTTGTATTGCTACTCAAATGCTTTACAAGTTGTGAGGTGAGGATACACAATGTGTCATCCCCCTTATATACTGTCCCTATCCCACCTACTACCACAGTAGGTGGCTAAGATACAATGTCACCTACCAATGTCTACCAACTACTGTCACCAACTGTAGTCTACCAACTATTGTCACCAACTGTAGTCTACCAACTACTATACAACGAATCTGGACGTGGGGCTAAGAGGTCTAGCATGATCAATCCAACGGGTTGGGCCTTGAACATGCGGGCCGTGACATTCTCCCCCACCTAATCCGGAGACGTCCTCGTCGCCGAGGTAGATCCTTCTCGTTCGAATGCTTCGATGATGTCTTTGTACTTCCACAAAGACTCTTCTTTCTCCCAGTTGCCTTCGGAATCTGGCAGGCCCTTCCATTTGACAAAGTACTCAAAGTACCTCGGTACACCCTTGCGTCGCACTTCTCGCTTGGCCATGATGCACTCAACCTCCTTGTCAAATGAAGTCACCATCAAAGGTGGAGCTCGTTGAGACTCTCCACGACTTGGCTCCTCGGGGTCGGCATGGTAGGGCTTGAGATTGCTCACGTGGAACACCGGATGAATCTTCAATCGGGGTGGTAGTTCCACACGGTAAGCAGCTCTTCCCACTGATCGGATGATAGGAAATGGGCCCTCATATCTCCTCAACAACGCCTTGTGTAACTTTCTAGTGGACTTGTGTTGAGAGGGGTTGAGCTTCACAAAGACCATATCACCTGGTTGGAACACAACATCTCGCCTATGCTTGTCCGCCCATTTCTTCATCTTCCGAGTTGCCTTCTCCAATTGAGCCCGAGCCAGCTCATTAGTCACCTGCCACTCCTTGGCTGTCTTGTATGCAGCTGGGCTACTCCCCGTGTAGCCTGACACCACTGTGTTCGGTGTCATAGGTTGTTGTCCTGTTGCCAACTCGAAAGGACTTGACCCTGTTGACTCCGACCGCTGCAAGTTGTATGAGAACTGAGCAACATCCAACAACTTTGCCCAATCTCGCTGGTTGGCACTCACATAATGCCTCAAGTATAGCTCCAACAATGCGTTCACCCGTTCCGTCTGACCATCTGTCTGTGGGTGAAAGCTGGTAGAGAAGTTCAATTGTGACCCAAGTAGCCTGAAGAGCTCCGTCCAAAGTTTACCAGTAAAGCGAGTGTCGCGGTCACTGATAATACTCTTGGGAATTCCCCAATACTTCACCACATGCTTAATAAACAAGCGTGCAGCTTCCTCCGCATTGCAGTCCGCTGGTGCAGGGATGAAGGTAGCATACTTGGTGAACCTGTCGACCACCACCAAAATTGAGCCACACCCTTCTGACTTGGGTAGACTCACAATGAAGTCCATGGACAAACTCTCCCATGGTCTGGCTGGAACAGGAAGTGGCTCTAGCAACCCACCCGGCTGCTTCTGCAATGTCTTGTCTTGTTGGCATACAAGACAAGTCCGCACGAACGAGTCTACATCCTCCCGCATCTGTGGCCAATAGTAAGCTTCACTCATCAAGGCTAACGTCCGATGAGTGCCTGGATGTCCCGCCCACTTCGAGTCATGACACTCCTTCAGTAGCTCTCGCCTCAGATTGTCCCACCTTGGAACATAGATCCTCTTCCCTGTTGCATAAAGAACACCATCATCGAGCCAAAATCTCCTTGTCTTCCCATCTTTGACAAGCTCCAACAGACTTTTGGCTTGAGGATCATGCAACAAGCCCTCTCGTATCCTCTGCATGAGAGAACTCTGGGGTTGTACAACAGCTGCAAGTGCGGCCTTCCTGCTTAGGGCATCAGCAACGACATTTGTCTTCCCTTGCTTGTACTCCAGTTTGTAGTCGAACTCCGCCAAGAAGTCTTGCCACCTAGCCTGCTTGGGTGACAACTTCTGTTGAGACTGAAAGTAGCTTGTGGCAACATTGTCAGTCTTGACCACGAACTGAGAACCCAGCAAGTAGTGCCTCCAAGTCCGCAAGCAATGCACTACGGCTGTCATCTCCTTCTCTTGAACTGTATACCTCCGCTCCGTGTCATTGAGCTTCCGACTCTCGAAAGCCAATGGGTGTCCATCCTGCATGAGTACACCACCAATAGCAAAATCTGATGCATCAGTGTGTACCTCAAACGGTTTGCTAAGATCAGGAAGTCTCAGCACGGGTTCCTCCATAAGTGCCCTCTTCAACTCATCGAAGGCATGCTGGCATCGGGTTGTCCACTCCCACGCCTTGTTCTTCTTAAGCAAATCCGTCAAGGGGGCGGCAATGGCTGAATATCCCTTGATGAACCTGCGATAGTAGTTGACCAACCCAAGGAAAGACCGCAACTCAGGTACCTTGGTTGGTGGCTCCCATTCTTGAATGGCTCGCACCTTGCCCTCCTCCATGAGCAATTGACCTCCCCGTATCTTGTGACCAAGGAACTCTACCTCTTCTTGGACAAATGAGCACTTCTCCCTCTTCACATACAGCTCGTTCTCCCTCAGAACTTGGAAGACTTTCTGCAAGTGCTCAAGATGCTCCTCTAGGGAATTGCTATACACCACAATATCATCGATGTAAACCACAACAAACTTGTCCAAGAAAGGATGGAATACCTTGTTCATAAAAGTGCAAAAGGTTGCAGGGGCGTTAGTCAAGCCAAACGGCATGACAAGGAACTCGTAAGACCCATATCTCGTCACACATGCGGTCTTTGGTTCATCTCCCGGTGCGATCCTCACTTGATAGTATCCTGAGCGCAGGTCCAACTTGGTGAAGTACCTAGCTCCTCCCAACTGATCAAACAAATCTGCAATCAAAGGGATTGGATACTTGTTTTTGATGGTCACCTTGTTTAGCGCCCTATAGTCGATGCACAACCTCAGCGTTCCCTCCCTCTTCTTCTGGAAAAGAACTGGGGCACCATAAGGGGCCTTGGACGGTTGGATGTACCCAGCGTCCAACAATTGCTTCAACTGCTTCCTCAATTCCTCCAACTCAGGAGGTGCCATCCGGTACGGCGCTTGGCAGGGGGTTTGGCACCTGGTTCCAACTCAATGGCATGATCCACCTCTCTCCTAGGTGGTAAGGTTTTGGGCAACTCCTTGGGCATGACATCTGCAAACTCCTTAAGGATTGCCTCCACAGCTTTCGGGACGGGTTGGACTTCCTTCTGAACTATCCATCTTCATAGTTGCAAGGAACGTCGGTTCGCCCTTCTTCCAAGACTTGGAAAATTGCATGGCTGACAAAAGCTTCGTCTCGCCTTGTTGCCTCACCACTGGCACCATGCATGGCATTGCTCCACCCTGTGCAATGCACATAGTATTGTAAAATGGAATGGGGAATGCCTTTACCTTGTCCATGAACTCCATTCCAAGCACGACATCGTAGTCATCCATTGAGATCACGGAGAAGTCAGCTACTCCCTTCCAAGTGGCAATGTGTAGCTCCACACCATGAGCTACTCCATCAATCGGTTTGGCAGTTGAATTCACCGTCTTCATACTGCCTGCTTCCTTCGAGACTCGACACCCAAGTCTCTTTGCTTCCTGCACGGACATAAAGTTGTGCGAGGCACCTGTATCCACCAGGCAACGGGTTGTCTTACCATTCACCATGGCATCGACGAACATCACACCTTTGGCTTGAACCTGTGGTTGAGCTCCTTTGGCATGAAGGGCATTGAAGCGGTGAATGGCCCCCATTCCTGCTTCCCTCTCGGCCTCCTCTTCCTTCTCTCGGTTCATGGCATTCAAGGCTTTCTTTTGCGGACAATCCCGCATCATGTGCGCTCCATCGCACAAGTAGCAAGCTAGCTTCGACTTGTCTTTCCCCTTGTCACCTTTGTCATTCTTCTTCCCGGATGACTTGTGACCGTCAGACTTGTCCCCAGCCTTGCTACCCTCTTTTGGCTTGTTGTCTCCCCCACCGGATCCACTGCTATCTTTCTTTCCTTTGAACTTGGAGTCGCCTTGATCCTTCCTCTTGAACTCAACAAGAGACTCAGCTGCAGCAATCGCCTCTGACAAGGTTTGGACATGTCTCCTTTGTAACTCCAGCTTGGCCCAATTCTGTAGGCCACTCATGAAGTACATGAGCTTGTCTTCATCCGTCATGCTAGGCACCTCGAACAATAGGTTGGTGAACATGGCGACATAGTCCTTCACGTTCCCAGTTTGCTTCAACCATCTCAGCTTCTCCTTTGCCTCATACTTGGCATTCTCTGGATAGAAATGCAACATAATATCCTTCTTAAAATCATCCCAAGTCTCAAGTGTAAACGTACCTTGTTCGATCTCCATAGATCGACGACGCCACCACATGAGAGCATTGTCGGTGAGAAACAACGTTGCCGTGTTGATCTTGGGCTCATCATCCTCGAGCTTCAGATACTTGAAATACCTTTCGATATTCCACAGAAATGTGTCTAGCTCCTTCGCCTCCCTCTTCCCATTATAGGATTTGGGCTTGAAAGAATCTAACACCTTGGGTTCCTTCGGAGTCCGGGTCTTGTTCAAGACAGCTTCCTTGCACAAAGCCCAATCTCCCTTCACATCCTTCACCTCCTCACGAAGCGAAGTAAGCTCCGCTAAGAAGTGATCCATCTTGGTTTGGACATCTAGCCGCATGCTGTCCAGTGCGGAGTTGAGGGCTCCTTGGAATTGGCCTTGAAGCTCATCCACCACAGCTTCGAAGCCACCCTTCGTAAGGACGTCCTCCTCGAGTCGCTGATCGAACTCGACCACGGCAATCTCCATCTTAGAAAGCCGCTTCTCCATCATGGCTACAACATCTCTAGATCGTTCCCTCTTTGATTTGCCCCCACGATCCATATTGACCTTGGACAGATCAGTCTCCACATCGGATCCGCTCTTCGACATGTTTCTTCGAATGATTCGAGCTTTCGCTCTGATACCAACTGTCACGGGATGACTTTTTCGGAGTCTTCCTTTCGTGCGGCCTTAGACTTGATCGCCTCTCGAACAAGCTAAGTCAGCCTCCTTCCTACAACACAAGATCGAACCAAGCAAAGAACAATCGCAAGAGCAAGAACAGTAAGAATGCTTAACAGAGTTTGGGAGAATATATGCTTGTATTGCTACTCAAATGCTTTACAAGTTGTGAGGTGAGGATACACAATGTGTCATCCCCCTTATATACTGTCCCTATCCCACCTACCACCACAGTAGGTGGCTAAGATACAATGTCACCTACCAATGTCTACCAACTACTGTCACCAACTGTAGTCTACCAACTATTGTCACCAACTGTAGTCTACCAACTACTATACAACGAATCTGGACGTGGGGCTAAGAGGTCTAGCATGATCAATCCAACGGGTTGGGCCTTGAACATGCGGGCCGTGACATCAGGCACCTTTGCTGGTTATATATATACTAAAACTGATCCCAGAATCACTGTTCCTAGACTGTAGCTTAGGAATAGTGAAGTGACGGTTTTGCCCCCGCTTAAGTGATGGTCTGCTTTCTTGAGTTGACTTATGAGCAGTGAATTAGCCGTTTTGCCCTCCAGCCCTGTTCTCTTCTCTTCGTTGGAGTCGCTGAAAGAAGGAAAACCTCTTCCCCTTCATCGCAGCCCTCTCTCTCTCTCTTCCTTTCTCTCCTCCGCTGCGAACGTTTCCTTCGCCCAGAAAACCCAATTCCATCATCTTTTTCTCACTGTGAGAACTGAAGCTGTGTTGGGGCTTCAATTGGTGGCTATGGGTGTGGCCGTGAAGAACCCATCTGCAACGGCGTCGTTTGGGGTCCCAAAGACATCCCCATGGCGCGGCTCAGTTGGTGGAGGTACTGGGTTGATGATTGAGTGTTCGTCGAGGCCACAGAAGAAGGCCACTGCGCATCACAGGAAGACTCGGCCTCGCAAAACGCAGCCATGGGACGTGAAACGCAAGCCCACTGTGTACACTCCTCTGCCTCCTCTCCCTGCCGACTGGACATTGGTCTCTTCTGCAGATGAAGCTTCATCTTCTTCCCCAAAAGAGCCACCCACTACTGAGTAGAACTTGGTTTGCCCAATTCGGGTTATTATTATTATGTTTTGTTTTGGTTTTGTTTTTGGAGCTTTGGACATTTGAAGCTTTTGTGCATGTTGGGTTCTGGTTGACCAATTATTATCATTTTGCTTCGTCCTGCTTCTTTATATCTGCCTATGTAATTTGGGTTGGGTTGGTTTCTGGATTTGTGAATTAATTGAGGTTTGATGTTTGGCTTTGGTGGCAGATGTGAAGGAGGCTGCGTCAGAGGCATCCCCTCGAAATGCCCGGTTGAATTGGAGACGTATGTATTCTTTTCTTTTTTTCTTTTTTTTTCCTTCAAAATTGAAGTCTCCACTTTGCTGAATAAAGGCTCCTCTTGGCTTTAGTGTTTCATTTCGATGAATTTTGGGCTCTCACATGTGTCTGCGAAATTGCTAACCTTTCTTTTGTATTGGGGTTCCAATTTTCCAGGTGATAAGTTTTTCCTCTTTTTTTTTTTATTTTTAATATTTACTCTCATGTCTGTGTCCAAAACATTTTTTATATATTACGTTTTGTGCAATGTACAGATATATTATAGGAATAGAAGATGAATCTGTCTTTTCAACAAACAGCAAGAGTTACATATTCTGCGAGTACTTTACTCCACCAGTTTTAGAATGAATTTTTTTATTATAAACATATATCTTTTTAAACTCAACATTTAGTTTTGAATTTTCCAATGAAAATGACACAATTTTTGGTACAGTTTTCTTCCGATAATTGGAGTAGGCAAGTAGCAAAGGATAAACTACCAAAATCGAAGGTAGGTTAGGGGAACCCAAATTATTGTAAAATTTGATTGGTAAAGATTTAAGGGTATGTTAGATTGACAATGAAAAAAGGAAAGATAAATTACAGAGAAATGGGTGGCACGAGTGGTCTTAATTGTTGCATGTCGTCCTTATATGTGCGTATTCTGTCTGTAATTCTCTATTCATGATTGATTTGATTATCTATTTTTATCCTCTGGGTTTGTTGGGATGTTAATAAAGTTTTGTGCTTTTGCAAAATATTGGTTCATCCTTCCAATTTTTATGATATGAATGTGTCCTATAGTATGCGTATTTTAGAATTTTAGATTTCTTATTTGACGATTTATGAGCTGAAATGGGATGTGCCACAATTTGGTACATACATGCCGCCACTAATCTGTGGTTTGATTTGATATTTGTGGAAGTTTTGCAACTCATTTATAGATTCGTACATACGGACCTTTAAGAATGAAAATTTCCTTTTATGGCAACCCATAACAAATACCAATGTAGCTTGCAGGGCTTGGATTGTGCATCGAGTACTGAAGAGCTTGGATTGTGCAGCAAGTACTGAAGTTGTTGTGGCACTGGAACACCAAGGAGTTTGTAAGTGAAAGGAGCTGCCAGCAAAGGGCTAATCTTCTACAAGTGGTGACTCAGTTTTTTGTTTTTTGTATGCTCAATGATTCTTTGGCACTTCTTACTTTGGCATTTAATTAACTACCATACATTTGATTTGTGGTGATATTTTGCTGATTCTGTTTATTTGCTTTCTCGGGAAACAGAGGAAGAGAAAGGAAAAGTAAAAAATGGGCATCTAACATTCAAAAACTTTTTTGCTCTTATTCTCTGTTTTAGAAACACTTGCTTTGGTCTCTAACAAAAGCAATCAATTCCTCAATTGTTGTTAGGTTCACCCTAAATTGTGTAATGATCTATTGTTGTTAATATTTGCTTTTTATTTATTTATTTTTGTCTTCATATGTTTTTATACTGATTTTGTGTAATATTTACTGATTTGGTGATGTCATGTTAGAGATGTTCAAAGTTTGAACACTACCTCCATTATCTGAATTGCAATTGCGAATTTTAATTCTTCTCTCTTTCTAAGTTTGAACACTACCTCTATTATTTGGAATTGATTAAGATTCATTTTTGTGTCTGTAGTTTGGCTAACTTTTTCTTTGGGAGTATTAAACTTGCAAAACAAAGATGCCATTATTTAGATCTCCATGTCTATATAAACAGTACCATCTTTCCTACATATTTTCACGACTTTGTATACATTTCACACGGTTTTAAAACCTGCAGCATCGCGCGGGCACCATTGCTAGTGTACAACTGTAGACACCATCCACTAGAGTTCTAATGCAGAGCTCCATACATGTTGAGTAGGCTGGGTACTCTGATGATTCCTTCATGCATCTGTTCACACATCGTTCCCCGCAAGCATAAACTTTCTTGTTTATCGGACTCATAGGAGCCTGATCAGGAGATGGTGCAAGAGCTGAAATTGGGAAGTACTTATTCTGTCATCATTATCATCAGCATCAGCATCAGCTAGAACACTTGTTGCCAAACACACTATTAACACTACCAGTATCACCAAACCTCTTCGTACAACCATTCCACCCATTTGCTCCCAACTCAAGTTCTATACTTTTGAAATTCAATGTTGTGTTGTCATTTTGAAGTTTTACTCTAGTTGTTTTATAGGGTCTGTAATAATAATAATCCTTGAATTAATCGAATATTTTATGTATATTGTAATTTGTTATTGTCATTGATTTTGATTTTTCAAGCAAATATTTTCTGTTGAAGTTACCCTCTGCTGGTAAAGTTGGGGTAATATATGTTTTCATAAGTAAAATTTCAACTGGCTTTTGAGCATTCAAGGAAAAGTATTGTAACAGACGAAAAGACCAACAATTGAAGCTAGAGCTCGGAAGGTGGCTGCGAATATTTCTAAATGAAAGTTATTTGTTGAAATATATTAGGAGCAATCCAAGTTGTCCATTAATCATTCTCCAGATTTCATTTCTCTCTTGGGCTTGGCAAATAAAATCAAGGGGCAAATGTCACATTATCTCTTGCAAATTTATAACAATGATTCCAACCATCTATCATATCATATTCATAGATCACTCTCGCAAAAAAGAAGAATTTTTTTAACCCTTTAAAACATTTAATTGTGACCAACAAAATAGACAAACAAGACTCTTCAAGAAAACAATAAAATAAGAACCACTCAATTGAGTGTTGGCGATAATAATATCAATACATTAGTGATAACATATTGACAATCATGTAATTATTAAAGTTCGGACGTCATGTACAGAGTCGGACTATATACATTGCCTTAAATGCTATTGGAATAAAAAGATGTATCCAATAAATGGTGAACAGACATTTCAAGGAAGCCCCTTCTCACTCATAGGGTCTGAAGCAGTAGCCCCTCCTCACTTACAGGTCTGAAGCAGGGAAGAAAACATTTCGAGCTGCTTGGTTCTCCCACTCTAAGCCATTCCACCACTTTTCCTCTCCTTCAATAATGAGATTACTTGTTTGAGCACTGCTAGAGTTGAGAGGCAGCCTAGTGAGCATTGGAAATCCAGCTATAAGGATTTTCTTCAGAAATGGAACGGGCAAGGGATTTTCGCATATTCTCCACAAGTGGGGGTAGGTCGCCCAAACGCAAAACAGTGAGTTTTGCAAATGGGGTAGTTTCCATTGTGTTCAAACCGAGTATTCTCGTCATTTTAGAGCAGCCACGTACATGCAAGTGGATGAGATTTGGAGCAAAAACGAGCCATTCCAGGTTCTTGAGATTCGTGCAATGTACTACTTCTACGAACTGAAGACCAAGGAAGCAATTCGGATTTTCCAGACGTGTTATCCACGTAGAGTACACATCCGCCATATGTTTAATTTGAAGGGTATCAAGGTATTTCATATTTGCCAACGCCAAAGGCGATAAATAAAGATAGCTTGAAAGGTTTCCCGCAATCCTTGCCCTTGAGGCATAAAGTTAGAGTGCAAGTCACTAATATGTGGTGGCTGTCCAAATTCCAGAAACAAGAGGTACCTCCTACTGTCAAAGACAAGACGTCAAGGTGTTTCAAACCCTGCAGTTCGTCTATCATGGTTTTCTCATTATAAAAAAAACTCGGTTAGAAGAACCACAATCTAGTATTCTCAAAACTTTAAGCCTCGGGAAATTTGATAATATATTTGGTGGAACATAATCAAGATAATATGTATACTCTAAGTTCAAATACTTTAGGCGTGCACATGCTGCTAACTCCACCGACAACCATTTTATGACTGTATTGGACAAATTCAGATGTTGTAATGAAACTAGATTTGCAAACTCCAGTTGGCAGTTGAGTTATAAGGAAATTTTCAGACAAATCCAGAACTCGTAGCGTAGGCATGAAATCAAAGAAGTCATCCACAATCCTCTTTAAAGAACTTCCTCTGAGAAATAAGGTCAACAGATTGGGAGATCTTGGTGTTTCATCTAGAGATGTGATACCACTACTCATCAATGAAACCCTTTTCGCATTCTTCCATTTCGCAACATTTGGTGCACCTGTATCCACAAGGATGTTCTCGCCTTCTTTCCCAAGGTCACAAGCTAACCACAATGCCATGTCCCGAATTACATCATGCATTTTTACTGAATCTCCTTCATCTTCCAACAAACATGAGGTAAGAAGAGTTCCTATGATATGGTAACTCTCATTTTTGGCTTCCTCTACATTACCATATTCATCTAATATATCCTCACACATCCAAAAATATACCAAGTCATCTTTAAGTATAAAAATCTTCCGGAAACAGAGCACAGTTTAAGAAACATGATCTAACTTTTTGATTTGGTAAATTATCGTAACTGAATTTTAAAAGAGGGAATACCTTATCTCCCATTCCTGAAAACTCGGAGGCAAATCTTCTCAGGACTTGAACTGCATGCTTCCACTCTTGGGGTGTTTTCTTGCAGGCCATGACCCTGCCCACTGTGATGAGTGCCAGTGGCAAACCGCCACACTCGTTCGCCACAATTTCAGCAAGCTTGGGGATATCTGGATGAAGAAGAAGTGTTTCTTTCCCAACTTTCTCCTGAAACAAGTTCCATGCTTTGTCCCAAGTCAAACACCCCACCTTAATCTTCTTCTGGGCATCCATATGACCACATACCTCCTCGGAGCGAGTTGTGAAAACTATCTTGAACTTATTCCTACTGTCATGAGCTGGAACCTCTACTTTGGTTAATTCAACCGGCTCCCATAAATCATCCATTAATAACGCAAACTTCTTTGTGTTCAAGATTCTGAAGATGTCTTCAGTTTTTTCATGCTGCTCTTTAAGCTTCCATACATCACTAGATAGCCCAATCTTTCACCAATCTTATCTTGAAAAACTTCAATTTTGTGGCCCTTGGATACCACAATCCAGATCACACGATTGAAATCATTACGAGTGCGGTTGAAGTTGTTATGTATCTGGGTAAGGAGGGTGGTCTTCCCCACCCCTCCCATTCCATATAAGCCAATCATTCCCACTTGTTCATCTTCAATGTGTCTCCAAACTTGATCAAAAATCGGCTCCATGCCCACTGTTGGCTCACTAGGTATCACATTGACTAGAGCTGTAGGTAAGCTTTCTGCTGCCACCTCTTCAAAAACTCCCTTGCTTTTCAAATCCTCCACTTCCACCAACTTTCTAGCAACTTTTTTCCCATACTTGTATTTGGATATGTAGTTCTTGGGGCAGTAACCTCCGCAGCATAATTTCTCAATTACTTGAGTGCTATGGCTTACAAAACTTCGTTCATTTCAGTCTCAAAAGCCTCCACGCTTAAAATCCAGTTATGCACCCTCTCTAACCGCTTTAATTGCGGCTGCCGCTCTGCAAGCTCAACCTCTCTCTGCACATCATTCTTTAAAGACTTGAGTTCTTGTAAAGATGTTGTGAGAGCTTGAAGGTTTTCTTGGAGCTTACGTACATACGGTTCTCTTTTAAAAACGGAATCCCAGCAGCGTGAAACAATGGCATCGCATGATAAGGAGATTGACAAGACGCTACCCATTGCTTTGCTTGCTCTGCGCACAAGATTGTAAGAGAAATTCAGCAAAGATTTCTTAGATCGGAAATGTGGTAGGCCAAAGAATAAGCTAAGCAGACAAGAAAAAATCCTCTCTCATACCACATTAGCACTTAAGCTCAGAACATTTTTGGGAGAAGAAAGACTCACGAAGGGCGAGCTGCGTTTAGAAAGGAAAAGTTTTAGGCTATCATGTGGAGGGTGGCTACATACAAGTATAGCCAAATCAAGATGAGACGGGACGGACGGTCAGAGGCAGCAGCGGGACTACCATAGGAAAGCCCGCCCCTGCTAGCTAACATAGAAAGAAATAGATTCCTGTGTAGCGATAGTCTCTATGTGAATCTCTTCCCGACCAGGCCAGGCCGAATTGGGCCGTTCTAACAATAATGTCACTTACAGGAAGACTTTGCAGGCTGAAAGTCAACTATGGAATTTAGAAGGTGACGTGGGAGCTTTTGTATTGTATGGCTGCAGACTGCAGTGTAGCCTGTAGAGAAAATATCTGTAAATTAAATAGCAGCAGTTTATGGCGAGAGAGTTTCTTTCCCTAGTTCTGTTTTCCCCTGTTTTCCTCCTTGTCATGAAAATGAAACCCGCAAATTATAGAAAAACAAACAGATTGAGGCGCAGTCAAAAACCTTTGCATTCAGTAAAGTTTTGAACTCTCGATATTTTTAACATACTTTTACTGGTAAGCAAAGCTACACTACACTACAGATGACGGAAAAATTGAAAAAAAAAAAAGTGCTGTTCTGCTACCATGGAACCATGGAAACAGTAGGAACAAGAGCATAAGAATTTGAAACACTGACCAATAAATGCAAAGAGCATAGTTATCCAATGTTGCTGAGAACAACATTTAAAGAAACACCAACCATTCCTCATTACTAATTTTCTACAAATTTAACAACTGGAATTAAATAGAGTCTAACACAACAGCAAACACATAAGGTAGATTTTGAGCAGCCACAAATCAGATTCATACACACACAACCAAGAACACACATACACATAGCTAAGGAGCATTCTCTGAGAGTTACTTGCAAATAACATTTTCAAGTCAGTTCACACTACACGAACCAATTTTCTGCTAGTTACATCCATTTGACACACCACACTTGTAAAAAGAAAACATGTCTTTACAAAAGCAAAGTAACGACTGAAATCCCTAAACTCAATCAGCACTCCGCTTTGCTTGATGAGCCATGTACAAGGGGGATATCTTCAATCCAATCAGCATAGATGCGACTCATTTTCTCGAGTTCGTTCCACTTGAAGTTGCATTCCATACCTGCACTTGTTTATGATAAGTAGCCCCAATTCCCATCCTACGTTTTGACATACTTGTAGAAGAAGTCCTCGAATTCTGCACACTTCTAGATTCTACTGCCATATAACCACAAATCTTCATTAGTTCTGTAAAACAATGATACGACTCAGAGTTTAGTTTTCTGAGAATCATTGCACATCCCACAATATTGAGCATCTCTTAGTCAATCAAAAGGGACATTGATGAATGTGAACAATCAGCAATTCATGACTCTAGATTGGTTCTGCAGGATATCATAACTGCCTCTGGTTCATCACTACAAATGGCTACCAATAATGGGTGCCATTTTTGTAATGATCATTACAAAATGAAGGTTATGTACTTTAAAAACAAAATAGAAAAGATACTGCTCAAATGCCCAAAATGAAGGTTATGCACATTAACAACTTACCATTTCTCTTTAGAGCACATGAAAAAAAAAGTAAAGAAACTCTGTCAATACAACAACAACAAAAATTTAAGAGGAGTAATCAAGTTCATGTCAAACATTCGATGCATCAATCAGACAACCAGGCACTGAAAGACTATATCTCTCTCCATAAACTTATAAACCAACTTGCAGCAAGAGCAAAAACCTTATAAGGCCACTATGAAATCATACATATCTAATATCAATTTCCTTGGAGAAGCCTGGTCACCTTCTAAATAAGAATTGAGAAAATTGCAACAGCATTATGAATACCATCACCAATCATGCATTCCAAATACCAAGTCCATTAGACCAATATCCCCAGGGTGCCTCTTCTGACATAATGAACCAGTGAAACGAAACTAGAGTTCTTATGGGCCATGACTCATGAGAAATCAATTGATCCTCTCACAATGGGCCAGACATACTTTAATGAAGTCAAGCAACCAATTTGTTTTCATGTTCTAGGCAAAATAAGTAAAATAAACAATTTCCTATGTCCCTTACACGATAAGCAATGACTAATAATAAATTTTAATTTTAATTTTGGCACACCAATGTTATTTCATTACATTAGTTGTTTTAATAAAGGTGAAATATACTAAGAATATAACATGTAAAATATTCATATGACCAAACTTATAGCAAGTAAACATCAGCAGAACTATGATATGCACGAAAAAATATACTGGACCCAAAATAATCCACATTTTTAACAAATTAAACTTTTAGTAGAGTCAAAATCCGTACCCAAAGACCTCTTGCTGTAAAATTTGAGCCCCAGAAGTTGAAATGCTTATCGCTGACTTCTCTCTGATGTTTTCAGGAGTTACATGGTGAGGATAGCGGCATTTGTCTCCATATGTGCATTTTCCCCCATTAAAGAACAATCTGCATACATCATTAGAAGTTCTTCCACGATCATAAGTCCTGGCCTTGAAGCCCTCCTCAGTTTCCAGTCCTTGCCAATTACGCCAAGTCTTGCGGAGATCACTGATTCCATGGGCAAAACAACATCTCTGCCCATAATAGCAATTACCCATTTTGAAGTTATTGCAAAGTCTGGTTTTGAAATTACAAGGCAACATTTTATTCTGCGCCATGGGAATCGTAGAGATCAATACGACTTCAGAAGTTTTGGGTTTCTTGAAAGGATGACTTTCAATGTCAGAGTGATCTTTGAAATCTTTATCAGCATTAGGAAATTCAGGCTTTAGTTGATGCCTGTTGTAACCGGATTCAAGATATGGGGCAAAGAATTGGCATGTAGGTCCAGAATCGCTCATGTTGGTACAGAACTTGAAACCAAGTTGGAGGTCAAACTGTTTGTTGAAATGTCAAAGAACCCAGAAGAAAACTAAGCTCCAGACATAGTTGGAGCTGAAATTCAAGAAAACCCAGGTGCAATTTCAGAACAACTGAGTGGGTATCAATCAAGAAATGAGAGCCATTCTGTTTCAATGTTTGCAAATTCGCAATGTATCACAATCCAGATGAACATTTCTAAGTTGGGAACGGACCTAATTGAAATATTCAGAAAACCCAGATGAGAAGGTACCTAAGTGAAAGTTCATTATGCGCCTCAGCTAAATTGTTATGAAACCAAAATGTTTGTGAAAAATGGAAAACCCTAAACCCTTACTGTATTTTGCATCCATTAGTGATATGTTTAATTGAGTAGATGGGATGACAAGGGAGAGTGGGTCGAGGATGAGTATGCTATTACCATTTGGCATTCTGCCGGTAACGGGAAGCTCGTCGAGTACATGGAGACCCGATATTTTTGTCATTAAAACTTTTCCTCAAGAAAATGATTTTAGAAAATTATAATGCAATACATGAAAAATGGAATAAGACATAGGATTTTATATGAAACAATAATATAATCACAATCATCATACAATCATGGATCATAAGTTAAACTGGGACTTGACATTTATAAACAAGGGAAAGTAGGAATAAGTAGAGAAAACAGATATTTACATCTAAGCTTGGCATTTTATTATGAAAAACAAACAAACTGACCGAATCGAATGGGTCGGTTTTGTCAGTCATGGAGCAAATCGGTAATTGCGGTACTAATTTATAATACCAATATCATTTTCATTTTTGCACATTCAATGTGTCGATCTCTTCCCTCTTTTTTGTCTCGTATCTCTCTCTCTCTCTCTCTCTCTCCTCTCTCTCTCTCTCTCCTCTCTCTCTCTCTCTCTCTCTCTCTCTCTCTCTCTCTCCTTCTTTTTCTTCCTTTTCGCACATGTTTCCCTCTTTTCGGCCGGGTAGGCTCACGGAAGGAACTTTTGGTCTTTCTTCTTTTTTGAGTGCCGGACGTGCCACCACCAAGCCACGAATTTGGCTTGGATGGAATGTGTATGTTGGATATGTCGTGCTTCTAACTTCTAATCAAGCGATTGTTCGGCCAAGCAAGGAACCTCCTCACGACCTAGGTTCTTTCACTACCTCGGGGTCAAGGTTTTATGTGAGCAACCAAATAATGTGGAGTGGATGGAGATGAAGATTGAAGGTGAAATGTAATGAAACAAAGAACAAGTGAGTAAAGCAAAGGTGCTTAAACTTAAATATAATTTAAAGATAAATGCGTAAAGTAAAGTGCGTAAAATAAATAACGTAAAGACGAGAATTAAAGTGCGATAAATAAACAAGAACAAAATAAGAACGATAAGAACGGTAAACTAAATTAAACTTGAATTTAAACTTAATAAAAAACAAAGCGATTGAAATAAACTTGAATTTAAATGACAAGGTAATGTAAATTGCAATAATTTAAACTTACACTAAGGAAAGGAAGGACTTGCTACACTAGGTGCTTGAAAAGTAAAATCCTAAGTCTAAGAAAAGAAAAGTGTGAGACCAAAAATAGGTTTGTGTGTATGATGATGTGTGTCTTCTGCCTTCGTTTGGTGAAGTTTATATAGGGCGTCCGTTAGCCCGTGGGCTGGCAATTCAATGGCCAAATGTCAACTCTTCTAAAATTCTTTCCTTTCGAGGCCCCCTAAATCCGTAGATACGTCGGCGGAGATATTATGGTTGCTTGATTTTCTCTTGATTTGGAAAATTCCGAATCGTCATCAACCTCCTTGATTTCTTTCCTTGTGAGACCTTTGTCACGCCCCTGGGGGCACATGGATTGCAATATGAATATTGCCGTTGAAATCAAATGGCCACAATTAAAACTTGCTTTTGTTTTCTTTTTTCAAATTGTTCCAACGACTATATGATTAAAGGCGAGGATTAATTCTTAAATTTCAACGGAAATAAAATAGATCCAACGTTCAAAAATCAAATCCAGTGGGAAAAAAATAATTAAATGGTAAAAATCAGATGTAACCCAAAAACTCATCCCAAACTCTATAAATACCCATCCATTTGTTAAATAACCCACCAAAATCAATTTTTTTCATTTCTCACTTTGATAATTATGTTCATTCTCCTTTTAATCCTATTCAATATGGCCCCAAAACCCCAAAGAGGTGTGAATTGGAGACCACAAGAAGATGAGGCTTTATGTAGAGTGTGGGATGTGAACCATGTCAGATAATAATTCAAGGAAGAGATGAGGAGATATAGATGAAATGAAGAGAATCCAAGAAAGGAAAAGCTGAAGGAGATAAAGGAGATGGGCACAAAGTCAAAAAATAATTGAAAGAAGACAAGAGGAGATGGACACCAAATCAGAAAATAATTCAAGCCATATAGGATAATGGCCTACAAGTTTTCATTTTCATTGAAATAAAATTAAGTTTGTTGAATTTTAATTTTTTTAAGGTTAAAAGAAAAATAAATCATGAAGTTAAATAACAAAAAAACAAAAAAAAAAAAAAAAAAAAAAAAAAAAATAAAAAAAAAAAAAAACTATTTTTAAAGGGTGAAAATTTGGATTTAGGCCCTTTAGCATTGGAGATGGTGGTAGAGATTTGAAACCTCTTTAAAAGGTTTTCCAAATATATAGAGATAAATTCCGTGTTATCTTGCCGAAAGATCAGTGACTAAACCCTTCATTAACAACTTCTCATTTGTGTTTAGAGCACATGAAAAAGTAAAGAAACTCCATCAATACAAAAATTCAGAGAGTAATCAAGTTTATGTCAAGTTCATAGTCTTCTTCTTTAAGTAAAGCTCTACTGGTTGGTTCTGGTCCTGAATTTTTTGGTAATGAATCAGTGAAACGAGAAGTATTAATATTTTTCAATTTTATACAGAAGTATTAATTAATTACATAACTTTTGCTTTGTCTCTTCTCTTCCTACCCATTTAATTTATCAAGCCAATTGGAAACCCGTCATTAGTTCAAAGTTACATGTTACTTTTTCTTTTGCCATTATTTAAATAGACCAATTGCGCTATTAACAAAAAATAATAATAATAAATTGAAACATCCAATATTATATTATATATGTCTAATGTATTCTCTTTGGCAATAGGTCAGACATATTTTAATGAATAACTTTTTTTTATTTATATTTGATCCATTATCACAAAAGAAGTAATTTTAATTGATAAACCACTGTTTCTTCATTACATTAGTAGGGTTGGATTAATAGTAACAATATAACATCTCATATTACCAAACTTATAACATGGAAACATTAGCAAATTAAACTTACGCTGGATCCAAAAAACTAATCAACATTTTCTACCGTTTAAACTTAGTTGTGTCAAAATCCATAATCGAGACATCTTTCACCCCTAGGAGGGGCGGTTCTATTAACTTATACACCTGAATCATTAGCTGCAACTCACTTAAAGGTCTGAAGCAGGGAAGAAAAACATTTCGAGCCGCTTGGTCCTCCCATTCTAAGCCATTCCACCACTTTTCCTCTCCTTCAATAATGAGATTACTTGTTTGAGCACTGCTGGAGTTGAGAGGCAGCCTAGTGAGCACTGGACATCTAGATATAAGGATTTTCTTCAGAAATGGAACGGGCAAGGGATTTTTGCATATTCTCCACAAGCAGGGTAGGTCATCCAAACGCAAAATAGTGAGTTTTGCAAATGGGGTAGTTTCCGTTGTGTTTAAACCGAGTATTCCCGTCATTTTAGAGCAGCACTCTACATGCAAGTGGCTGAGATTTGGAGCAAAAATGAGCCATTCCAGGTTCTTGAGATTCGTGCAATTTCTTACTTGTACGAACTGAAGACCAAGGAAGCAATTCTGATTTTCCAGACGTGTTATCCACGTAGAGTACACATCCACCACATGTTTAATTTGAAGGGTATCAAGGTATTTCATATTAGCCATCGCCACATCTGATAAATCAAGATAGCTTGATGGGTTCTCGTAATCCTCGCCCGTGAGGCATAAAGTTAGAGTGCAAGTCACTAATATGTGGTGGCTGTCCAAATTCTGGAAACAAGAGGTACCTCTTACGACTGTCAAAGACAAGACGTCAAGGTGTTTCAAACCCTGCAGTTCGTTTATCATGGTTTTCTCATTATAAAAAAAAACTCGGTTAGAAGAACCACAATCTAGTATTCTCAAAACTTTTAGCAGCGGGAAACTTGATAATAAATTTGGTGGAACATAATCAAGCCTACGTGTATACTCTAAGTTCAAATACTTTAGGCTTGCACATTTTGCTAACTCCACTGGCAACCATTTTATGCCTGTTTTGGACAAATTCAGATGTTGTAATGAAACTAGATTTGCAACTCCAGTTGGCAGTTGAGTTATAAGGAAATTTTCAGACAAATCCAGAACTCGTAGCGTAGGCATGAAATCAAAGAAGTCATCCACAATCCTCTTTAAAAATCTTCCTCTGAGAAATAAGGTCAACAAATTGGGAGATCTTGGTGTTTCATCTAGAGATATGATACCATTACTACCCATCAATGAAACCCTTTTCGCGTTCTTCCATTTCGCAATATTTGGTGCATGATAAGCACATGTATCCACAAGGATGTTCTCGCCTTCTTTCCCAAGGTCACGAGCTAACCACAATGCCATGTCACGAATTACATCATGCATTTTTACTGAATCTCCTTCATCTTCCAACAAACATGAGGTAAGAAGAATTCCTATGATATGATAACTCTCATTTTTGGCTTCCTCTACATTACCATATTCATCTAATATATCCTCACACATCCAAAAATATACCAAGTCATCTTTAAGTATAACAAAATCTTCCGGAAACAGAGCACAGTATAAGAAACATGATCTAACTTTCTGACTTGGTAAATTATCGTAACTGAATTTTAAAAGAGGGAATACCTTATCTCCCATTCCTGAAAACTTGGAGGCAAATCTTCTCAGGACTTGAACTGCATGCTTCCACTCTTGGGTGTTTTCTTGCAGGCCATGACCCTGCCCACTGTGATGAGTGCCAGTGGCAAACCGTCACACTCCTTCGCCACAATTTCAGCTTGCTCGGGGATACCTGGATGAAGAAGAAGTGTTTCTTTCCCAACCTTCTCCTGAAACAAGTTCCATGCTTTGTCCCAAGTCAAACACCCCACCTTAATCCTCTTCTGGGCATCCATATGACCACATACCTCCTCGGAGCGAGTTGTGAAAACTATTTTGAACTTGTTCCGACTGTCAGGAGCTGGAACCCCTACATTGGTTAATTCAACCGGCTCCCATAAATCATCCATTAATAACACAAACTTCTTTGTGTTCAAGATTCTGAAGATGTCTTCTGCTTTTTCACGCTGCTCTTTAAGCTTCCATACACCACTAGACAGCCCAATATTTTCACCAATCTTATCTTGAATAACTTCAATTTTGTGGCCCTTGGATACCACAATCCAGATCACAAGATTGAAATCATTACGAGTGCGGTTGAAGTTGTTATGGATCTGGGTAAGGAGGGTGGTCTTCCCCACCCCTCCCATTCCATATAAGCCAATAATTCCCACTTGCTCATCTTCAACGTGTCTCCAAACTTGATAAAAAATCGGCTCCATGCCAACTGTTGGCTCACTAGGTATCGCATCGACTAGAGCCGTAGGTAAGCTTTCGGCTGCCACCTCTTCAAAAACTCCCTTGCTTTTCAAAGCCTCCACTTCCACCAACTTTCTAGCAACTTTTTTTCCATACCTGTAGCTGGATCTGTAGTTCTTGGAGCAGTAACCTCCGCAGCATAATTTCTGAATTTCTTGAGTTCTATGGCTTACAATAACTTCGTTAATTCCAGTCTCAAGAGCCTCCACGCTTAAAATCCAGTTATTTACCTGCTCTAACCGCTTTAATCTTGGCTGCCGCTCTGCAAGCTCAACCTTTCTTTGCACATCATTCTTTAAAGACTTGAGTTCTTGTAAAGAAGTTGTGAGAGCTTGAAGGTTTTCTTGAAGCTTACGTACATACGGTTCTCTTCCAAAAACGGAATCCCAGCAGCGTGAAACAATGTCATCGCCTGATAAGTTGATTGCCAAGGCGCTACCCATTGCTTTGCTTGCTCTGCGCACAAGATTGTAAGAGAAATTCACCAAAGATTTCTTAATCTTTCTAACAACAATTCACTTACAGGAAGACCTTAGTATTGGAGACCGAGACACCATGAGCAGTCAATTAAGTTTTGAATAGGAGTAGTGAGTGGGGAAAAGCAAACAAGTCATTGTACAAAGTCACAGACGTTAGATGAACTGTATAATGATGTCTCCGTCACATCAATTATCAAGTAAATCGTGAACGTTTACATGTGAATTGTTACAACTACAATCTATTGCATGGGGACAAAAATTATTAATTGTATTAGATACACATTCTCCACCCAAATTATGACATGTATTACGTTCACAACACAAGATTTGGGGTTTGATATTTCCATATGTTCGTACTGAGCACGTGAATGTATAAAAGAAAATTAATACGAGTGCAAAATACAACATCAACATGTCATGTGATATATTAGATACAGGCCCGCCCTTATAATAGGGTGGATCAATATTCAAATGAAAACCATAATCTCCACATCCACCTCTACAAGTTTATATTGGGTTGGGTTTACTTAATAGGAAAAATAGCTAAATACACTCTACTGGGCGAGAAATTTTTATATGTTCCGGGTACACCACGTGGCTGGTGTACCATCCAATAAACAAATAGTATAATATTTTTTTGATTTAAAATATTAAAATATTAAATTGTTATTTGTTACTTATTAGTGGTTACTTTAGTGATTTCATAATGCAAAATCCATTTAATGTTGTATTTTTTGAAGCCCAGGCCTTTCTCTCCTGCCCATGCCCTTTTCTAAACCTCTCATCTTCTTCAATGTCATCGTCGTCTCTCTCTCTCGCCTCATACACTCCCAATAATCTTATTAGATATTCTTCTGAGTTCTGGGTGGTACAGCAACAAAAGCTTTACTAAAAGGCATATAAACATGGAAGAAAGAGACAATGATGAAGAATGTAAGATTTTCACACAACTATCCGGATCCCCTGGGCTATCTGAGTTCTGGGGGACGCACTATTGCTTTGAATTTTGTGACTGAATGAATCTATCCAAATCTTTATGTAGCCATCACTAGCAATGTAGTCAAGTTCGATCTGTTAGGTTTGCTATGGTCACACATCACAACAAAAGCATGATTACTCATATGAATGCCCTAAGAACCATGAAAATGAAATTATAAAGCTGTCCGGAGGACTATAAGCTGATTATGGGTGCACTTGGATTGAAATTAAGCTTTAGAATCGGGTTTTCTATTTTTTTTTAAAAAAGAAATAGTGTAGCCGGGCGGCTATACTCCTTTTTTCAAATTTATTTACAGTATAGCCACGCGGCTATACTAATTTTTTTTTAAAAAGAAATAGTATAGCCGCGAAACTAAACCAAAAAAACCAATCACAATCAATCACTAACCTGAGAAGAAGATTTCATGATCTTCCCTCTCTTGGCAAATTCCAAAACAGCTCCACAAAATTAGCGTTAATTAATCATGATATTGACGGGTCTATATACCGTTGGCAAGGACAACGTCTCTGTAAAAGAAGACATTTTCTGATTACCCAAAAAAAGAGAAGACAATAGAATGAAATTCTATCTGCTTTTAATATGGAAATGAGACAAAAGGCTAAGGAAGATTACCTCTTAAAAAGAATGAAATTGATCGGTCAAACAGGACAAGTATCCTTGGACACACCAAATGCAATTCAATTTGTGCTCTCGGTGTGCAGAATGCTGCTTAAACGCACAGAAAGACAATGTGGGAAAATGAGAAAATGAAGCTCACTTTTATAATATGCATTCCCAACAGCACTTCATCCCTCCCAATTTAAGTTTTCTTCTGCAACAATAAACGATGAAATTGCAAGATCATATCAGAATATGTGGCCACTCAGATGTATATTGTATCAAACTATAAGTTCTAGCTAGACAAAGATATCAATTCAAAAGTCAGCCTTAGTGGCAACTGGGGAAGTCTCAGTTGTACATACGAAACTATATGCTAGGAGCAATGTTTTCAAAGGCGAGGCGTAGAGGCAACGCATTTTTAGTTGCACTTTGCGAGGCATAAGCGTTGAAACATTGAGGCGTAAGCCTTTTGAACATTAATTTATTTTAATAACAAAAATTTATAAATAATACAATACAACTAAATTGTAGAACTAATTCGTATTAAACCATAATAATCTATCAATTACAAGTAATAATTCTCATTTAAGCATAATAATTAATCCTCAAACATAATTTTAGGGTTATAGTATATATAGGTCCATGTTAAAATATTTATAATTTTTTTTAAAAATAATTTATTTTTTAAAAAAAGGTAAGAACAGCATTGGGGGAGTCAAACCAAAAAAAAACATTTAAAAAATAAACGAAAATGGAATGTTAAAAGTTAAAACGTGCGTTTAACTTAAAACCAATGTTGAAAGAAACCAAAACCTCAAAACGACGTTGTTTTGAAGAAAACCTATTAAAAAAAATTCACCCAACTTCATCTTCTCTCGCATCTCTCCGCCTCCACCACCTCCCCATCTCTCTCTACCTCCATCCTCTCTCATCTTTCTCTGCCTCCATCATCTCCTCTTGCACGCCCTTGAAATAAGGTGAGCCCAGCACCAGCTACAAAGAAAAGAAGAAAAATTCAAAGATACCTCTGACGAGTAGAGAAAAAGCCGTTGCCGCCACTGGTTGGGTCGAGAAGAGTAGAGAAGCGGCCACCCCTAACGTTTAGGGTGAACTCGCGGCGGTGTTCTCCCGCCTAGCGCCTAGGAGCGCCTAGGAGCCGCTTAGGCGGCTGCCTAGCGACTAGGCGCCTAGGTCTATTTTTCAGAGTTTCTTCTTCTTTTTTTGCGGTGAGTGGTGAAGAGATAAGAAAACAAGTAAAAAGGGCATGAAAGATGAAGAAAGATTAATAAAATAAAAACAAAAAATTATTTTTAATTTTACTCAACAATTATTTGATATTAATTTGTCATTACGAGCCCTTAACTGTCATATGAATCATCAGATTTTTGACTGGCATTGGCCTAATGCATGAAAGCACTTGTGATAATAAGAGTAGAACGGAATTGTGTCTGTGCTTAATATGGAGGAGACATAAAGCCAAGGAAGAACCGAGCCGGTGGGTGTTGAGTTTTCTGCATGTTTTTAAAATACCATTGCAAAAGTAACAACACCCTATGTATGAGCCTAATCATACCAAGACTGTGTTATATTAAATCTGGAAAGAATGGCTTCAAAGGAAAAACACATCAGTTGGCCAAACTTACAGTAAAAAGGGAGTGAAGTGAAGACAAGTGAAAGAGAATGGAGCATCAAGCTCACAACACCCTTCTTGACATGGAGTCTCTCATCTTGCATTGCATGAGAGAAAAAATTATAGACAGAGAGCACATAGATGCAATGCAGCCATACCATGCACCTTGCAAATCAATAATGAGGTGAAAATGGAGATTGGGAGTTTTGAACCCTAAAGCAACTGACAATATCACCAACCTAAGTCGGTGGAAAATACGAGATACATATACATGACAGTCCTGCTTTAGAGCACTTCCACCAGTTAGCCCCTTGCCATGGCAAGGGGAGCCCTAGGGCAGCTACTATTCATGTGAATAGTGGCTGCCCTACCCCCCTTAGCAAAGTGTGTTTCCAGTAGTTTAGGCTTGCCATGACAAATACTATTCATTTTTTTGTTTTTTTTTCACAACTTTGTTTACTTAAACAATTAATTTGGATAATATTTTCGGATAAGATTTTTGGGTTCCTACATATGAAAAATCATTTTCTCAAGGTTTTTAGCGGAGGTGCAATATTGACTAAGTATGAAAAATGGTTTTTCGGAATAATCATTTTCTCAAGATAATTTTTGGCGGCTTTTATTCCTTACACATCAAATAAGAAAACTTGATTTTATGGGATTTTAATATGAAGTATATATTCACTTAATGAGCCATCATTTTTAGCCTAAATCGTATTTTGCACTAAAACCGATTTTTCATATTTTGATTTGGTGGGAATTTGATTTTCTAGTATTTTTATTTGAATCCAAAGGGGGTACTTCCTTATTTACATTGTAAACTTAAGTAAATGGAGTAATATAAAAATAAATAAAAGTAAAAGGACAAAGACATTTACTTAAATGTTGAAAATGGAAATAAGGTATAGAGAGAAAAAATAATAATAATAAAAAGAAGAAATAATTTTTTGGTATTTTTTTCAATTTTTTATTACAAAATATTGGCTGCTGGTGTTAAAAGTGAAGAGTATTGGTTGGTATTTATAGAAAAAAATTTCAGTATTTTTTGGGTATTTTTTGCATTTTATACATTTTTTTATTGGGCAAAGGGAGCACTGTAGCGGGCACTGTAGCGCGATGACGTCAGATTGCCCTCGGGCTGGCGCTCGGGCCAGCCCAGGTAGCTGGACCCCACTCCTTGCCCTGGCAGATCTTTGTTGCTGGAAACCCCATTTTGGGTTTGCCCCCCCCCAACCCTCCCCTTGGGCCCTTTGTTGGAAATGCTCTTAGAGCATCTCCAGCGCCATACCCAAACTGGGGGAAAGGCTGTCCTGGCGAGCCCAAGACACCTCCAGCGCAGCAGATGCAGCCTGGTTTCATGGTGGGTTCCACCAGCCCGGGCAGGCCCAAGGGCAAATTCAGCCCGAGCTGCTACTAGGGCAAACTGATGCAATTCTGACGTCATAATGACGTCAGCAATCCAAAATAAAATAAAAATAAAATAAAATAAAAAAATAAAAAAAATACCAAAAATTCCAGAATTTTTTTAAATAAATACCTAGGCATATTCTTTACTTCCCACACCAAAAACTATATACAAATTCATCTCCTCATATCTCATATGAATAGTATTTGCCTTAGACTTGCCCTAGACTTAGCTCTCATGGGTGGAACCACAAATGCAAAAGCTGACACTATTCACGTGAATAGTGACAGCCTTTGCTTGCCCTTGCCTTAGACTTAGCCCTTGTGGGTGGAAGTGCTCTTATATGCAAACTAAATGTATAATTTTAAAGTATAAAATTCCAAGTTTTGGTTCAATTTTAAAAGAGGTTTTAATTACTTACATTACTTCATATACAGATCTAAGTACATACATGAGAACTATAACTGGAGCTTGTGAGAAGTTCACTTTCATATCTAAGTACATACAAAACAAGACAATTGCATTTGACCAAGAAGCTTTGTTAAGAGTACATTTGGATACCCCCAAATTCACCAAGAATCTTTGTTAAGAGTTCATTTGGATAGGGGCAGCAAGTTGAACTGGGGAACAGAAGCCTAAAAGGTTCCTTTTGTGAAAAGTGAAGGGACAAATTTTGATTCCCATGGTCAGCAAGTTTGTGATTTTGATAGGGTGGTGATCATCTTCACTGTTAATGAGCTGGCTCTATTTTAGAAGCGACCCATGTACAGTAAAGGAGACGCTTTCTATTGAAATTCAAAAATGTTTAGAAGTTCTCTAATGTGGAAACCATTTTTCAGTTTTCCCAAATTTTTTATAGAATTAGTATAGCAACGCGACTCTACTATTTTTAAAAACAATAAAAAACGGAGTATGGCCGCTCGGCTATGCTATTTACATAAATAAATAAATAAAAAGAGAACCCGCCACGAGCCACGAGTCAAAATAGGTATAGCCGGCCGGCTATAATATTTTTAATCATTAATAAAACCGAGTAAGGCCGAACGGCTATACTATTTATATATAAAAATGACCCACCTATTCAAAATACGTGTAGCCGCACGGCTATACTATTAATTGAAAAAAAACACAAGAAGAGCTGGCCGGCGATCCTGTTTATTTATATAAAAAGAGAACCCGCGGAAAAATAGGAGCCACGTGTCGAAAATAGTATAGCCGCCCGGCTATACTATTTTTAGAATCACCGACTATATCCGCCTGGCTATACCATTTGTGAAAAAGGGACCCGTCTATCGGTAAGGCGTCCACGTGTCAAAATAAGTATAGCCAGCCTGCTATACTATTTTTATTAAAAAAAATTTTAAAACCGAGTATAGCCACCTGGCGATACCTTTAAAATATTCTATTTATTTAGTACACGTACGTCTTTTTCAATAATTTGAGTATGGGGCGCCAAGAAGGGAGGTAAGGCTCTATTTTGATGATTCCAACTTTTGCTTTTGAAATTTCGGAACTTTCTCAGTCCAGGGACCAAAAGGACGAAAAGTAAAGTTTGGTCTTAGTTCAGGGACCATTGCTACAATTTTGCCTCATATATATATGTTTTCAAAATCCGTAGTTTGTCACACCACTGCAGATCACCCCATTTCAAGGGTATTTCAGTATTTTTCATAATAATAAAAATTCTAAAATAAAAGATGGAAATTATAAGGAACTTAAAAAAAATAAGGGAAAACTGAAATTAATATATATTATAACATAATATAGAAAATATAGAAAAACAATCAGATTGAGGCACAGTCAAAAACCCTACACTACACTACAGATGACGCAATAATTGAAAAAAAGAAACATCATAAAGCACCAGCTTTGTGGAGCAACTTGCTCAACTTCTTGGACGACCTGTTACAAATAGCATGTCTGCTGGCCTATCCATTCTGAGGTTCATCATATCTTAAAGCACTCTGCATTTCCCTCATCACTTCTGCATCCAAAAAATGGCATGATGATAAAGAGATGAACAACCGCGTCGTCGTAATTTTAATTCCATAGAAAAGGAATATTGGGAAAGTACAGATGCATCAAGAATTTGGCAGCAATAGAAGCTATATTGTGCTGTTCTACTACCATGGAACCATGGAAACAGTAGGAACAAGAGCATAAGAATTTGAAACACTGAACAATAAATGCAAAGAGCATAGTTATCAAATGTTGCTGAGAACAACATTTAAAGAAACACCAACCATTCCTCATTACTCATTTTCTACAAATTTACCAACTGGAATTAGCTAGAGTCTAACACAACAGCAAACACATACAGTAGATTTTGAGCAGCCACAAATCAGATTCGTACACACACAACCAAGAACACACATAGCGAAGGAGCATTCTCTGAAAGTTACTTGCAAATAAAATTTTCAAGTCAGTTCACACTACGCGAACCAATTTTCTGCTAGTTACATCCATTTGACACACCACATCTTGTAAAAAGAAAACATGCCTTTACAAAAAGCAAAGTAACGACTGAAATCCCTGGATAACAGAGATAGGGGAAAATCAAGATATAAGAAAACCCTCTTTGTAGGGACTTAGGTTTGCTGGTTTTCTGGTCGAGTTGGATTCTCCTGATTCAGAAGAGTTGGAGTCATACGAAGCATCTTCTGATTATTAAGCCATAAGCCATGTATCGAGATCAAACGTCAATCCCGCACTTGTTCAACAAAACTAAGGTGTTAGATCTAGGAAAACACAACAAACTTCCTATCTGTACAGGAAGAATACAGAACTACTCTCTTCCTTTACACATATCAAACCAAACTCGATCAGCACTCCGCTTTGCTTGATGAGCCATGTACAAGGGGGATATCTTCAATCCAATCAGCATAGATGCGACTCATTTTCTCTAGTTCGTTCCACTTGAAGTTGCATTCCCTACCCTGCAGTTGTTTGTGATAAGTAGCCCCAATTCCCATCCTACGTTTTGACATAATTGTAGAAGAATTCCTCGAATTCTGCACACTTCCAGATTCCACTGCCATATAGCCACAAAGCTTCATTAGTTCCGTAAAACAATGATACGACTCAGAGTTCAGTTTTCTGAGAATCATTGCACATCCCACAACATTGAGCATCTCTTAGTCAATCAAAAGGGACATTGATGAATGTGAACAATCAGCAATTCATGACTCTAGATTGGTTCTGCAGGATATCATAACGGCCTCTGGTTCATCACTACAAATGGCTACCGATAATGGGTGCCATTTTTGTAATGATCAGTACAAAATGAAGGTTATGTACTTTAAAAACAAAATAGAAAAGACACTGCTCAAATGCCCAAAATGAAGGTTATGTACATTAACAACTTACCATTCCTCTTTAGAGCACAAAAAAAAAAAAAAAAAAAAAAAAAAAAATAAAAAGTAAAAATACAACAACAAACAACAACAAAAATTTAAGAGAAGAGTAATCAAGTTCATGTCAAACATTCGATGCATCAAGCAGACAACCAGGCACTGAAAGCCTATATCTCTCTCCATAAACTTATAAACCAACTTGCAGCAAGAGCAAAAACCTTATAAGGCCACTATGAAATCATACATATCTAATATCAATTTCCTTGGAGAAGCCTGGTCACCTTCTAAATAAGAATTGAGAAAATTGCAACAGCATTATGAATACCATCACCAATCATGCATTCCAAATACCAAGTCCATTAGACCAATATCCCCAGGGTGCCTCTTCTGACATAATGAACCAGTGAAACGAAACTAGAGTTCTTATGGGCCATGACTCATGAGAAATCAATTGATCTTCTCACAATGGGCCAGACATACTTTAATGAAGTCAAGCAACCAATTTGTTTCCTTACACGATAAGCTATGACTAATAATAATTTTTAATTTTGGCACACCAATGTTACTTCATTACATTAGTTGGATTAATAAAGGTGAAATATACTAAGAATATAACATGTAAAATATTCATATGACCAACCTTATAGCGAGTAAACATCAGCAAAACTATGATACGCACGAAAAAAATATGCTGGACCCAAAATAATCAACATTTCCAATAAAGTAAACTTTTAGTAGAGTCAAAATCCATACCCAAAGACCTCTTGCTGTAAAATTGACCAGAACCACCAATGTGAGCCCCAGTAGTTCAAATACTTATCGCTGACTTCTCTCTGATGTTTTCAGGAGTTACATGATGAGGATAGCGGCATTTGTCTCCGTATGTGCAGTTTCCCCCATTAAAGAACAATCTGCATACATCATTAGAAGTTCTTCTATGATCACAAGTCCTGGCCTTGAAGCCCTCCTCAGTTTCCAGTCCTTGCCAATTACGCCAAGTCTTGCGGAGATCACTAATTCCATGGGCAAAACAACATCCCTGCCCATAATGGCAATTACCCATTTTGAAGTTATTGCAAAGTCTGGTTTTGAAATTACAAGGCAACGTTTTATTCTGCGCCATGGGAATCGCAGAGATCAATACAACTTCAGAAGTTCTGGGTTTCTTGAAAGGTTGGCTTTCAATGTCAGAGAGATCTTTGAAATCTTTATCAGCATTGGGAAATTCAGGCTTTAGTTGATACCTGTTGTCGCCGGATTCAAGATATGGGGCAAAGAATTGGCAAGTAGGTCCATAATCGCTCATTTTGGTACAGAACAGAACTTAAAACCAAGTTGGAGCTCTAACTGTTTGTTGAAATGTCGAAGAACCCAGAAGAAAACTATGCTCGAGACATAGTTGGAGCTGAAATTCAAGAAAACCCAGGTGCAATTTCAGAACAAATGAGTGGGTATCAATCAAGAAATGAGAGCCATTCTGTTTCAATGTTTGCAAATTCGCAATGTATCGCAATCCAGATGAACATTTCTAAGTTGGGAATGGACGGAATGGACCAAATTGAAATATTCAGAAAACCCAGATGAGAAGGTACCTAAGTGAAAGTTCATTATGCGCCTCAGCTAAATTGTTATGAAACCAAAATGTTGGTGAAAAGTGGAAAACCCTAAACCCAGACTGTATTTTGGATCCCTTAGTGACATGTTTAATTGAGTAGATGGGATGACAAGGGAGAGTTGGTCGAGGCTGAGTATGCTATTCCCATTTGGCCTTCTGCCAGGTAAACGGGAAGGTCGTCGAGTACATAGAAAATTATAATGCAATACATGAAAAATGGAATAAGACGTAGGATTTTTTGTAAACCGCATATCCTTCTCGTATAATGTATAGCCTAGATTTGGATTGAGGTCAGGATCTATACTAGATCTTCCGGTTTGGGATGCTCTCGGTAGGAGACTTGCACACTTTGAACAGCTATCAGAACAAGAGCGAACTGAGGTTAGTCCCAGTTGAACTCCCTTCAATGGTTAAGTCAAAAGTGGTTGTAAGGTGGAGAGAGTGGATGTATGGTTTGCAAGATGAGAATATTTATTACCTACGTCCAGAGATAGGTGAAGAGTATTTATAGGGGGAGAAGGAGAGATAAAGATACTTAAGGAGGAGATATTTATCCTCCTTCCCCTTGGTAGGATTAGACCACATTAAATGACCTATTTCTGATCACCATACTATCTGGCAAGGATTGTGTGACGAAGTGACATGTGGCTTTGGATGGGAGGTATATTAAATGATCTCTCTTCATCACCAGTCTGTTCACTCTGAGATCAAAAGGTAAGGCGACACCTGGTCTTGGATGGAATGTACATTAACTTATCTATCTCACTTGCCAGGCTGTCTTACCAAAGGGGCGGAGTGTTTGACTCGAGAGGGGTCTAATCATGCATGTGGACCATTAATGCATCTTTGGTTGAACATAGCACCAGAGTGGTCGGGTCGGTGTTCAAATACCCGAGAGCTAAATCGACCTTTATTCCTTTGGATATTGGGTGGGAGGTCTTTTATCGACCCTCGGGGGTACCAAGTATGATCGGGTCGGTATTAAAGGTAACCCAGCCCAACTACGGCCACGTGACGTTCTCTAATAGGTTCAGCTCACAGTGATGGTATGAGGCATTAACAATTTTATATGATACAGTAATATATATTCACAATCATCATACAATCATGGATCATAAGTTAAACTAGGACTTGAAATTTATAAACGAGTATACAAGGGAAGGAATAAGTAGAGAAAACGGATATTTACATCTAAGCTTGGCATTTTATTATGAAAAACAAACAAACTGATCGAACCGAATTGGTCGGTTTTGTCGGTCATGGAGCAAATCGGTAATTGCAGTACTAATTTACAATACCAATAGCATTTTCATTTTTGCACATTCAATGTGTCAATCTCTTCCTTTTTTTTGTCTCGTGTTTCTCTCTCTCTCTCTCTCTCTCTCTCTCTCTCTCTCTCTCTCTCTCTCTCTCTCTCTCTCTCTCTCTCTCTCCTTCTTCTTCTTCTTCTTCTTCCTCTTCGCACCATATCCAGACAATGCTGCCAAGCTTCAAACCCCACACGACAGCCACTGCTTCATATCGCACCAGATCTCTCTTTGTCGACAACCTCTAGTTCCATTATAGCCACTGCTTTATATAGCGACAATGTCATCCCAAACTGATGGCCTCCCACCAAAATTGAAATAGTCGATAATCGATTGTCGGCGGATTCCTTTTTGGCCATAACGTAGCTTCTTAGTCAATACTTGGTTTTGTCGTTTCAGTTCGGTTACTGAACCGAAACTACCCATGTTTACATCCATGCCCAGATAAAGTGGGGACACACAGGGCGACTAGGAAGATATTGTAATTTCTAATAGGAATGAGACATGCTTAATTATTAGGAGTGAGGGTGTAGGGGACTTTTTCCTCCAGCAGCTGCAAATGGGCTGGGCTGCTGTAAAAAGGGCAGACTGATGAAATTGTCCCCTTTACCTGAGTTTGAAAATTAAGCCCCAAAATACCTCGAAAGGGCAGTAGGGCCTTAGGAAGTATTTTGGTTACCTTCACCAACCAAAATAATGGCAGCTTACAAATAATTTATGCATGCTTACAGATAAAATTTTAAGCTTGGCATGAGAGGCATGTGACATGGGAGCAAAATCAACATGAGTTTAGCACTAAGAGGAAATTTAGGCTTTCTTAGAGGGAAAAAGGGAAGTGTTAAGGTGAGAAAAGAGAGATTTTGTAGGATATTTGGCTAGGAAGAGAGAAATGAAGAACAATGCTCTTCTGGCAGCTTGACAGATACTCTGTTTGCCAGAAGAGAAGAATGGAGAAGATAGTGAACAGTGCACGAGACTGCTGGGTTTTTGCAAGTTAGAGAGAAAGCTTGCTCTCCAGGCGTGGGTTGTTTTTGTTGGGTAGAAGAGGCCTCATTTTATAGGCGCTGAAAATCATCCCTTCCCAAGAAACCCTAATGGTTTCTACCCATTTTGGCTAAGCTTTTCCCTTCCTTTCTCTTCTCCTCCCCTGGCTTTTCCTATCTTGGTGAAATTTCCTCTGTTTATTAGCACAAAATCAGGAACTTTGGGAGCTCAAGGCCCCATTTTCCTGCAGCTGTCTCAGTGACAGATTTCCATTCCCAGCCATTTCTTTTATTGCTTTCTTCTCTCTTTTCCAAGGCCAAGTCTGATGGGAAAAGGAGTTGGGAAATATATGCTGGTTCGAATGGTGTTTCTGGCAGCTCGCAGGCTAATATTCTTTGGTTCCTTGAATGTTTCTTGCTTGGAACTTGCTCCCCCCATGTCTGGAGGTTTTGTTTAATGAACCTGCAGACCTTCTCTACGTGGCTTCTATTTTTCCAGCAAAGGGCTGAGGCTTTTGTGGGCTTATTGTGAAGCTTTGTATGGGCCAAGGTGGTTCATTAAATAAGTGGGCTATTTTGTTAAATATTGGGCTTTTGAGTCAATAGGCTATTTGGGCTATTTGGGCTATTTCTTTTCCTCTTGTGCTCACCCACATGTTTGGGTCTAAGAAATGGGCTTGAGTCTCGAGGCTCCCAAGCAACCCGAGACTTTCCATTTCTCGGCCCATCAATGGGCCTTATGTTGATTTATTACCATCCATACCACAACCCACTCAAGCAAGCCCCGGGCATTCGAGTGGCTTGGGCCCATTTAGGCTTGTAGCGTGGTTGGGTGTGTAATAATGATTTCCTGCTTGGCATGGCATGGCATGTCGCTTGGCATGGCACATCGCTTGGCATGCTTTTTATTATGCTTGATGGGATAATTAGCATGGATTTGCAGGGCCGATATATTCTAGCATGACGAATTATTTATTTAGCATGGCATGTGGATTGCAACTCGCATGTGGCGGGTTTTTGTGTACTCCGCTTTACGCCTTTCCTTGATAAAGTGTCATTTTGGGCCGATAATTTATTCGGGCCCGACCGTGGATTTTTTGGGCCTCAACAGAGGGGAAGTCATAAAATAGGGCACCTAAGAATAGGAAAATTAAGGAATTGGAATCATATTAACTACCCCTTAGTTGATCATTTTTTAATTTACAAAGTATTTAATTACATATTTTAATATAAAACCCACACAATGTTTTATTCATAACGGGTTAGTAAATATAAGGGATGAAAATATATTTAAATTATAAATAAATAAAAGCTTTCTCAATCCAAAACTAACAACGGAAATGACTTTAAAAAGTGCACAAATGATGCATGAACTTATCCAGTTTATGTTGTTACCACCTAAACTAATTTTTTTTACAATTAACTACTTAAATTTTACTGTAACATCCCACATCGACTAATGGAGAGAGGGTGATGTGCTTTATATGTACATGCCCGCCTCCATCTAGCACGAGGTCTTTTGGGAGCTCACTGGCTTCGGAGTCGGGGGAACTCTGAAGTTAAGTGAGTTAAGGCTAGAGCAATTCCAGAATGGGTGACCCACTGGGAAGTTGCTCGTGAGTTCCTAGAAACAAAATCGTGAGGGCAGAAAGGGAGGGCCCAAAGCGAACAATATCGTGCTACGATGGAGCCGATCCCGAGATGTGACAATTTGGTATTAGAGCCATTTTTCCGTGTGGTGCGAGTGTGCCGACGAGAACGTCGAGCCCTTAAGGGGAGTGGATTGTAACATCCAACATCGACCAACGGAGAGGGGGTGATGTGCCTCATAAGTACATGTCCGCCTCCATCTAGCACGAGGCTTTTTGGGAGCTTACTGGCTTCGGAGTCGGGAGAACTCCGAAGTTAAGCGAGTTGAGGTTAGAGCAATTCCAGGATGGGTGACCCACTGAGAAGTTGCTCGTGAGTTCCCAGAAACAAAACCGTGAAGGCAAAGAGGGGGGCTCAAAGTGAACAATATCATGCTACGGTGAAACCGATCCCAGGATGTGACATTTACATTGCATTACAATTTGACACCTTTGTCCACTTTCATCACCTTTTTGTTAAATAATGGCACATGAAAATCATGAAGGCTCTTTTTCAATAGCATTCTTGTCATTTCCCGCAACTAGCAGGGTTCATAAGAACATTTTTAGACAAAGAAAGTCGAAGTTTGCTCAAATTGAACTGAATCGGTCTAAACCGATTCGTATCTCAGTTTTGTCTTGGAAGAGCTGGTTCAAACCAAATTGGACAGGTCATGTTAATTTTATTTATTTTGTATAACCAAATCTATTAATAAGCACACACAAAATATCTAAAATCGCATTAGTAGCCCCAAGTAATATCTAGACCTTTTAGCTCAATTAATACCAAAATGACAACTCTAACCTTCTTCTTTGTCTTTTAATGAACTATAACCTTCTTGTTGTGCCTCTTTCTTTCTCTCTTTTCCACATTGTTCTTTCTCTCTTCTTTGACATGAACCTGCTTCACTAGGCACTCATGATTTTGCTTATAGGCTCATGTTTATGCTATATTCCCCAAAAAGCATCTTTCTAAGGATCCAAGTGCCCACACATATATGGCACTTCACCTTTCCCTTCCCAAGGGATGTGGGATTGCTCACTGATCTTCCCCCTTCTCGCCTTGAATCCTTTAGGGCTCATAGTTCTTACCATTTACCTACTTGGGGCCCAGCGTCGTTGCTAGTATACTTTCAATCCGGGTCTAGCTCTAATACCATTTTATCCTGACCTTGCTTCACTAGCAAGATATTGTTTGCTTGGGTTCTAGGCCCTAGTAGTTTTGTTATTTGGCATAAGCTTATGTTATGTTGCCCAAAATGCCTTGCTAGGAAGTCAGGTGCCCACACATATATGGCACTTCACCTTTCTCTCCCCGAGCAATGTGGGATTGCTCACTAATCTCGCCCATTCTCCATTTCCATCCTTCACAGCCCACAAGTCTAGGTGTACCAACGAGAATGTCGGGCCCAAATGGTGCCAATTGCTTGAGTGAGGAAAGGTGAAGTACCTTATATGTGAAAATTTCCTTTCCCCTAGTAAGACGTGTTTTGGGCTTCAAAGCCCAAGAACAAATACGCGTGTATGAGGCCCAAAGCGAACAATATTTTGCAAAGCGAGTAGGATGTGTCATTCTTCCTCTTTCTATCTTCTTCCTTTTTCTTTTCCCTTATACTCGATTCAACAAATCAATGGCTCACCACTGTCACCTCTTTATAGCATCTCATCTTCCTAAACCAAAAATCAGGCAACCCGAACCAGAATAGTATTAGTTTAGATTTGTTCGGTTTCCTTAGACATTGGTTTGAAAATCGATTTGAACCAAACCATATGTAAGTTTTAGTTTCAGTTCAAATTTTAGGGGTAAACCAAGCCGAACCGAACCATACCCACCTCTAAAATAACCTATTCAAAGAGTCCAGACTCGAGACTTATGACCAATCTTGGGACCCGGAACATAGTCTGGCGCCCTCAAACACCGAATCTTGCATTATATGCCTTCTTTATTCTTGGACTACACATCATGAATGATTAAACGAAAAAGAAACACAATAGCATATTTGACTATGTTAGTAGATTTTCTCCATTAAAGAACACAATCAGATATAGCAATCAAACTCGAAATGGTAATTAGATTAAATAAAATGAAAAATGTAGAAAAATTCATACATTTTTCATGGAGAAGAAATTTGACTTATTTAGGTTGTGAGATCTAAGAGAGACGAGGTAGGCAATAAGATCCGAGAGAAAGATAAAGAGGAGGCGATGAAATCGGAGAGAGTGAATGTGAGAGTTGAAGAGGTCAATTGGTCCCTCTAAGAAAAGTGAGATCTATCCAAGAGTGGAGAGTTAAAAGTAAAACAAAAATGAAAAACTGAAAACAATTTTAAATAACTTTAAAAAAAAATAGCCTAATTTTGAAATCAGTTTTCTTTTTGTCAAGAAAAATAGTTACCAAAAATGTTTTCATTATTAAATTTTCATAAAAGAGTGGCGATTTTCACACACATATTTTGTATATTGGCACTTCTTTCTTTGGTTTTTAATGCCTTAATTTTCTTATCTGGATAACAAAACGTCTCTAGAGTTTACAAAACTAGTTTTTTTTTTTTTTTTTTTTTTTTTTTTTTTTTTTTTTTTTATGCATGGGACCACGAATGACACAAAACAAAAATGCAAGCTGATAGTTTCGTGAACCTCAAAGACGTTTTGTGATTACAAATATTAAAAAAAACCTTATTATTTATATTCAATTATTGGGATTTTATCACGACTAGTCCCTGAATTTTTTAAAGATTCCTCATTTTAGTCCTCAAACTTTCAAATTAATTAATATACCCCTTATTCTTTTGGTCGACATATCAATTTGATCCCACTCGTCGCATTACATCAAAACCTTTGTTAAAGTTGCGCACTTGATGGCTCGCACTAACTTTAAAGGGGTGTTTTTGTCAAAAAGTACTATATATCCACCCAAAAATTTTAAAAAATATGAACCTCGCGTCTTATGCTCAACAACGTGAATTTTGTTGTCTCCTTTGTATATAAGCTATATTTTGACGGAAATACTCCTTTGTAGTTGGTGAAGTGACCAATTTTAATAAAAGTTTTTACAGATTGCAACAATATGGATAATATTGAAATGTAAACACAAAAGATTAAGCACCATATTGATTGATTCGAAAATTCAAGGACTAAAATGAAAACTTCAAGAAAAATGTTCAAGAACTAATTATTTAAGTATAAAAATCAGGGGAGGAATGCAAGGGTACAAACTAGAAGGGTGAACATCGTCACCCAAAAAAACCAAGGGAAATAAGAAATAAAAAGGTAAAAACGAAATGATTACCAAAGTTCGGCTATTAACTAAAGTTGTAAAATTACTTTATACACTTCCTTGACTTACAAATTTCTTTTCTTTTGTTGTTTTTTTTATTTAAAAATTTAGACCTTCGCTTGCATTGAAAAAGAAAAGTTCCATAGATTCGCAACACATACCTACATAAGTTCTCTACCACATCCAACACAAAATAACCTGACCAACAACCAGCCCACAGAAAACCGCCCTTATTCAGATCTAACTTCATTAATTACATCTTTCAGCCTGTATGTTTAGAAGAGGTATAGTCTTTGCAATCACATATCAGATTAACTCAGCTAGTTCTTCATAAAAGCTACTAGAAAAACTAAACAATCATATCCTTCTTCAATCGGCTGTAAAGGCGAAAACGAAGCTAATTGAGACATGGGAATTGATTGTGTTAAAAAAAAAGTCACAAAATTTCATGCCAAGATGTAACACTATATTATGTCCCTTCATGTAAATAAAGTTGTGCAAGGCTAACTCTGCAACAACATTGTACAAAAAACACAGTACACACTGCATATAAAAAATTGCTGGCAAAATATTACTGTTAAAGAAAGTAGGAACCGAACAAATAAAAGAAAACTAGAACAAAACTGCTTCCTTTATTTTTCAATACAAGAATGAAAAACCAATCTATCTACTGAAGTTTCTTAATCCCAGGAAATGAGGGGAGAACTGCAATGAGAGCATCACCATATCCAACGGGATCTGTTAAGAAAAAATAGATTAGATGAGAACTTCTACCAGTGGTATCAACAAAATCCTGCAGACAAAGAACTGAAACATAGCCAAACATACCGCCATCTTCTCGTAGTATCTTGATGACCTCCCCAGATACATCAGACTTGGAAAGAAACAATGAGTGAGTCAAACACTATGTTAAATATAAAGGACAACAGCTGGGAAGAGAAGAGAAATCAAACTGCCTCTCTCAACTGACACATACCTCAATTGGAAGCTCTCCACCAAGCTGTTCTATGTAGCAAATCACTTGGCCTTCCTTCACTATTTGCTTCTGTTATGTAAAAATTCAAAAATCAGAAGAATCAGTTAAAACACTAAGCATGGAAAAATGTTAGATTTTTTCAATGATACAATCGAGCAAAGTATTTAGGGTGTAGGCAAGAGGAAATTTTTTTATTTATTTTAGTCCTTGCGAGACTCTATTTTGTGATTGCCTAATATACTAGAGTTTCTTATTCATATTGTGATAAAAAAATATTTTTGAATTAAAAAAATTGTTTTAATTTCATCTGTTTTTTCCATGTTTTACATCACTAAGCTCACATGGATTATTGATGGCTCACAAGTAACAGCATAATGAACCTAGACTAAGCCGAGAAATAAACAAGCTAACAAGTACATTGACGGAGACAAAAAGTCCAAAATGAAGCACGAGAAATCAAATTTGAGTCCCAAATCCCAACAAGACATCCCTACATCCTGACTGTGTGCCAGCCAAGTATTTCCATTAATGCCTTTAAGGAAGCAGGAAATTCAACAATTCTTTCGTTAAAATTAACAAATTAGCTGAAAAATATGTACCTCTTTACATGATGGCGGAGCACGCTTCCCCTTTATCGTTCGTGATCTCCTAAATAACCCCACCTGCACCATTGGTTGTTTTAGTGTCCAGATTTTATAAAATGACAGAAACATTTAATTTGAGTTCTTACTCGTGGAGAATGAATTAACACCAAGCCATCATCTGCAGCTCTATCTAGCAATGTCTGGATATTCCTTGAAGAATGTTCTTGTCTAATGATAGCTAAAGATTGTGTAGGAACTGAACCATTCGAAGCAGGTGCTTCAGCAGTTGCATTCACACTAACAGGAGCAGGACTTGGGGGAGGTAGAGTGCTAATTTTTTCAGTCAACTCCCTCAGCACATGTAACCGAAATCCACCGATCTGATTATATGGTTGGAATGTGTGAAATTAATAATAGAGAGAATGGAAGATAAATCAGTAGCATCCCATACTAATAGGAAGCATAAAGGAAATAGGGAGGGGTTGTGAATGGAATATTTATTAGTTGTTAAAAATGAAAAACTTACAATTCATAATATAAGCACCATTAAGAAAAACAGTCTTGCTTACTTTTAATTCGAACTCAGCAACTGAAGTTGTATCGCATATTGTTGTGACCAAAGATTCTATCTGCAAACCAAAGTAACCAAAAGACATGTTTTAAACTCATAAAAACGCTTTAGCATTAAGTGAGGACATACATGCGTTTGTGGGTAAATGTAAAGAGAAAATTTTAAGACGAAAAGTTTGTTGGCCTAGTAATAATTAGGGAATTGCATGGCAAGGTTAACAGAAGTAAATTTGAACAGAAGGAAATTTTATTGAGGAATTTTACAAGAAACATAGATAAAATCAGTCAATATTTTCCTCAAATATGAGCTTGAAAGAAAATAGGGTGTGCATGTATTAAGATAATAGTTAAGGAAACAAAAATGTAGAGGAATTTCACAAACATTATAGGGACATTTCACGATACCATCCAGGTCTATAACAAAAAGACCTAGCAATACATATTTTCAAGTCTAAATGAATTAAAGTTGTCTTCTCTTTTTCAAATTTGAAGTACCATAAAGCATGATTTTGCAATGTACAATAACAATAGCAGGATTACCCACAAGCAGTGATGAAAATAAAATGTATGCAACTTGTGATTTATAGTATTCTACCAATAACCTATTTTTCCATCCCTCTTTTTCAACACAAACCAAAGAAAATAAACTTGTGTATTTGAATGCAACTATTCAAGAAATCTAACACATGAAAAAACTGCAGAGGTTGCACGAGATTTTTTTTCTTTCTAAAAATGTAAATTTGAAGTGTAGGGATGTGCTCTTTAAAGACGGTGATTATAACCATCTTATGACACCCTAGAAATAGAGAACTCGGACATCTACATGGTGCATAAAAAATTGGCATGATACAAGAAAAGAAGGAATTTACATTTTTCTCTCTGTCTTACCATTTGATAAACAGAAAGAATAACCAAGCAAAAATACTTCTTGGATCATAATTCCTCCAAAAGTAAAACTCCAAGAAACAACCATTACTACATTCACAACTCCACTAATCTTTAAAGATGTGCCAAAGGGAGAAAAGGGGCATAGAATTAATAAGGGTCCCTAATTATTAGTGAACTTACCTCGTCAAAATTTGGAATGAGCTGGTTTGTCGAACCAGAATCTCTACTCTCTGCAGGACCATCTTCTAAACTTGTAGTAGCTGTTACATCATCAACAGAATGATGATATGAGATAGACTATATGTTACAGGACCAGATATTATCATGTTGACATAATACTAACATTTACAAATCAATGAAACTTACTATTTCGTCACTCAATACTGGACAAGAATCACAAAAGTTTTGGCCTTGCAAATCCCAAGATAATGCCTACTTAACTTTTAATCACAGGACATATTAAAGATTACCAAATATGACTTAATAGGTTTCAGGACCTACATAAAATTTTGGGATTGGCAATAGCATACCATAAATGAATAGGTCAGTAATTTGGATTTATTAGACAAAGATAAACAAACTTCATTCATCATTTCAACACTGAATTAAACAATATAATAGGAAGAATACAAGATTGTAAAATTTCATATAAAGAAAATTGGCGTATGTACCTAGACAATGTAACCTTAGAACAATGGCTTATTTACCTTTACAAAAATATTTTGTAAAGTGGATAGAAATGCACTAGTAAATCTACCCAGATTCTCAAGCAATCAACTTCCATGTCATTTTCACTTCAGTTTCACAAAATTTACTAAGCTTAAAAGAAAAATTATCATATAATAGCATGTGTATATTTATACACATGCATCAGTGAGAAGTCATATAATCCAACAAACTTGATGTTTTGAGTGCCGATAATCAAATTCCAGATTTGACGTATTACTGAGGGAGGACAAGCAAACAAATACATCAACAAAAAGAACTTACGCAGGGTTTCTAAAGATGGACCACTGTGTGCACGTAATACTTTGTCTGGTCGTCTTGACATTGACAAACATGAGTACAATTGTGGTTTTTGCCCTGTCCAAGTTTTTAGACCAGATGATTGTAGAATCCCGACTCTTGTTCTACCGAAGTTCAAGTTTGTAATTTTGGCATTCAATGTCCCTAGGCTACCTGCCACCCAAATCATATCACAAATGACTAATAATAATAAGAAGAAATTCCTTCTTTTCTATTTCATTTTCATTTGGTATGCATTCATGCTTCTGTACATGAATAAATAAGAATCAGCGGGAATAGACAAGCTTTATATAAGAAATGATAAAATCTACTGGACACGAAGCAGACTATAAGACCCTCAAATTAACTTTCAAGTAGAATCTAATAATGCACTACACTTGTAACATAGATGCTTGAGGTCAGTTTCTCTTCTCCTTCTTTATCTTCCTTCATTAGTTTTTACCATTTACTTACCAGTTACCACTAGGAACCAGAACAATTAAATTCAAGAATTTAGATTCACAAGGGAGTAAGTGCAATGTTTCAAACATGCAATAATTACTGCTGCAGCAACATGGTTAACCTTTTTTCATGAGCTGTGCCAAAAACTTCAATGGCTATAAGCAACAAAACCCTGTAATCCCAACCCCAAATTCCTAACTATAACCATAAATCAATTTACCAAATACCCATTTCCCCATAATCAAAATAATGAATATAGACATGTATAATTCACAACAAGAAGTAAAATCAGATTTCTCAAGTATATGTGTATCTGTGTGAAGGAGAGAGAGACTCACAGGAAGCCATGAAGATGCTTGAGCCTTGTGGGTGGGGGGGAGAGAGAATGAAGAAAGTGGCTAGAAGCTTGCAGAAACTTCACAGAGAAAAATCCAATTTGAAATGTCAGTGCAAACTCAGCAGAAGGCAGAAGAAGAAGAAGAAGAAGAAGGCAGAGAGTTGAGGCGGTGAGAGCCGAGCGAGATACACGGCCGTTAAGTTCCAGAAATGACAATGGAATATTGGGACCAGTTAACCACTAACCAAACATACAGCTGGAAACTGGATTAGTACCTCTGGCGAACCAGCCCAAGCCCAAATCTTGTTTTTCCTCAAAATCTATGCCTTTTTATTTTAATTTCTTGTCATTTTTATGTGAATATATAAAATAACAGAGGTAGAACTAGAAACATTGAATTGTTTTTTTTAAGATTGAAATTCTTTCCGGAAATATGTTGATCCGATCAGTGTCGGTCCTCGAACCTATGACTTGCTAAGTTTTAGTTATATCACAAAGGCAACAAATCTACGAAACCAGAATATTGAAATTATGTTTTGTTTTCAAATTTATAGACATGTTTGGTGTGCCAACAACAAGTGTAAAGTGCTTTTCTAGTTTAAATCGGATCCAAATTGATTTAGCTGGTTTTTGTTTATCTCCAAATTATGTTTTACAAGTTTTGGAATGCTCAACAAACTTTCACCTACTTCTTGGAAATGTCTTTTATCAATCCAATCTAAGGGGCATGACTTTCAATTCTTAACTTTTATTTTATTGTAATGTGCCTGCTTTCTGATTACTTTTTTCTTTTTTCCTTTTTTTTGTGTCAAAGATTAATTGTTGGATTTGTGTTGTACACAACTTTTCTTTTTCTTTTTTTCTCTTTTTCTTTTTTTGGGGTGCGCAGTACTGCAAGATTTTGTAAAATCTGCAGGCCTGAAAATGTTTTCCAAGAGGCCCTCCATTGGACTTCGCTTCGATCAAGCCCATACCATTTCTACTTTTCATTTTGGGGTCAAGTGATTAAGCTGAAGTACCATCAATAAGATTACACAAAAAGCAAGCATTATAAGTTACAGAGGATGAGATAATGAGGCCATCTCCATCCAGTCATGGGCTATAGGCTCAATAGAGCGTTACAATTTAGTCCTTTAAAATATTATTATTTTAACGAGTAGTATTTTTTTTCATCTTCGGTCATGCAGGGCTATATGTTAAGGCTTTTCATATTTTATTATTTTGAGAAAAACTATAGTACAACACTTATATATTCCACTACTATATATTTGTTTAAATTAATTAAACTACTATTTAGAGACAATATTCCAAATATGACACGTGTACGTTGATAAGCATTTATAAACAGTGTGGAATGAAAATTGTGAGAAATGTGGAATGAAATGAGTGTGAAAATTTTTGAAGAAATTTGGAGCTATTTATAGACATAGTATAAGTTTATTTTATTTTAGAAAGCCTATAATAATGGCTATTTTGAAAATATTCCTGCATTTCAAAAGGTTATGACCTCCCAACGATCATAATCAATTTTTAAAATTTTTTTCAAAAAAATGAATTTTATATACATTTAAACGTTATAAGAAGGAATAAAAAATAACATTCCAAAAGGTTCTGACCGTTATATATATATATATATGAAGAAAAAAAAACAACCTTTTGGAATGTTAAAAAATGAATTTCAATACATTTAAAACGTTATATGAAAAAGAAAAAAAAATTGTAACTTCTAACTAACGTTAGTGCGCCTTTAATATCAACCCTTAGATTGCAGTTGCACGAAATGTTCCCTTGATCACACCCACACGTGACACTTCCTCTTGTTGGGCAACACATGTGCCCAGTTCACACAAAAATTTTGACATGGGCTACAAATAGCCTAGTTGGAGGTCTAAAAGGCTAAATGTGGCCCTCAAAATTTGGTTTTTTTTTTTTTTTTTTGCCCCGGGAGGATTTTGCATGTTTTAAGAGCTAAATATGGCCTATGTTTCGTCATTGTTGTCGCCTTGCCATCATCATCTCCTCAATCGCCGCAATCGTCGTCTACGCCACCATCGATGTCGTTGTTTAGGATTTAGGGTTTGGACTTGGGATTTTTGATCTTTTGCTTCAATTATGTGTTTCTCTTCAAATTTTAGTTGATTTGAGGAATGTATTTTAAGTTTTGATGATTAATTTATCTTTTGTTACTATTTTAGTTATGGTTCTCATTTTTGTTTAACAATGTATTTGTATGACAGAGTATTAACAAGATAGTTCCATGACAAAGTATTAACAATGTACTTTTATGAAAAAGTATTAACAATGCACTTCCATGACATATGAAAAACGTTAAAAAAAATTTAATGTTAAAAAAATGAATTTCAATACATTTAAAACGTTATATGAAAAGAAAAAAAAATTTGTAACTTCTAACTAACGTTGGCGCACCTTTAATATCAACCCTTGGATTGTAGTTGTATGAGATGTTCCCATGATCAAACCCACACGTGATACTTCCTCGTGTTGGTCAACACATGTGCCCAGTCCAGACAAAATTTTGACATCGGCTACAAATAGCCTAGTTAGAGGACTAAAAGGCTAAATGTGGCCCTTACTTTTTGGCATTGTGGGTTGGCAATTTTTTTTTTTTTTTTTTTTTTTTTTTTTTTTGGCCATGGAGATGGATTTTGCATGTTTTAAGAGCTAAATATGGCCTATGTTTCGTCGTCATTGTCGCCTCGCCGTCATCGTCTCCTCAGCCGCCGCAATCATCGTCTTCGCCGCCATTGATGTCGTTGTTTAGGATTTAGGGTTTGGACTTGGGATTTTTGATCTTTTGCTTCAATTATGTGTTTCTCTTCGAATTTTAGTTGATTTGAGGAATGTATTTTAAGTTTTGATCATCATTTTATCTTTTGTTACTATTTTAGTTATGGTTCTTATTTTTGTTTAACAATGTATTTGTATGACAGAGTATTAACAAGATAGTTCCATGACAAAGTATTAACAATGTACTTCTATGAAAGAGTATTAACAATGTACTTCTATGACAGAGTATTAACAAAGCTTATTTATGTACATGCCCCATGTGTTTTCAAACTTGTCTCATATTATCACATGTGTTTGCAAACGTCTCAAAGTACCACCCAACCTTTTAAAAACCGTCTCACGTTATCCGTTCCGTCAATTTTTTAGACGTTCCGTGACGAACGTTGGGCCCCACTTCATTTTAACCTTTAACCTCTTCGAATAAGGGTTTCTCAGTTCTAAGAAAGGGGGAAATTGGGTGAGAAGGGGAAATTGGAGAATAGGGCTTAGGGTTTGTGAAAATCTTAGGTTGGCTTCGATTTTGGGAGAATCTGGAGAAGAAATCATTGTTTGGCGTTACACTTTAAGGCTAGAAAGTGCGAAAATGGTGGTGCTTAGAGAATCTGGAGGTTATCAACCCATATGTAAATGGACCCATTCTCACTCGATTTTCCTGATTTTGGCATATACATTGAACTGCTGTTAGGGTTTTTTTTTGTTTTTTGAAAACTTTTTGACTCTGTGCTGTCTTGGTGTGATCATCGTGTGGTCCTTGCGTGTTTCTAGTCTAGTGTGTTGCTGGAGTTTTTATTTTATTTTTTCATATTCTTTTTTACTCTGTGCTAGCCCCAATACACCTTATGTGGTACTTGTGTGTTCCTTGTATTATCCTTGTGTGGTCTTTGTTTTGTCTTTGTTACCTTTGTCCATTTGTTAAGTGAATCTTCCTCTTACACAGATAAAGATGCTGATGAGGTTGTCACATTTAAGTTTTTCCATGGAGGTAAATTAGTTAAAAAAAATAGAAATGACAGTGAATGGTCTTATTTGGGTGATGAAGTCAATTGGTTTGATTATGTTAGAGTTCTTTGGAATGGCTAAAGATTTGGGATATGATGATGGGTATGATGTGAGTTTTTATGGTGAAGAGTTTGGAACTGGTAGACTCATTCAATTAATATCATATAGTACACTTTTAGCTTGTATGAGCACGATACCTAAAAGTAATAGTAGGGTGATAGTTTTGTACTTGAAAGTAGTGAGCCTGAATTCAAGCCCAGTGGGGAATGATAGCAGTGATCAAGAATATTCTTGTTCTGAGGATGATGATAGCAGTGATCCAGACTTTGAAAACAGTGACTATGCACAGAATGATGAAGAGATGGACTTATTGAAGAATGATGATAAGTGGTTTGAAGGTTATGTGGATCATAGTTGCATTGACAATGATCTTAATGCAGAGGAAAATGATGAGTCAGACAATGGAGAAGAGTCACCTATAATGACCATAACAAAATAAGAGTAGTATGTGAAGAGGGCTGTCTTTTTGTTATCCATGCTTCAAGTGTTAGTGGTAGCACTTACCTGCAGGTGAAAACCTTTAATCTTACACATGTTTGTTGTAATGGGACTAAAAATATACATGCCACTGCTGGGAAGAGGAAAGTTGCCAGGGAAAAAATTGCAGTAAGTTCCACGGTTTCAACTATGTTTTCACCAATCAAAATTTCATATTATGTAAACTTCTAATTATTATTTGTTTTAGGTAAGAAGGAGAGATGGTGAAGACCAAAGTAGCGGACAACAGAGTATGCAATTAAGGCAAGAGAAACAAGCATGCGGTTCCTAAGGGCCTTCTCAATCCCAGGCATCTGAAGTAGCTGATGCTTCTCAATCCCAACCATCTCAAGCAGCTGAACCTGCCAAACTATCTCGAGTACAACAACGTAGAAGGAGGATGAAAGATCAACAGAGGAGTCAGTTTGTCAAAGATCCTTTTTTTTCATCCTTGAATGTTGTGGAAGACTTTAATGATCCTGACATGGTTGTTGGTTTGTGGGATTATTGATGTCTGTTATGGTTGGAACTTGTTTTGGTTGGAACCTGTATAGTTGGTGTCTGTTATGGTTGGAACCTGTTTTGGTTTGTGCATATATTCCAAAGGCTGTTATGGTTGGAACTTGTTTTGGAACCTGTTTTGGTTTGTGCTCATATTTGATTTGTGGGATTATTAATGTCTGTTATGGAAAATTGACCATTCAGTATGTCACCATTTGTAACCTCTAAACAAGTTACCATTCATATCACAAAACAAACTGAAATAGCATTACATTACTTAACTAACTAGCATTACATTCATGTCACCATTTGTAACCTCTAAACAAGTTACCATTCATATCACCATTTGTAACCTCTAAACAAATTACAATGAACAAACTTAACTAGCATTACATTACATTACACCAAATTACATTACATTACACTAACATAACTACTGCCAAAGTGCCTTATATTAGATTAGCATTTGTTCTCAAATTAAATTTGCCCACTAAACTACTTCCAAAGTGCCTTACATTACATTAACATTTTTTCTCAAATTACAGTGCCCACTAAACTACTGCCAAAGTGTCTAATTCATCTTCATGGCAAACACCACCAACCAGGAAAGCAATATAGCAGCCCACAATATTTTTGACTTTGCTCGAATCTTTGCATTTTCCTTCTCCACCCTATCAATCTTCCTCAGCAAACCAGGTATCAAAGACTTTGAATGCTCACGCATTTCTGCATCAAACCACTGAAAAAATCTACATCCTTTTTCTCCATTTCCCTGTATCAATCAAGAACAACGACTGAAAATTTCCTAATAAAATGACTAAAAATTTCATCAATGACTGACAATTTCATCAATAAGAACTCTATCAATTTGTGATGCCCAAAACAATGGACTGAAAATTTGATCTTAAACATGCTTACCTTTGACTTTGGGCAGAGTAGAAATCTCCGCCCTGGGTTTGAACTGGTCCAAGAAGTCTGCATCCGTGCTAACTTCCCACAATGACACCATTAGGCATGCCTTGCTTCTCCTTGCTTCTCTCCTGTTTCCATCAACCCAAATCTTCTACTCCACAATCTCCCAATTTCAAACTCCACCTCAGAGTTTTATAAACCCCTAATTTCTTCTCCAGCTTCTCCCAAAATCGAAGCCAACCTCAGATTTTCACAAACCCTAAGCCCTCTTCTCCAATTTCCCCTTCTCACCCAATTTCCCCCTTTCTTAGAACTAAAAAACCCTTATTCGAAGAGGTTAAAGGTTAAAACAAAGAGGGGCCCAACGTTCGTAACTGAACGTCTAAAAAACTGACAGAATGGGTAAGGTGAGACGGTTTTTAAAAGGTTGGGGGGTACTTTAAGACGTTTGCAAACACATGTGGTAATCTGAGACAAGTTTGAAAGCACATGGGGCATGTACATAAATAAGCCTATTAACAATGTACTTCTATGACATAGTAATATTAACAAGATGGTTCTATGACATCGTAGTATTAACAAGATAGTTCTATGACATAGTATTAACAATGTACTTCTATGAAGAGCCCCCGCTTGGTTTTCACAATTTTTTTTTAAATATGAGCTGGGCTTATTTTGCGTTTTTTTTTTGGTTGAATTTTTTGTGTTGGCTTTTTTTTTAAAGTTAATTAGTGGCAATTATGTAATTTATAGGAACTTCAACACCCATTTCTTATGTAGTAAATTAGTTTTGGATGTATTTCTAAAGTGCATTCCATGTGGAGTTCTTTTTTTATTTATTATTATTATTTTAAATTTCAGCCCCTATTTTGAGTATAATAGTGAAGCTCCCAACAAAGCATGGGATAGAAAGGCCTTCAATTGGTACGTACCCCATCGGTGTCTTTGATACTTATGGTTTTTTTCTTGCAAACCACCCTACTGATTCATATTCAATTGGTTAAGTGCTACCCCAAACGCGAAGCTTTGAAACGTTTTTTTGGCATCAACACTTATTAACTAATTGAAAACAATTTGCAAATTAGTTAACCTATAACCGACCATGCAAAGTAGCAATATGCTCTTACACCACAATACATTTAATTCAAAATTCTATCCAACCTTCCATGGTATGAAGGAGAAGTTTATTATAAATTTTATAGAAATTTGTATATTTTCAAGCACTCGATATTTTTTTTCAACCCCAAATTTTTCTTTTTAAATCGTCAATATCAACATATAATACCTTAAAATCAACCAACCATTCCGACCATAAAGAAAAAAAAGACACAGCCTTCTGTCCAATGCTTGTCTATATAGCTATATCATTGAATCATTGACAATCTTCTGCTTTTGACGAAGAGATAATATACTAAAAGGAATGCTTTACCTTCTCTATACTACATGCAATGCCTATTTAATTTAATTCTCACACACACTGTCAATGTGTCATATACTAAAAAGAATGCTTTATTTACTTTTTATTTATTATTTATAGAACCATAGTTATATGCACAAACATGTCAAGTATTGAAAATGATGATAAGGATACACCTTGAGCAAAAATACTTTTTATTGGGGCCGGATTGACACGCGATGAAACTAGTAATACTTGTAACTAGCCAATTAGAATGAGATTTGACTAATATTATTGAAGACAAATTTGAATAACATAAAGCTGGCCTAAAAGGATGACAAGAATCTTGCTGCTTAAAGCATTGATAATGGAGTGCTATAAGAGCAAGACACATATACTTGTATGAATATGTATCACTTTTGAATCCACCATATACACATACTTTTAAAAGTACAAACCAGGTCAATGAAGGGAATCCAATGTGGCCATGTAAGCAAAAGAAATAGTGAAAATTATTAAATTAAATATCTGTTCATTTTAGGGATGATTGAATAAAGCAAAGGAGAAGGAGAGCATAAAAATAAGTGCAAATGAACAAAATGAAAGTAATTACAAAAAATGTCATCCGTTCACGTAATTTATAATCTTTAAGTCGTGACGTGATCGCTCATTAATCGTTTTAATTTCATCAAACAAGAATAGCTTACAAATATTAAAATAAGAATTGGCTTAGTAGAATTGTTTTGTGTTTCTTTTGGCTTCGGTGAAATTTGATATTGCATCTTGTACTTATCAGTTACCAGAATGCATGGTTGCTTTCTTTGATATCGATAATGCTTAGTGGAATTCATCACTTTTGCCTCAAGCAAGCTCCTTTTTAAAGTGAAACTACTCATATCTGACCAAATTTTCCTTTTGCATATATATATTTGCTAAAGCTCCAATGGTGTTCCTTTTAAGTTTTCATTTGGATAATACATTTAGCAGCCTTTAGTGTGGATATTCTAATATTGATGAGTACGGAGTGAGTGAGTCACAGAGAGAGAGAGAGAGAGAGAGAGCATCTTATAATGAAGTTGGTGCACATCGTTTCAAGTAATGAAAAGAAAAAGGAATCATTCATTTCAGAAACCAGGCACATTACAATAATTAAATAAAAGGTTTAACACAAATGACAATAATGGGGAAATTAAAAAGCACCAAAATTACATTGATTAATTTAATTCTTATGGGAAACCTAACAAAATGCTAGGCATATATGTAGCTTATGTGGACATGGGTTCTTATGTGCCATGTTTCACCATGAAAAACCCCTAGAGCTAGCAACTCAAAGGAATAGGGAAGGAAAAACTGGTCATGATGATATCGTCTCTCTCGCTCATCAGCAATGCCTGCAATAAAATAAATAAACATATGAGATCGTGAATTGATATTGAAACTGAGCAAGATCTAAAAATCATTGGTGTTAGTTTGGAACAACAAATGACAGCGTAAAAACCTACCCAAAATTAGTTAAATCCTGTCTAGTATGAGTCTCTTGGGGCATTGCATCTAAAACATTCCATTCTGCTAGCAAAGTTGTGTTCGTTGCAACCCAACCTGTCCCAAAAAAAGAAGATAGAGATTAGTTTACGGATGGAATGTTACAAATAGATATAAATGGGAGGAAAACGAGAACCATACTCTACTTTCTATACGTGTGAAGAAATAGTTTTATTAGAATGAATCGAACTCTTAACATATCTTAATTTTAAGCCACCCACTTACTTAATTTTTGAAAAGAAAAAGACAGATTCGTAAAGTATTTAACTTGAAAAAGCAGTCAAAGAAATAGGAATATTTTCAGTACGTAAGTACTTTTTCGGTCAGATTTTCAATTTTATTTTTTGGTCAGATTTTCAATATTTAATGAGCACCTAAACTAGCTGAATATACATCTTGACAAAGCAAGCTGTAGCCAAACCAAAAGCAAGATTGTGTCCAAATTATCCAGGACCAACTTTTGTTGATACTGAAAATATATCCCAAATTATTTGTAGCTAAACACATTACACGTATTAATTGTAACATATATACACACATATGCATATTCCTGAATTTATCACCTGGTACAAATCCAATCTCCAGATTTCCATCCAGGTCGGGCACCGCCGCCAGCACCGCCACCAAGTCCTAACCCGAAACCCCGAGAGCGTGGCATGTCAGAGTCAAAGCCGCCTCCGCCTCCACCAGCGGCAGAGTCATCCTTGAAAGCACCACATTTGAAGCAGCTGGAGCGGCTGGCAAAATTGTGCGCCCCACAGTTGGCAGCAGCGCAGTACCAGTCGCCAGGCCTAACATCTGAGCCGGTACTCATGAAGCCGAATGAAGATCCTCCTCCTCCTCTTCCACCAAACCCCCCAAAGTCCACGCCGGACTTGGAATCTCCACAGCGTTGGCATGAGTCACGCCTCTGGAAGTTGAGGTGCTGGCATGACCTGCAGTTCCAATCTCCTGGCCTGCTCATCTTTTGATCTGCATTAATATTTTTTTTTAAATGTTTCAGAAATGGTATTTTAATTAATAAGTTTCTGAAATTTAAAATAAAGTCGCTTTTTATTTTATAGATATTCCTATGTGGAAGCTACAGTGCTATGCATGAGAGATGTGGTAGCCCTTAGTATCAATAACTTACTTTATCCTAAAGCCACCTAGTTTCAAACATAAACACGATATCAGCACGATTTATTATGAACTTACTTCGCTATAAACAAATTAAGAAATTAAATGCATCGAAAATGTTCATTATTCATACATAAAACTAAATTGAAACAAAAGAGAAGCCAGAAATCAAGATTCAGAAGGAAAGAAATTTTTAGAAAAAGCATTGTGAGAGAGAGAAGAGAAGAGAAATAACCTTAAGAAAATGTAAGGATCAATCTTCTTCAGTATTGGATAAGTTGGAGAAGAAAGAAGGGGATAATGGTGAAGTGATGAGCCATGCAGGCAGGGAGTGGTTATATATATACAAAGTGAGGCCACAGAAAAAGGGAATAAATGGAGGGCCGTGTACTACTTTTTCGTATTCTTCAATTAGCAACCTTGATAAATGGAATCAGAGAAATCTAAAGGAAGAAAAAGAGAAGGGGAACTCGATATTCCACGATTCCAAAGAGAGGATATTTTGAATTTTGAATATGTACTTTGTTTACTGGCCCTCTTTCAATTTAGGGTTTTGTTTTTTTTTTTTTTTTTTTTTTTTTTTTTTTTATATATTTATTTATTTTGACGTGAGAATAATGCATGCATGTACACACTAGTACTATATACTACTATTCATGCTGGTAACCCACTTTCACATTTGCTTCTTTCTTGAGATTAGTTTGTAATTTATTTCATTACTGATCACATCTCTTACGAAAATGAGATTTTTGCAAAGATGTATATAATTGAAGTATATATGAGACTAGATCAAACATATATATATGCGAGAGTGAAAATGAAGAGATCTAGATCGTTATTGTAGGACAAGTTAATAATTACTTCCAATATCCAAAGGCAAAACATATACAAGCATGCAATGAAAAGAATAGCAGATCATAGTGAAAATGTAACCTGAAATTAAAAGTCACAAGTTTTCACACAACCAATATGATGGCTAGTTAGATAGCCCGCCATCTTTAAGATTAATTGAAGTGATTAGGCTGACCAAAGGGAACAATCTGATTCAGCCTTGCAGGTCTAGCACGCTAGCCCAACAATTCAAGACCCACAAAAAGAAAATACAGATTCTGTAACCTAATTTCACTACAAATCTACCAATCAAACAAACCATGAACCTAGAAAGGCCCTTTGACCATGGCATTAATTGGGACCCCCTTTACTTCATTAATATGGCATATCAAATTGAGCTGCCACGAACTATATATGTTTGGGATTTTTGTAGAAATGTTACTTGAATTTATACCTCAATTTTAATTTGTCACCTTAAAGAAAAATTTAGGAGAAATGTCATCTTAATTTTTCAAAACTCATTATTTGTCATCTGACTTTAACACCATCCATTTTTAATGGGATTTTAGTCTTTCCATTTTCAAAAAAAGAAATAAAGAAAAAATAGACATCTCTCTCCCTTTCTCACCCACCCCAACCGCACCTGCCCCCAAAACACATCGCACTGGACCCCCCTCCCCCTCTTCTCTCTCTCTGTCTCTCTCTCTGAGCATGGAAATGAAAAAATACCAAAAAGAAAAAAGAAGAAGAAAAAGGTGGACTCTGTTTGGGTGGGCTGAGGGAATTTTTGTGTGGAGGGTAGCTGTTTCATGGTAGATAGAGGAGGAAGGGGTTGTGAGGAGGGAATGGGGAATGGATTTCAAGGTGAGCGGGATTGGTTGGAGTCGCTAGTGACTCACAAGAGATGAGGGAACGTGAGATTTTTTTTTTTCCATTTTAATTGTTTAAAAGATATCTATAAATAATAATAATAATAATAATTTTTCCATTTTTAAAATACCCTAAAAATGAATGGAAAATTAGATGGTGTTAAATTGAGATGACAAATCATGGATTTTGAAAAAATTAAGGTAACATTTCTCTTAAATTTTTTTTTAAAGTGACAAATTGAAACTATGGTATAAGTTCATGTGACATTTCTACAAAAATCTATATATATATATATATATATAAGTGTAACAAAATAACAGCCCCCCAGAAAAAGAGAAAAAAAATAGAAACCCACAGATGGATGAATGTAATTGGACAATGTGGAATTCTAATCAGCATCTCCTTCCATGAAATAGATATTCCCTAAACATAAAGCTCTTAGCAGGGCCACTTGTTATCTTAATTGTATCCATCAAAGGCCCAAGGGGGGTCTAGTCTCTGTCAATTTTACTTTGAGAATCAGCAGATTGACAGTCAATTTATTGGAAAAATTGCTCTTGCTTTACAAATTTGAATATTCCTTTATTCCTATTACGTTTCATAATTACAGACAGCTCAAGTGGAGTTAAACAATACCCAACTTTCTAAATGTGGCAAGACCACCCATTGGAACATTAAAAATAGCATAGAATTATCGTTGTAATTGAAATTTTTATTACCACAATAGAAATTCTCGTAGCTAGTATATCTATCCTCAAAGAAAATGCCAACTACAATCATTCACATGCGCGTAGATAATTATCGACTGAATAACGTATATATGTTAGACTCAGATATTATTTGGGGTTATTACTTGACGGAATTTTGGTGTTTCTTTTCCTTTTTCTTTAATTGTATTGATGGGAATAGTATCTTGAAGAGAGAAACTCAAAAGGGAGAAAAATGATAAAACCAAAAACAGAAAAAGAAGCAAAATGGTGAGTTTCAATAAAGGAAGCTGAAGCTGATGATGGAATAACAAGTCTTCGAGGTGTTGTTCATTTTGACCATCTTTCTTTTTTTTCCTTTTTCTTTTCTTCGCTGCGGCTGCTATTCCAATATTTCTCTCTCTCTCTCTCTCTCTTAAAAAAGAACTGCACATAAGGAGAGATCTGGCCTCCATTCTCTTGGAGAAGGGTAAAGGGGAAGAGAGGCAAACTGTAAAGAAGCAAAGAGAAGTGGGCAGCTGATGATTCGATTCTCTCTCCTCGGGAATCGTTTCCATGCATGAATGACTACGACTAACTTATATTTTCTTGGTACCTTTCTTTTTTGTGTATCCTACTCTCGTCAATAATATTAATTCCTCAGGCTGAATTTGTTGAATTCCTTTTCCTCTTTAAAAAAACCAAACCCTAATAAAAGGAGATAGGTTAATTACTCCCACTTTATCCTTTTGCTATCTTCTTTTTTTCAATACAAGCTCCGTTGTCGTTCTGCTATCTTTTTGTATATATATAGCAAATGCTCTTAATCACTTTACCTACAAGTCCTTTGTCGTTTTGTTATCTTCTTATATACATAGCAAATGCTCATAATATCTTACGAGTTTGACCAAAATCCTTTTTATTCCAAGTCATAATTATTCCAAATTGTAAGTTATAAATCATCCTAAATATTACCCTAATAAGTCCAAATACCTTCTATATAAATTGTAAGTTAAACCAAGCAAATTTGTTGTGTGGCTTTGATGGTTGAAATGGGGTTTTGTAATTGTTGTTTTGAGAGTGATTTTCTTTCACCATTACAACATTGCGCTTGGATTCGGATATATCCTTCTTTGGTCATGTTATTGAGTTTAGGGTCATTGTGTTCAGCGTATTGCGTAGTTTGAACACTTGAGTCTAAAGACCTACCTGAATTATATTGCTTCAGAACCGTGATTCTATTGGCTAATCAATAATATATATTACTTGTTTTTACGCGTACAACGATCTGTATAGTCAATTTGTATGACTAAAACGTAATAAATTCCCAAAACTCTACTAATATGTAAACTTGTGGTCACGCAATACGTTCAATTTCATGGTGACTTGCACACCCGAAGAAGAAAAGGAAAAATACACGAACGAACATAAGAAAGGCAATGGAGAGAATCCCGTGGACCTTCAAAAGGTGCACTCTTAACAAATTTGTTCAAATCCCAAATGCCATATATAAAACCACAATTGAATTCCATTTAACTTCTCATTATACCTGCATACACCATACAGGTTGCGCCTACACCAGATGCAAATTTCAAAACACATTTCATACATGGCGCAATCCATTTTAGCAAAACTAGTTTATGTAAACCAACACGCTCAAGCTAATCTACAACGTGCACACCAGAGGATTGCTTTGAGATTGCATTATGATCCTTTTCGGCTTCGACTACCAGAACCAGCTAGACCTCTCGCACTGATTGATTCAGTTGGACTAAACAAGTCCCTGTGACCTAACGGAGTACTTCCTCGGGGTACAGGCGACGAAACTTGACGAGGCGACGAAATTTGACGAGGCGATGGAACTTGACGAGGAGATCCTGAACTTTGCTCGCTTGCTCTATGTGTCTCGGTCTCCAAATTCTTCACTTCTTCAGTGAGCATTGCTAACTGTTTCAGCAAAGGCCATCCATCCATAAATATAGTTAGCATGAGAAAGATACTCTGTTAGAATGTTACAAACTAGGAACTAAAAGAAATGAAATTTGGGGCCTCCATCAGAATCTCTTGTGCATGGCCAAGGGCCAAAGTCATCAAATGTAATTTCATAAAGTCATTCAGTCTGAATGCTACATGAAGAATATAAGCCAGATGACGGAACGGGAAGATCTAGGGTGTAGAAGAAGTATGTCCAGGTTGAAATTTTAAAATGGCTCAACCTCAACATTGAACTTTAAATCAATCTAATTCCATTAAAATTCCATCAAACTTGAAAATCTTTTGAGATCAACAAACCATCCTTACTATCTACAAATGGCATGGTTATATACCCGAATTTCATTCTCTCTTAACCGACACTGCAGTGCATTTATGGCAGGACTTAAACTGCAAAAAATTTAAAAATTGGAAGAAAGTCAGTAAAACATTAAAAACCAAAACGCCAGGCATAAAGAACTAACAGAGAGGTGGGCAAACAACTCACCAATATTCAATTAATTTGCACATGGAAGCCTGGTACATTGATGTGTGATGTATGTAAGTAAGTGGATGCACTTTCCCATCCCTAAGCAAAACCAAAACCAATTAGAAAGAATCAACAATGAGTTGATCAACATGAAGCGATGACATATCAATGGATCACCTCATATTTTGTGAGATAGCTTGGTTATATGCTGCTCGCTCCTCTTCATACAGTACTCGTTGCAATTCCGTAAATGACAATAATGGTGAATCGAGTTTAATAAGAGACGAGGTCGGTAAAACATGGAGAGGAACTTCTTTCCTGACATACTCGGCACCACTAAGAGAAAAAAGATAAAAAAGTACATTTAGGATTAGAAATTCAAAATTGTGTTTTGTGAATCCAGAATGGAATTGGACGTTGTTTATTCATTCATTAATGGATAACTGTGGATGTTTTTATAATTTTACTCTACTCTTTTGTGTGGGATTGAAAATATAGACCTTAAAATCAAATAAATGTACAAGAAAATACAGTGATATAGACCTAAATGACTCATCCAGCAAACGCAAAATTTTTACTCAAACTAACATTTATGTTTTAACAAACAAGCCCACAGCTCCACATAAACAAGAAAGTTCTCGGAGCTTTATTGAATCACGCTCAATGCCTTCTTATAAAAACAACATAAATGCACCCAAGACTTGTATACCATATCTCAACTGCAATTTGATGCATGAAAACATCCAGGAATTTTACATGAGTGAGAGAAGAGAGATGTGTAAATTGAATACACAGAAGACAACATTACATCAACCATAAATAACAGTGAGGGATCAAGGAAGGATCAGGAATAAAGGGGAAAAACATTATTCTGCCAGGGAACCAACAAAAAAAATAAAAATACTAGGCCATTTCTCAAGTGTCTTGCTTTTAGACAAAGGCAATGGATTTACAGCAAGAAGGCACAGATTTATGAACCAATGAGATATGGGCATTTTCTCATTTCTTTTCGAGGAAATATATGCAGCCACAGAAATGCTGTTAACTCTGCTGCCAGACATAAATGCTAACTGTTTTGAATTTATTCTTTAATTAGCGAAGCTATTACTCGTGTTAAAACACTTATAACATGTACCAAGTCCACAATTTACACAATGAAAATAGAAATAGAAACTGTGTGGATAGAGTACAAAGTCATGCATACCTCATATCCAAATTCGAACGGTGCATTGCTTCTTGCATGCTCTCTGACATATCCATGTGATCTATATCGGCAATGATGATGTCTGAAGTGTTAGTGTGGTGGTTTCCTCCAATTCTTTCTTTTTCTAGATGATTTGCATCAGCATTAGCAAACAAAAGCCCCAGGTCTGAAGATCGTCCCCCACCCTAAGCAAATCACCCATAATTTACGCATGGCATAAAGCAAGCAGCATGAAAACAGTATCCTCTAGACAAGCAAATATGCAACAAGAAACTGTCACTACTAGAATTGAGCTCCTATTCAGTAAGACACATCCTGTGACTTCAGGCACTAACAAAGCAATCAGGGCAAGAAACTACTGAGTTACTTAGCACACAAACTCAGTACCAATGCTTTCTTTTTCTTTTTCCTTTTTCTTGTTTCTTCTTTTGTTTTCCCTTTTTGTCTTTTTTACAAACTGTCATTACCAGGGTGGTCATATAATCTGGTAGGCTATATGCCTGCTTCCATGACTCATATGATGAAATTTGAGATGATGACTGAGTATATTGGGAAAAAGTAGCTGGAACAAGCTAGATCCTTCCAAAGCTATATGATAGTTCGTACATGTATTCCAGATAATATTTCTTATGTACATGCTTCATGGAGACGACAATCTAAAGTAATTTTTGCCATTATCCTACTAGCCAACATGCACACAAGTCAAAACGAGTTTGAATGAAACACCACCTAAGGAAAATTATCAGCAATTCACTATTATGTATGGGTAATATGGGCGCACAACAAAGACCCTCTCTCAAAAAACACTGGTTGCGTCCTCATAAAGAGGCAGCCATTTTACCTAGCTGCTCTTTTGATAAATATTTATCCTACGAATACTCCAATTAACCTCAATATCTTTTTTTACGTACAACTATTAAAAAAAAAAAAAAAAAAAAAACATATGATTTTAAATAAGTGTCAAAGGTAGGTGAGCACATTGTGTATGTCCGTTCATATATTTGCTTAACCCGCTTAACATAGTTAATTACCAAGCCCACTCAGTCCATCAATTATAATTAAAATATATATTGACAATTGCATATTGATCAAAATGAAATTTTGCCATTTAAACATCACTGCTGTGGAAATATGAATTAATGGACGGATGGATGCACAGGCAATTAGGTATCTGCATAAAGGCTAAGTTTTGAACTTACATGGAAGGAAAGAAACTTATGAGTTTCATCATTCACAATACATCAAGATATCAAAACAATATATATGATCAATAGTCAAACATTTACTCAGTAAAACAAGTAGCAAGACACAGATTTGTAATCAGCTATCATGAAAACTAACTGGTATTAGGGCTCTGCCGCCAGGATCAATTAACATTGTTTTAATTTCCTCTTTTTTTGCAATTTTATTAGAAATTTGGGATGGATATAGTACCTTTATAGTTCCAGAAGTTCTTGAATCAGCTGTGTCTTGTTCAGGACACTCTGCTCTAAAGGATCTTGCAGGTTCATTTTCAGAGGTACTTAAAGACGATTCAACTTCTATAACTGGACTTTTATTTACAGGAGATAAAGATATAGGTCTTGACATGTGATGCTGCTTCCCATCTGAGGACTGAAAAGCAATTACTTGGATTCGTCCGACCTGAAAATACCAAGTATGACTAAAGAACATAGTCACAAGAAAAATCATTTATATCTGCAGAAGAATCCCCACTACTTTGCAAATACCATGCATAATGCAAACCTTGTTTATATCTTCACTAAAACAGGAAAATATAAGCCCAATGAACCCAGAATCTAGAAGTTGATACATTGCCTGTGTCCGCACATCTGCAAAAAGTAGAACACAGCTGTAATACCAACTCGAGCAACTGATTATGATAGCATGTCTAACAAATAACAATATCATCTGGTCCAAACAGCACGATACATACTGACACACATATATATATCAATCATACTCATGGGCCACAGATAAAACCATATTTTCACACACATCTTCAACTTTTCGATCTTTACCATCTAACAGTTGAAAATGTAAGCGGCAACAAAAAAATAATCCTTGATTGCTCTACTGGAAACATTAGCTTGCTACATAATGCACAAGGAGTGTCCTTTAATCTCTCTGGCTAACTGTAAAGTCTCCTCCTTTATTAACTCTTTTTTTGTTCCTTTTTTGTCTGGTCTTACAGTTATATGGATACATGTTTGGGGACTCTGAGATGGAAAACAGAGAGAAAGTTGAAGGATGGGTTTCTAAGATTTGGCAGTCTTTAATTTGATAAGAAATGTCCAAAAGTAAAATTTAATGCAAAAGCATGATAAACGATCACAGCTTGAATTATTGGCTACTTTGGCTGCTAACTTCACATTCCATTTATTTGTGTTTTGTAATCCAGGTTAAAACAAGACAAAATTCCACAACCCCGAAATCCACCATAACTTTCCATCCAGTCAAAGCATTTTATAGGCCCTACATTTTCTCCCTCTGGCACAGTATGTGCAGACTCATACTTATAAATCCTGGAAACTTACAAACTAAATATACACCATATAAGAGGTGATTGATGATCCATGAATGTATCCAGGTTTCTACCAATTAACTTTTTATATTTTCCAAAGAAGAACTCCCAGATTCATGAGTATAACAATCCCAAGTAATCTGATAAGCTATATAACTAAACTCTACTTATGATAGCCCCACCTCATGAAATTGAAGAATGAATGTGATAATGACAGAAAGCAGGGGTAATTACATAACACTCACCAACATGGGAAGGAAGAACCGTAATATGAGGATGCGAATGGTACCACCCAATCACCCTAGTTGTTCTTCCTGTTGACGTTGTCATTCTGTGCTATAGAGTTAATTACACAGTATCATAAAAAAATCCTCAAAAGTAAAGAAGAAAAACAGATGCGGAGCATGGAAATACCATGAGCCACTACAACTATGACAGCTATATAACTAAAGAATGTAAATGTTGAACCAACTGAACGTATTCCCAAATTTCCAGCCCACCTAAAATTCAAACCCCCAGCTCATGAGGATGCATTCACAAATTTTTTTTTTTCTTTTGAGTGGCATGATTTAGATTGCTGAACAAAAATAGCTTTGTTTTTTTTAATGAATTTATATCACAATTTTAAAGCCGAGGCAGTGTTGAAAACTATGTTAAAAACAAACAAATCCTAATAAACTAAATAAGTACAGCACAACCTAACGATATAATTTTTTGTGACTGACGTCATACTGTGTAGTTTAAGCAAGCATGGGTTTACATGGCAAGGGATCCAAGTAATAGAAGTTCAGTTGGGAGAAAATTCACCAAACAATAACAATCAAAGCTTATTGTGAAAACCTAAAGTGCTTCCCTTAAAGCAGAGCACTTTCAAAAATATCAACTGTAATGTTTACTATGGGGGATCATGAGAGAAATTAGAACCAGTTTTTCTCTTTCAACAATATTTATTCTCTAAATAGGGATGTTAAGAACCCATTTTTGGTTTTTTCCTTTTGTAATGAAAACATAAAAAGATTAATTTTCAAATATTTATAAAAAAATAAAGCATCAAGGATATTTCGGCCTGGGCTGATGCAGCAGCCAACTGCTCAGGATTAGTCTCCACACGGTCCTTCCTCCGATCAGATCGTGTTTGAGGTGATGCTCCCCAAATTAGTGCAGTCACACCCCCATTTACAGAGTTCTGAAATTCCCAACATCATTGGGGGAAGAAAATGTTATGACTACAAGAAAGCGATACAAAATTAAGGTATAAACAGAGAGCCAGACAAAGCGGATAAATCCAAATTATAATAAAATCATTGTATAAATCATAACCAAATTCAGTTGTCCATATATCTATCACCTTCAGCAAATGGCTTCACAAAAGAAAAAAAAATTATAAAAACTTCTCACTTTCAGAAGATTGCCAAACATGCAATTATTTCTCTTCCACATCTTAATGAGTAACAATTAATAAGGCCAAGCCCCTGGGAACTTCCACTTAAGCACCAAACCACCAAAACACTTGCCAAAAAAATATTAATAAAAAAAGAAGCACCAAAACACCAACAGAACAGGTGAAACAAGAAACTGTGCAAGCTTGTCTAGATTCCTTGTATGCACCTGGGTCTGACAAGAGTGAATGGAATTACAGTGCTTTTCGAGGAAAGGGATCTTAGAGTGCAAAAACAAAGACCCTGCAGCAACATATTGAAGGAACCATTGAGTCTCAACTCATTATCAATGAGATATTGGAAATTGGCAACCAGAAATGGTGCTGGATGTGAAATTTGTACTGGAACACTGAATCAACTAGCCTAATACAAAACAACACCAATTTTATGCATCACTGCAAGTATTTAAATCCCAAGAGCAGGCAAGAACATCATGCACAGGTATAAAAGATGAGTTAGCATGTTGATTTGCTAGAAAAACAAGGCTGATGCTTCCTTTTATTTCTGTGTAAATGTTCTATTTCTGTATGAGTGTTCTAACGTTTGTCATATGCCCTGAATAAGCCTTCCCAAATAGAGCCCATGGAGCAATTTTATAATGTAGCTAAAATTTCAAATTTCATCTGGACTTAGCAAAGTTCCTAGCTGAATAGAAATTAAAAGAATAACCAAATGAATGATAGTTATTAGCGAAGAAAATATAACAACGCTGACAAAGCACAGTATTCTAAAATCAAGTTCAAGTAAGCATATCAAACAATTTGCATTTGAACACATGTACTCAGTGGTTTTTAATAATTATGAAACCCAGAGTAAACTTATTAAAGTACCAATCGAATTAGAGGAAACCCCGAGAACTAGTCTAGTTAGCAAGGAACATTAATATGCCAAATTCGAAATCTAAACTGACCCAAAATTCGAAGAAAAAACAACTAAGCTCGTTAAACCTAACCTTTCTAAACCATTTCAGAAAACAACCCCAAATACCCAAACCATTCCAGCTCTACATTTACTCCAATCATCAAACCGATCAAGCAATTTCAACAGCCGTACAGTAAGAAAACCTAATACATGCATAACATAAGTAGAAGCCAAAGAATTTGAAGATGGAAATGGCGGAGAGTGTACCTCAATATCACCAAGAAGGAGGCCCATGATCTCCTCGGTCTCGGTGGACAATGCATGAGTGAGACATGTCAACCAAACGTCCTCGGACATTTTCACACCCGTTAAAGACATTCTTCTCGCTCTCTTTCTCTCTCTAAAAATTGTGGCTTTCTCTCTCTACTTTCTGGCTCTGCAACCAGAGGAGGAAGAAGAAGTGAAAAACGAGAGAAATTGATTCCCAACTTTTTCGAGGTTGCAAACGCAGTGCCTCGTTATACCCTGGGTTGTGTTGTTATTAGAAGATCTCTGGCTCTTTTGGGGGCAGTGATTTGGTACGCTAAGTTCTAGATTGTAATTATGGTACTCATCTAAATCGGGTTGAATAGCTTTTGATTTTGATATGCTGATGTCATTTTAATCTGACTTTCGTTTTTAATTTCTTGGTGAGGTAGGTGGTGGTGGTGGGCATGGCTCAAAAATATTTTCTTTCACATCTGTCGCATATTTTAGTCCACACTTGGTGCATTTTGATGACTTATGCGTTGTGATTTACTTCCACAGTTATGATAGAGCATTAATTCGAATCTGAATTTAGATTATAGAATAATATCACTGGACTGAAAACTAGTTAATCACTTTTTATTAGAGTTTACATGTCATATGGGAATTTAAATTTTTATTAATCTAAAGTCCTCTTTAAGTCTTGTGCAAGAAAAAAACTTAACATAATAGTAACACTTTGTTATCTTTGTTTCTCTGCGTGATTTTTGAGTTAGGCCCAGTTTGGGATTGCTGTCACTTTTAAAAAAAGTTGCTTCTGCTGTGCTTTGAAAATAATTAGCTGTAAAGTAAAGCAGCTCCGTGTTTGGTAAACAATATTTTTAAAGTGCTGTTAGTACAAAAAGCAATGTCAAAACCGTTTGGTAAGTTTTAATATAAAATTGTTGTAACTGTGAATAATGACTAAAATAGACATGATGTTAAAAGTGTTATGTAGTAATCATGTGGTAGTAGTGGTACTAATGGAATGGAGGTGGTGGTGGTAGGGATGGCGCTTGTGGAGGTGGTGGTGGTGACAACATGGTGGTGGAGGTGGCAGCATGGTGGTGGTGGTTGTGGAGGTGGTGGTGGATGTGAAGGTTTTGAAGGACGTGGTGGTTGTGGTGGTGGTGGTGGTGGTGGTGGTGGTGGTGGTGGTGGTGGTGGAGGTGGAGGAGGTGAAGGTGGAGTTGGTGGAGTTGGTGGTGGTGGTGGTTGTGGTGGAGGTGGAAGTGAAGGTGGTGGTGGTGGCGGCGGTGGCGATGGCGGTGGTTGTGGAGGTCGTGAATGTGGTGGTGTAAGTGGTGGAGTTGGATGTGGAAGTGGAGGTGGTGTTATTTTTAAAAATAAATGATGGTATTTTGGGAATTAAAAAAATTCATTAAAGGTTCATCTCTGCTTCTTTTGAAAGCAGCTTTGAAAAGCAACTCATAGCCTGCTTTTAAAAGCTGCTGTCAAAAGGCCACTGCTTTTAAAATAATCGAGATATTTTATTTTTACCAAACACCTAAAACTGCTTAACTTTAAAGTGAAGCAGGTTTTTGGCGAAAAAAAGCAATCCCAAACGGGGCCTTAGTCTGTTTATATGAGAAGAAGAAATGTAAAAGATATATTTTAAGTTTTTTTCATATAAAATTACCCAGATACTCTTTACAAGTTATTTATTAATTGACTTCAACGAATTTCACACATGAACACATGGACACACATAACTTCAATGAGTCATTAATATATCAACTTGTTCGTGTTTTTTATTTATCAAACACCGATATTCATTAAAATAAAATAAAATCAGCAGACCGAGGGGTTTACCTCAATGGTGAGGTCCCTCCCCCTTCCCCACCTTGGTCACCTCTTCGAATCTAAGGATAAGCGCCCCCTTCTCTAATGCAATGTATCTATCGCTAATTCTCAACAAAAAAAATTCAACCATACATCAAAGACGTGTACAATACACAAATCTCTACTTGACTAAAAACAACAACCCGAAAGAACAGCAAAAGATCAAGAGAGATGAAGAACGAGGGCAAAAATAGGACGAAGATAGAGGGGGGTTTTTTTTTTTTTTTTTTTTTTTTTTTTCTTTTGCTTTTAACAGTAGCAGTGAGATGAGAAAATGAAGCTAGACATGTCCTTCTAATGTACAAAGTTTGAAGTAAAAATGGGTTTTACTTTAAAGAAACAATTATTCAAAGTTAAATTAACTAAATTTTGGCTAGCATTACTGGAGATGCTTTACATAAATCTTATGTTGACACATCAGATTTATAAAAAATAATAATAACAAAAGTTCTATTTGCACTCCTCTTGCAGAGTGCAAAATTAGAATTAATTGTATCACAATTATTGATCATATTTTTTTTCGGAAAACCCTACATAAGATTTTTTTGTGCGAGATGTATTAGCTAGCAGTATATGGTATATATGGCACGACTCTTTTACCGTTAAATAGTAAAAATAGAGATTAGAGAAAATTTAAAGAGACAAAAATAAGGATATGAGAACCACACTCTTTTTTCTTTTCTTAACATTAATCCATTTTCACAACACTCTTAACAAAGAAGGAATATGGATGTCTTCTTTTATTTACCAAAAACCAAAACACAAAGGGAAAAAAATACAATATGTTGCATCTGAAAGAAAACAAAACATAGCCATTTCCACAGCGGAGGGCTAATTGCCATGACACCACGTCATCGAAACTTTAGATGCGAGTGAAGGCAGAGCCTAGTATTATTGAAGAAAGCACTTCAAATCCTTGGGTTGTTTGGGTTAATGCTTGGGTTGCTTGGGTTGATGCTTGGGTTCATGTTTGCATTGCTTGGGTTACTGTTGGGGTCGCTTGGGTTGTTCATTCCCAAAGTGCTCTTAACCGCTTCAGCTGCTCCTTGAGCCATGTTTTTCACTTGCTCACTTGTCTGCAATCAAACACACTTGTAACATACATATATATACAAGAATATAGTTATATTAATCATATTCCCAGTTTGTCATTTTGTATTTATTACATTAATGTTTTTTACAATAATGATATTTTAATTTATTTTAATGTATAGAGAATGAGTCAAACTCGAGTGCAAAAGGACATACACACTACCTTGACTAACTGACCTAACTCACATTTACATTAGATAAATGTTTTAATATAATAAAAAGTGAATTTGGAGTACTGAAAGATAATCATAGAGTGAGGTTGATTTGGACTAGCTTTTTTCTCACTAATTAGAGTAATGAGATGATACTAATTGAATTGGCTTATATGTTTGATTAAATTCTGAGTAACTTCTTATACTACATATATTTAAGAACAAAAATCATTGAAATAATAAGGAAAGGGGAGGAAGTGATTGCCTGTTGAAGGAGATGGGTGGCTTGGTCCTTGATGTCTTGGGCAGTGTGAGATGCATTTGATGCCTTGTCCTGGGCAGACTGAGATACATTTGATGCCTTGTCCTGAGCAGATTGAGATACATTTGATGCCTTGTTCTGGACAGACTGAGATACATTTGATGCCTTGTCTTGAGCAGATTGAGATGCATTTGATGCCTTGTTCTGGACAGACTGAGATGCATTTGATGCCTTATTCTGGACAGATTGAGACATATCTGATGCCTGGTTTAGGAACTCATCTTTCTTTACCTGCACAAATTAATTAGATCAGGAAAATATTTATAAAAAAAACATGGATTAACTTGATGGGATAAAAAATTGATTACAAAACACCAACCCTAATTTCATATTATTACAAAATTAATCACAGTTATAACTTGCCTGAGCTTGACCAGTCAACTCGCCTGCCTTGTGACTCAAATCCTGATTTTGGTGGCTTGCCATTTTTGTACTTGATTTTGTTTCTTCAATCAAATTGACTCAAATTTCAAAGTAAGAATGCACAATGCAAAGCTCTTCCATTTGAAGAGTATATATAGATTCTCAAAGTCTCCTATTCTTTGCCACTTCAAAGTTTCCTACCCCATTTTTTGGCGTTTAATCAGTAGCACGGATGGCATGTATTGATAGGGGACTGTTTCAAACAGGTTTGCTTAGTCAAGAAAGAGAGTCCCTTGGCATAGGCTCCGGGAGGATTAATTAAGCTTAATTACCATAAGAAATTAATGGCTTATTTTCTTGTTGGCCTTGTGCAAATTATACTAGTTGTTTGAGTATTTTTCTGATTATTGTAGTATTTTTCTTTCAAATGATAACTGCTCTCATATGTGTAACATATTAAACAACATATAAGGAAACACTCATGTGAAGTAGTGGAAGGAAAAGACTCTAATCTTTTTATTAAAAGAAAATACTTTATTGAATTGAAATTAAACATTTTAACCCAATTTTAACATATTAAGAAAATTATCCAAACGAGGTCTAGTCCAGTGGAAAAAAGGGTCTTGACTTGCAGACTAGAGGTTTTAGGTTCAAACCCCATGACATCTTGGTTGTGTGTGTGTGAGAAACCCTCCCTCCCTTGTAATTTAGACTATCACTTGTACTAAAATAAATAAATTATTAACTGGTGATCTCGAAATTATTTAACCCAAATTACAGGTTTCTTGCTATTTTTGTTTTTGGCCAACAGTATTCTCGAAACAGACCTCTATTAGAGAGATAATCATCAATGTGGTCAATAAATAGGGTACAAATAGCACCATCCTTGTCGATATTATTTAACAAGCAAATTGAACCTAGTTCCTAAATAATCTCATATGGATCACTAATTTTTATTTTTTTATACAAACGATATTGAGAGAAGAAGGAATTGAACTTAAGATCTAAGATGTAAGAGTAAATATGTTCTTAACCAGTTGAGTTACAAACCTCTTACCTCCCACTAAAAATTATTGCAATGAATGTTTTTTTTTTTTTTTTTTTTTTTTTTTTTTTTTTTTTTTTTTTTATTTTTTTTTTTTTTTTTTTTTATTTATTGCAATAAAGATGTAATTATTTACAAGTTTTTGTAAAATTTATTTTAAAGAAAAAAGAAATAAACAATCGTGGTAAAACCCTCCACATCCAACACTTGCATGCCAGAGTTTCAGAAAGCAAAGCACGTGTCATACGACGTGTCAACAACGTGGACACATGTTGACCAGCCAGCCCACATGAGAATGCTATATATACCATGCATACTGCCACCGTTCCTTCTCATCAGCATATATCTCAAAGTTGGAAGACGCACACAATTTTGATAAACTCTAAATCCATCGCTCTTATTCACTTTTTTAGAAGGCAAAAATGGCATCCCAGAAGCAGAGCTACGGAGCTGGTGAAGCCAAGGGCCAAGCTGAGGTATTTACCTAGTTTTCTGTTATTGTTTGTACTTTGATATCGCGTGTTATGTTATCAGATTGTTAGTTTTCTATTATTGTTTGTATTTTGTTACCGTGTGTTATGTTATTAAAATGTGAATAGGACTTCGTTTTTTAAGTGAAATTTTATCTTCACTTGTGTTGTTCAAATTGAATTTCTGAAACATCAAGTGTGAAAATACAAAGAGAGTATTTTTGTGAATGTGTAGTAGTGACTGTCGTGTATGTTATATGATCAGACGGTTAATTTGACTGTTTTGAGTGAAATTCTGCGTTCACTGTGTGGTTGATAATGATTTTTTGAAACATCAAGTACATACAAAGGGAATATTTTTGTGTATACTTAGAAGCAGTAGTGATGACCCAACGGTCTCTTTCTCAATGGGAAAAAGTCCTTGACTTATAGATAAATGATCTCATCTTCGAACCTCTCATGGTACTACATCTCGGTAGTGCGTGAGAAATATATTTCCCATTTATAGTTCAGACTACCGCTTTTATTATTTATAAAAATAAAACAAGAAAAAGTAGTGATGCAATATTCATTGTGATTTTATGGTTTTACCCTTGGTCTCTCAGGAAAAGGCTGGCCAGATGATGGGCTCAATAGGGGAGAGGGCCCAAGAAGGAAGGGACAAGGCCCAAGACACAACCCAAGCAACAAGGGACAAGACATCCGAGACAGGCCAAGCAGCCAAGGACAAAACCCAGGGAGCTACCTACCAAGTCAAAGACAAGGCCGCAGAGAAGGCAGAGGCTGCAAAACAGAGGGCAGAAGAAGCAGCCCGGAAGGCCAGAGAGACAGCCGAGCATGGCAAAGAGAAAACCAGTGGGGTACTGCAGCAGACTGGAGAACAGATGAAGCACATGGCTCAGGGTGCTGCTGATGCTGTGAAAAGCACTTTTGGGATGGCCAAGAATGATGAGGAGAAAGTTGAAACTGGGCTTTCTGATAAGAAGGCTGGCACTGGCACTGGAACTTGAACTGACGGGCTATAAATATTAGTAATTTATAGGATTTTATGAGTTAGTGGCAAAGAAAAATTGTTTGTTTGGTTAAATTTCAGGTGGTGTTGGTTTGATATATGGTGTGTTGTTTTTACGTTGGGCATGTTTCAGAAGTCCTGTGCTTCCCTCTCGCTGAGTTGGGATTAATGTCGTATGGTTTTCCAGTTATATATATGAATAACAAGTTTATAACGAAGTCTGGGGTTTTAACTCAGTGGGACAAGCCAGCTAGTGATTTTGCAGTTCCATTCCTCATGGCACCGCTGTGTGAAAGTATTTACCGCTTCCCTTCCTAACCATGGCAAAAAGAAAAGAAAAAAGTTTATGACGATTTAAGTATATGGTAAAATTGGTTCAATGATCCACTTCATCAAGCAGACCTTAATTCAAACACTGAAACGCAGACAGCTACGTTTAATGCCCCATCTCGAATGTATATAGCTATATTTGAGCGCTGTAGTTTTACTGCAATAAACAATCATGTAAACCATGCACCTTTGGGTGAAGAGGGCACGTGGTTAAACAAATAGAAATTTGTCACATGCATGCCATCTTGTTAAATGGACTCTACTATTCAATCAATCGAGTTTTTTTTTTTAAAAAGACTTTTCCAGTGATATCATAATCCAAGGATAGTATATTAAACTCACATATACTGTATTATGGATATTAGAACTTGAATTCAGGACAGGAGGAACAATTACTCCAAATTACTACACTAGTGAGTCATTTACAATCGAGAATTCTTAAATCGGTGTTACAAGTTCCATCTATTTATTTACAGTTATTAAACTGCAAAATTTATGATTATATATCGTTGTGGTGTTAAAAGTCTCACTTATTTATTTATTAATATTTAAACTTTAAAATATAAGATTATCGTCCATTAATATTCACTAATACTAAATCGATCACACCAAAATTTACTATTCAATCAAGTTTCAACTAGAGTAGGTACAGCCCAATACATATCAATGCAAATCCTCTTGGAAGTCATAAACCGAAGAGCCAAAAAGGAAAAGAACCGAAGCAGCTCTTTAAAACAAACAAATACCCCTAAACCTTAGTACAGAAGATGGCACCACGTGGCACATGACGTGTCAACGAAGCATGACACGTGTTGACTACCCAGCGCCACACTTGCAACCGCTATACCTATACGGTGCACTGTTGACTGTTTCTGTTCCTTAATATTACCACAGTGCAAACTTGGACAAGCATTCTTATCTTTCATTCATTGTTTTGGAGAGGCAAAGGCAAAGAATATGGCGTCCCATGATCAGCAGCAGAGACAGAGCTACAGAGCTGATGACGAAGCCAAGGGCCAAGCTCAGGTACCGTACCCACACCCACCCACAAATATTAGGGTCGGCTTAGCCTTCTAGTCTCGTTTGGTTCATGGGAAAAGAGGCTTGAGGTCTCATGTTGGTAAGTCTAGGCATGTGAAATCATTGCCTTGCACATTGAAAAATAGAAAGGAAAGTGAAGTCATCCTCCGCCCTTTGGTTTTGTTTTCCTCCTTATAGGAAAGTTTAGGAAAATGTGCCAACATTAAATACATATTTTTCATGATTATATTGTCCTCATTAACAATTTAGAATTACAATATAGCATTAAATGCATTTTTTATTTATTTCACATAGGTATAATTTGAAAATTAAACCAACTTTGTTTTACACTCCTACCCAAACCAAACATGTGAAAGGAAATAAAGTTTTATTTTATTTATTTATTACTTTTCCAGGATTACCAAACATGGGAAAGAAATCTCCATTTCCTATTCCTTAGAACATGACATGGAAAGTGATTTTCCCTCACATCCGCTCTGTGAACCAAATGGGACCCCTAGGTAGTAGGTTTAATTAGTTATGAAATTATAGGTTAGGGGTTAGACCAAATATGGGAGATATTTTGGGGTAGGTTGTAGGACACTCCAGCCCCAGATCACCTAAGCATCATTTGTACACGTTTACTTATAAGTAATGGGAATTTAAAAAAAAAGGTGATTTTCATTCCTGACTTCCTCTGCTTTTACTTACACATAAATTATTAAATATGATGGTTCCACCAAAAAATCCTTAATGAAATTCCTTAAGGAAGTGGAATCAAATCAACTATCCACTCATAGTTGATTTGATTCCCATTCTTTGTTTATCCAATTCCATTTTTCTTCATACCCATTGCTGGCAAGTAAACATATATATTTACCTTTTCAGTGAACTTATAATGCACTTATGCCTTCAATAAAAGGATCATGAGTTGCTTTGATTAGTAGTACAGTTAATCTAGTCTTTAGTTTAACAGCTTTTCTACAAAATATAATATAGAATTAACATGTTCATTAGATACCATAACACATGTTTCGCAGGAAAGTATCGGCCAGGAGATGGGCTCAGTAGAGGACAAGGCCCAAGAAGTAGGGGACTCGATCTACGACGCGATACAAGAGGCAAAGGAAGTAGTCAAGCAGAAGGCCTCAGAGGCAGCCCAGAAACCCCAAGACGCAGCCCACTACAGCAAGGACAAGACTGGCATGCATGGACAAGGAGGATGATGTGTATTATCACAGAGAGAGAGAGAGAGAGAGAGAGAGAGAGAGAGAGAGGGGTTGGGTATGGGCTTGATTACAAAATCTGGTGGCATGGTTTATTATGGGTTTTGAAGCCCAATAGGCGGTGGTACTCTTATAATTTAGTTTGGATTTTCTAATGAAGCTTGGGCTAGGCTTCTGTTGGTGGTAAATTGGTAATGTTGAATATCGTTTTGTTTTTGAAAATGGACTTTGGGTTTTTCAATTGAATTTCTAGAGGGTTGAGTTTTCTGCAATTTCAAGCCCATTATTGGTTCTGAAAATAAAGCTCCCATAAATCAAAGTATATCATCGACATCACTTTTTTGTTCTTCCATATCTCATTCTTAGGGTTAACTGTTGATTTTTTCTTTGAACTTGTACATAATTTTTATTTACTTTCTATCTTTTTTTTTAATAGAAAATTAAGGATCTCAATTGTTGATTTTTTCTCTGAACTTGTACATAATTTTTGATTTACTTTCTATCTTTTTTTTAATAATCTTAATTATTGGTTTTAGTCAATTTTCCGTACCGTTAGATTCGCTCACATTTCATCTAGTTAGTGTTAAGAATGGTCACATGCTTTGCATGTGACACTTAAATAATTATAAAATAATGTTATAAAACAATAAAGAAAAAGATTTCCCAGCCGTATCCCGCTCCCACCAATCCCCCCATCCCACCATCATCCCTTGGCCACCCCACCGTAGTCTCCCAGCTCTAGCACCCCTTTTCGCCCAAAAAACCACCTTAACCCCTTGAATTCCTTAGTCCACCCAACACCCAAGCCGTGTAATATCCACATCATGCTACTTAACCCACAACCTCCACCCGATCTGCCCATGGGAGAAGAGAGAGAGAGAGACACACACATACTGGGGGACCCAATAATTTTTTAGCGGAGGTACAATTTTGAAAAGTTAAAAACTCTTTGTGGATTGAACAACTAAGACTTTTTACCTAGATTGACCTTAGGTCCCTTCATGCATTCATATCATACATGAAAAATTGTTCTATGTAAAAATATTGACTAAGTATGAAAAATGGTTTTTCGGAATAATCATTTTCTCAAGATAATTTTTGGCGGCTTTTTTCCTTACACATTAAATAACTTGATTTTATGGGATTTTATTATGAAGTATATATTGACTTAATGAGCTATCATTTTTAGCCTAAATCGTATTTTGCACTCAAACCAATTTTTCAAATTTTGATTCGGGGGGAATTTGATTTTCTAGTATTTTTCTTTGAATCAAATGGGGGGTACTTCCTTATTTACATTGTAAACTTAAGTAACATTACTTAAATGTTGAAGATGGAAATAATGAGCAAAGAGGCAATTTCAAGCACCAACAATGGTTTTTCTGGCAAGGGGATGTGCAGCTGCACCTCTTTGCTCCTTAACAAGTCCGCTAGTGCGCACACACACACAGATAAACAAAGATGCCGTGCTTGTGGGTTATGGAATGCTATATTTTTCTGAATCTTTGTTGTGATTTATGGTTGGGTATGATTTGTATTAAGTTTAATTACAAGTTGTGGGTTTGATTTTGGTGGTAGGGGTAACAATGAGGAAGATGTGGCTGGGTGGGTGGTCTTAGGTTGGACTGTTGAGAAGTTTTGGGAGGGGGGGAGCTACGGGGAGGGTGGGTTCAGGAAAAAAGTGGTCAGATCAAGGGAAGGGCAACGACAAAGGGATGGAGGTGGTTGAGTGGTGGGGAAAAGGGAAAAAAGGGGCTGAAGGGTTTTTAATTATTATAATTTTATGTTTTTGCTTTAATTTTTTCCTTAAAATTTTAATTATTGTTAAGGTGCAAAAATGACCAAATTGCCCTTAAATAGCCTCACATGCTTGGCAGGGGGTAAATCGAATGGGGGGGAATTGGCTAAAAATAATAATTAAGGTCCTTAATTTTCTAAAAAAAAAAGGATAAGGGTAAATCGAAAGTTAGGTACAAGTTCAACGGCAAATCAACAGTTAATCTCTCAGTCTTATTCTCATTTTGATTCTTGTAAGAGCACTTTCACCCATCCCATTTTTCCAAGGGGCCTAGGCTCCAAAAAAAAACCCCATAGAGGAAAAGTTGTCATGGCAAGAAGTGGGCTCAAGAAACTAAGCAAGCCTAAAGGCAAGACTTGCCTGGGCTATTACCTGAGCAAGTTGACATCAGCGGCCAATTTAAATACAAAAAAATTAAAATTAAAAAAACCAACAATTTAGAAATTTTTTTGATAAATACCTAGCCATGTTCTTCATTTCCCATACCAAAATTCTCTTCTCATATCTCATGTAAATAGTGGTTGCCCTTGGGTTGCCATGACAATAGATGGGAATGCATCAAAAAATTGCTAAGGCAGTCACTATTCACATGAATAATGTTTGCCCTTACTTGTCTTTACCCTTCGCCATAGCACAATGGGGTGGAATTACTCTAACCTTGCACCCTCTAGAGTCAAGGTCTCACATTGACCATTGGTCTTACCAGTCAACATAGCAAAAATCAGAGGAACACTTTATAGGAGACTGGCCCAACCTGGAAGAATTATACTAAAAATCCCCGCGGGGGCGGGTCACCCTTGGGTCCTGAACCTTAACAATGGGAGATTTCGGGGCCAAATGGGTATTGGTACGGGGATCCCCAAACTTGAAAAATCCCCGATGGGTATGGGGAGGGGATGGTATTGGCGTCCCTATCACCAAACTCGACCCGAAAATATATATATTTATATTTAAATAAATATATATAATTATATAATTATAATATTTATGTTTAACCCTAAGTTAACCTCCCTATTCTAATTCTTCCTAATCTTCTTTGGAATTTCATATTGAAGTGATTTTGAATAGTTGAATTGAACTTTATAGTTAATTTGGATGTGTTGAATGATAAATTAAAATGAAACTTAATGTTAAAATGTATGATAAATTTTTTTTTATGCAAAAAAAATTTCTAGGATTCGGGCTGGGTATGGGGGATAGTCCCCCGACGGCGACAACGACTGGGATTCCTCAAAACCTATTAAACGGAGATGAGTTCGAGGATGGGGCGGGGATGGAGAGCAGGGACAGAGATGGTATTGTCATATTCGGCGCCTACCCGACCCATTGCCATCCCTAGGGGGGTTGGTTATGAGATAAAAGTTAGAAATTCACTTATGTAATAGAGTCGATCCCCTAAGGTATTGAGCAGTGGTGTAGAATCAGATCCCAAAGATAGTAAGTCTTTTCCTTCAAGATATGGCCATTGAAAAAAAATAAAAATTCTTCCACACGAAGAATTAGCAATCTCCTCAAGGCCACATTCTCTAAAATTAAGGCGCCCATCCCAAAATTAAAATTCGGGCACATGTACAAAAATATAAACAAAGTAAGGATCGAGTTTGTAGCCCAACTAATTAAAGAATATAACTTGTGTTCAGTTCCATCCTTCCATAATATCATTCTTATAAAGACAATATATATGTATAAACTATTGAAATTTTTAAAAGATTTTAAAAAATTTACCGTTTTGATTTGTTTAATTATTTATTATGAGGGTTATAAATATTTAATTTTCAGTTTTTATTTCTATATTGAATGCCTTAATTTTCTAATTTAATGTATTGGAGGTTACATGTTCTTGGATGCCTATAAAAGGTCATTCCTCCTTTACATTTGATGACGAGCACATAACCCAAATAAGACCACAATACCACATACCACAATCACCACCACAATATGATTCTCTCATTTTCTACCTTTCATACTTTCTCTACTTATATTATTATTTTTGGGTAACGGTTCTATGACTTGGAGACCTATATCCTACTGTGAACGTGCTCATAGCTGAACTTGAGCCTGTGTATTGGGAATCGTATTTTGTAGTACTGTAGACCGTCAGTACCTACATGTAGGGAGGCTACAAATGCTTGAGGATAACGTCTTTGATGCGCTTCACCATACCAGACTTGCTTTCATAATCTTAATTTATTTTACTTTTATTTACATATTATTTGTTTATTTAGTTTTACTTTACCTTAAAAGACTTTTCAATTTATTTATATATTATTTATATTTTAAAGAGTTTTGCTTTTGATTTTTACAGAACGAGGAAAACTTTAATTTTAATAACAATCTAAAACATTTGTATGTTTGTTGATGTCTAAAATTGGATCCAACTTAGATAGATGAAGAGTGGTGTCTTTGGCAGGACTAGGGTGCTTGTTGACCTTCGATCAAAAGGTTTTCCTGCATAATAAGGGTGGAAGAAGCAATCATCAAGCTTCGGGTACCGGTCGAAGGCTCTCCGATGCTTGAGTCAACAAATGAAGGGTACACAATAATTTTAGCAGAGTAACAGTAAATGGTAAAAAGTCGTCACCTCATTTTAGGGACTTATGCCCCTTTTATGGAGAAGTAAAAGTGGGAGTTTGCGTAAAGTTTCGATGTGGGACGACACTTGTCTTAGGCTTTAGGTTCTGTAGTTGAGAGCTTTAGCATTCATTTTCAAAAGGCAGTTGCCACATCGGAGGGAGATGTGTTTGATGGTGTCATCAGTGTATTACCTTGGGTAGGTTGTGAGTCTGTCCGTGCTACAACCCCCAATGCCAAATGTACTTGATTGATTATGGTATAAATAGTAGTCCTCCAAGTTGCCAATCAAGAAGTGGCTTATGGGTTGGGAACTTGTAAAATGTCGAATAATCAAACTAAGTGGTCCAGCATGACAAGTGTCATAGGCAAACCCCCAAGTTTGCAAGCTAAGAGTCATTTAGGCACACAGGTAACTGGTCATAATTTGAAGGATGAAGTTGAGATGGACAGTGGTTGGATTGGTACGTTGTGCATGAGTCGTGCAGGAATCCCCTAAGCGATTGTCATGAAGCTTGCCGATCGATAGGCGTGACATCATGCACGGGTTGTGCGCAAGTCTCATATGCAATCAGCACGGAGCATGCCGATCGGAAGGTGTGACATCATGCACGGGTTCGTACACAAGTCACCTAGAGGGTCGTAATTACATCTTGGTCTTATCAATACCGATGCCGTACAAACACAAATCGGCCTAAGTTACATGGTCTTGATGCAACCACACCAGCCTTTCAGCTTTACTTATATAGACGTGTAACAGTAGCAACTCGGTCTAACTCAGGTGCCTGCAACATAACATTTCAGCCAAGTCCACTTGGTTGTAACGCAACAAGTCGGCCCAATTACTTCGGTCGTGTCTCACGTGCAACTTCGACCAGTGCAGTCTCTTGGTTCACAGTTGCAACCTAGTCTACTCAAGGTGGCCGTCCCACAACGACAATTTGGCTAACTCCAGACAACCGTACCACAACAACAGGGTGGCCAGTCCTTTGTGGCCATATAGCAAACACGACCTGACTCAATTCATATGTCAGTGGTAGCAACACATCCTAGACCAATACATGTCACAGGTCAATGGTTGCAACTCGGCCAAGGAAAAGTGGCCGCACCTTACGTCAACCTAGCCCGTCTCAAGTAGCAAGGTTTCAGATATCGGTCGAGCTACCTCATGTGGCCAAGCCAATAATACAAGTCGCCTAACTGCCAAGGCCACAGGTGCTCATCGTGTAAGAAGAAGAACATGTCCAACAACCTCTACCTACAAGGATCGAGCTACTTATTCAAGCGCTCCTAATGAAAGTTGTATAGTGTATGATCAAATAAGTCATAGCCCAATAGCGGTCGGAGGCGCCGAGATACATCAACCATCTTCGCTTGAAATCGATTGCACTTCACTCCCTCGGAACTATCGCTTACCCGAATTCATATTATTTTTCGCGGATGGGCATACATCTTCAATTGAGGATATTGGCCGTTTTATGGCCCAATGAGGTAAAGCAGACTCCAACGCCCAAAAACTTCGGCTGTTAGTCCATTCCTTAACCTACAACATTATGTTAGTTCATCAATCTCTTACCAAATTCGGTTTGAGATTGGCCCAACATGGAAAAATTCTTTTATGAATACTTTTACCAAACAAACTGGGAGATTATCGTGGTCAAACTTGCAAGGATGAGCCAAATGTCGGCGAATCTCTTCGTGATTAACTATAATGGTTCAATAAGTGTAGGAATTGGTGGCAAACCAATCTGCCTGAGTAGGAATTCGTCAAGATGGCGAAAAAAGGTTTGGAGTTCAAATACCTGAAGAGTTATGGGTCCAAAGGTCCTCGCATCACAACATTGACCCCTTAATCTCAAGAAAATAGCAACATTATAGGAAAATCATCAACTCATTACAGAAATGAGGAAAGTTAGTTAGCATGATATTCCCCATGTTCAGGAGTTTGAGCCCCCTACTCCTATTATCACGGCTTTGTCTAAATAATAAATCAAGAAACCCCTATGTCACTCCTAGGAATAAATTTTACATACTCCATGTTCATCTCAAACAGTTTAATTATGCATGTTAATTAGATAATCACTACTTTTAATACAATTCTAACACTCTTTCATAATGTTGCAATTTCATGAGGATGTCTGGCTTCTCATTCTCAATAATATTTTTATACTTATACTTTCAAGATTCACAATGCCTTGCCGTTTCAATAAATTCTACTATAAATTACCATGACTCAAATTAATCTCTTACCTCTGTTTCTAGTCTATGCTCTGCTTCCCCACTAAGCTGTGCCTCCAACTGAAGAACGTGTGCATCATAAGTGTTGGAAGATAGGCACCTTGAGGGAGTAAAGAGCTCTTGTGTTCGTGCAATTCTATGAGGATGTTTGGCTTCTCATTCTCAATAATATTTTTATACTTATATTTTCCAGATTCACAATGCCTTGCCGTTTCAATAAATTCTACTGCAAATTACCATGACTCAAATTAATCTCTTACCTCTGTTTCCAATCTATGCTTTGCTTCCCCACTAAGTTGTGCCTCCAACTGAAGAAGAACGTGTGCATCATAACCATCGCAATTTTCTCCCAAGATTGAAAACCTAAATGTGTAGATCATTAAATCCACACAAATACCTAAAAACATAAGTTAAAAACATATAACATTAACAGAAGAAACTCACGATTCAATTATGTTTTGCATGATATGAAATTCTAGGGCTCTGTAGAAGTTGTAGGTCTCCAATGGCAAGCTGACAGTATATATTTTCAAAGAAGATGAAAAGTATATGGCAGAGAGGAAGTAAAACTCCGTGTCTTTCACCAATTTGTGAATTACATTTGCATTTGAAATTTGTTTCTCTGTGAGCTCGAATTATCTAGCTCATGACACAAAATGGTCATCTTGGCTTTCAAAATAAAATATTGTCTACTTTCCATTAGCTTATATACATCACCATACATGTAGCAAACTCCCACAATACGCCCACATTGGGCCACATCATAAGTGTTGGAAGATGGATACCTTGAGGGAGTAAGGAACTATTATGTTCGTGCAATTCTATGAGGATGTCTGGCTTCTCATTCTCAATAATATTTTTATACTTATACTTTCTAGATTCACAATGCCCTGCCATCTCAATAAATTCTACTGTAAAAGACAATGACTCCAATTAATCTATTACCTATGTTTCCAATCTATGCTTTGCTTCCCCACTAAGTTGTGCCTCCAACTGAAGAAGAATGTGTGTATGATAATCATCGCAATTTTCTCCCAGGATTGAAACCTAAATATGTAGATCATTAAATCCACATAAATACCTAAAAACAGAAGTTAAAAACATATAATATTAACAGAAGAAACTTACGATTCAATTTTGTTTTGCATGATATGAAATTCTAGGGCTCTGTAGAAGTTGTAGGTCTCCAATGGCAAGCTGACAGTATACATTTTCAATGAAGATGAAAAGTATATGGCAGAGAGAAAGTAGAACTCAGTGTCTTTCACCAATTTGTGAATTACATTTGCATTTGCAATTTGTTCCTTTGTGAACTCAAATTGTCTAGCTCATGACCAAAAATGGTCATCTTGGCTCTCAAAATAAAATATTAAGTCTCCTTTCCATTAGCTTATATACATCACCATACATGTAGCAAACTCCCACAATACACCCACATTGGGCTGCATCATAAGTGTTGGAAGATGGAAACATTGAGGGAGTAAGGAACTCTTGTGTTCGTGCAATTCTATGAGGATGTCTGGCTTCTCATCCTCAATAATATTTTTATACTTATACCTTCTAGATTCACAATGCCCTTCCGTTTCAATAAATTATATTGTAAAATCCAATGACTTAAATTAATCTATTACCTATGTTTCCAATCTATGCTTTGCTTCTCCACTAAGTTGTGCCTCCAATTGAAGAAGAATATGTGCATGATAACCATCGCAATTTTCTTCCATGATTGAAAACCTAAATATGCAGATCATTATATCTACACAAATACCTAAAAACAGAAGTTAAAAACATATAACATTAAGAGAAGAAACTTACGATTCAATTATGTTTTGCATGATATGAAATTCTAGGGCTCTGTAGAAGTTGTAGGACTCCAATGGCAAGCTGACCGTATACATTTTCAATGAAGATGAAAAGTATATGGCAGAGAGGGAAGTAGAACTCAGTGTCTTTCACCAATTTGTGAATTACATTTGCATTTGTAATTTGTTTCTCTGTGAGCTCGAATTGTCTAGCTCATGACCAAAAATGGTCATCTTGGCTCTCAAAACAAAATACTCAGTCTATTTTCTGTTAGCTTATATACATCACCATACATGTAGCAAACTCCCATAATCACATTGGGCCGCATCATAAGTGTTGGAAGATGGATACCTTGAGGGAGTAAGGAACTCTTGTGTTCGTGTAATTATATGAGGATGTTTGGCTTCTCATTCTCAATAATATTCTTATACTTATACTTTCCATATTCACAATGTTTTGCCGTTTCAATAAATTCTACTGTAAAATACAATGACTCAAATTAATCTATTACCTATGTTTCCAATCTATGTTTTGCTTCCCCACTAAGTTGTGCCTCCAACTGAAGAAGAATGTGTGCATGATAACCATCGCAATTTTCTCCTAGGATTGAAAACCTAAATATGTAGATCATTAAATCCACACAAATACCTAAAAACATAAGTTAAAAACATATAACATTAATAGAAGAAACTCACGATTCAATTATGTTTTGCATGATATGAAATTCTAGGGCTATGTAGAAGTTGTAGGTCTCCAATGGCAAGCTGGTAGTATACATTTTCAATGAAAATGAAGAGTAGATGGCAGAGAGGAAGTAGAACTTAGTGTCTTTCACCAATTTGTGAATTACATTTGCATTTGCAATTTGTTCCTCTGTGAGCTCGAATTGTCTAGCTCGTGACTAAAATGGTCATCTTGGCTCTCAAAATAAAATATTCAGTCTCCTTTCCATTAGCTTATATGCATCATCGTACAAGTAGCAAACTCCCACAATACGCCCACATTGGGCCGCAACCCAAAACGAAAACGGCCAAGAAAACAGGAAATTGAAAACTTCTAAGGCACAGCTGCCGCCACTGCAAGAAACAAGAAGCGACAAACGGACAAGGAGAGATGGTTTGTAACGTTTCCCATGGCCAACTCTGATAGGTCCGCCCTTCCTCTCAATGACCAAACTCCTCCCAATACCTACAACACCAATGACCAAAATCCTCTGTCCATCATCAACAACCAAACCCATCAACCTCCACTTGTTGTTTCCACCATCATTACCATCAAATTGACTCACTCCAACTACCCATTGTGGTTGGTTCAAATTTCTCCAATTCTTCATAGTCATGATTTTTTTGGGTACGTTGATGGCACAATCCTTTGTCCTCCCAAATTCCTTCCTGGTACTGCCGAAAGTGTCGTCAACCCTTCTTATCTCTCTTGGGTCCAGCAAGACCAGAGAATATTGAGTTAGATAAACAACTCACTCGGCCTTTCAAGTCACTGTTAGGGCTGCATATGCCAGGGACACTCCAATTACGTATGAGGCCTTGGAGGCTCTCTTACTCGATGCTGAGTGTCGTCAAGGTGAACATGCACAACCACAAGTTGATCCGACCATAGGAGTTTTTGCATTTGCTGCTGCTCATGGTCGTGGAGGTCGAGGAAAATCGTTTGGGAGAGGTTTTACCCCAAACCGCAATAGCAGTCCCAATTCTGGTGGCCGAGGTCAATTCCGACCAAATTTTAATTTTCAGTGTAATGGTACTTCTGGTGATGCTTTCTCTTATACTGTTTCATACAGTCGCTGTCAGATTTGTGGAAATAATAGGCATCAGGCCCTTGATTGTTTTACCCACATGAACATGACCTATGAGGGTAGGGTTCATACTCGTTGTCTCTCTGCTATGGCATCTCAGTCCAACACCAACCCTTACCCAAATGCCAACACTTGGTTGATTGACACAGGTGCAAACTCTCATATTACTTCTGATCTTAGCACCTTGAACAACCCTCAAAAGTACAATGGTAATAATCAAGTGGGAGGCATAGGTAGTGATTCTAGACTTACTATTACTCATACTGGGACTGTTGATTTTCATACACCTTCCTCTAACTTTCAATTAAATAATGTTTTGCGATGTCCTACAGCTTCTTCCAGTTTACTTTCTATTCATCAATTTACTATAGATAACAATTGCTGCTTTCTCATTTATGTTGATTTCTTTATGATAAAGGACTTCAAAACCTAGAGGACACTTTTCTGAGGGAGATGTGAAAATGGGCTCTATCCGCTACGCTCTAGACCACCTTTATCATTTCAAGATTTGGCGGCATCCATTGGCACTCGTGTTTATGCTCAAACTTGGCACTCATGCTTGGGGCATCCTGTAGTACCAATAATCAAATTTTTAATTTAGAATAAGAAAATACCTTATTGTGGGTCTTCTTAGTTTGCTTTTTGCCATTCTTGTCTGTTAGCAAAAAGTTCTAAATTACCATTTCATACTCCATCGTCTTAGTCTGAATTTCCTTTGCAACTTGTACACTTTGATGTATGGAGTTCTCCTATTAGTTCAATCAATAGATTTTGATATTATCTTATGTTTGTTGATGATTTTTCACGATACACATGGCTTTATCCAATGAAAAATAAATATGAGGTTCATGGTATTTTTGTTCAGTTTAAAACATATGTTGAAAATTTGCTTTCTTCCAAAATCAAGTCTTTGTAGTTTGATGAAGGAGGGTAATACACTAAAACAGCTTTAAAACAGTTCAACGCTTCTCATGGCATTCATCAACGCTTCTCATGTCCTAAGCATCCGGAACATAATGGGTTAACAGAGCGAAAACACCATCATCTAGTTGAATCTTTTAACTCACTCACATATGCCTTTAAAATATTGGGTAGAGGCTTTTAAGACTTCTGTTTATCTCATAAATTGTTTGCCAACACGAGTCTTAGAACAAAAATCTCCTTATGAGAAGTTATTCCACACCTTTCCGAATTATGATTTCATTCGAGTTTTTGGGTGTACTTGTTTCCCTCTTATGTGTCCATATAACAAAAACAAACTTGAAGCTTGCTCTAAGTCTTGTGTGTTCATGGGATATTCATTAAATCATCTTGGTTATCAATGTTTTGACCTCAGTACAGGACGAACTTACATATTAAGACATGTGTTGTTTGATGAAGAGACATTTCCATTCAAAATTCTCACATCTACTCGGCATAACAGTCTTTCAAACCCAGGTGACTCTTCTCCATCTCTCAGTTTTGCATTTTCTGTTTTATCTAATCCTAATGTTCTAGCACTAAATTCTACTTCGCAGCCTCATATAAGCCCAAAATAGTGAGCCCATTCTGTTAACAGCCACAACTTCCAATTTGCAGCCCACTTCTCAGCTTCACAACTTAGCAATACCTCCTTTACCCTCATCAAAAATGCCTCATACACCAGAACTAGCTTTCACCGTCTCAAATACCTCTACTCTAAACACTACTGTGCAATCCCTTGGTCCCATCATTGAACCACAACCGATCTCAGTTTTTCATTCAGTAGTTCCAAGTTGTATTGATGCAAGCAATTATGAAGAAGCTCTACCAATGTGCATGGTTACTCGATCACAAACTGACCATCTAAAACCAAATCCCAAATATGCGATGCATTTAGTGGTTGATGTCTCTGAGGTTGAATCCACATGTTTTAGCAAAGCAGTGAAGCAAGAGGCATGGCGTTAGGCCATGGCTACAGAATTTAGTGCCCTCCAGCGTTGCGGAACTTGGGTATTGGTTCCAACTACTTCTCACATGAATATCTTACCCAATTAATGGGTGTACAAGATAAAGAGGAAATTTGATGGTTCGATTGAGAGGTTTAAAGCTCGTTTGGTTGCTAATGAGTTCCATCAACAAGAGGGTCTCGATTATACAAAGACTTTCAGTCCTGTGGTAAAGCATACAACCATTCGGATGGTTCTGAGTCTGGCAATTTCGAATAAGTGGTCGGTACGACAATTAGACGTATAAAATGCTTTTCTTCATGGTTTTTTAAGTGAAGATGTTTTCATGCGGCAGTCGCAGGGATTTGTTGATCCACAATATCCAAATCATGTTTGCATATTGCAGAGGTCTCTATACGGGCTTAAACAAGCTCTAAGAGCTTGGTTTCAGAGGTTTAGTGACTACTTGCTTGTTCTTGGCTTTCAAAAGTCTAAATGTGATTATTCTCTATTTATATATAATCATGATGGTGTTTATTTGGTGCTGCTAATCTACGTTGATGATATTTTGTTAACTGGAAATAGTTTGCCTCAGATTATGAACTTAATTCAGACTTTGGGTAAGCTATTCTCCATGAAGGACCTTGGGCCCCTTAATTACTTTTTGGGAATTGAAGTTACTTATAATGGTGATTGTGTTCACTTGACACAAGCTAAGTATGCAACTGATTATTGGTACGCACTGGATTTACATATTGTAAGCCTTTGTCCACTCCATGTGCCTCTGGTCAAAAGTTGAGTATGCATTATGGTGAACCTCTTTGTGATCGTACTGAGTACAGGCAAGTTGTTGGTGCTTGCAGTATTTAACAATTACCCGACCTGATCTTTCCTACTATGTCAATCAAGTATGCCAATTTATGCATTCTCCAACCACAACTCACGGGCAAGAGGTAAAGCGCATTCTCAGGTATCTGAAATTCACTTTTGATCATGGTTTATAGTATAAACCAGGTCCGGTGCAATTGAGTGCTTATTTTGATGCTGATTACGCTAGAGATCCTGATTCACGGCATTCTACTGGTGGCTATTTCATTTTCTTAGGCTTCAATCTTATTTCATGGAGCTCAAAGAAGCAGAAGACTGTTTCTAGATCAAGTATAGAAGCCGAATATCGTCAGCTTGCATATACAGTCGCATAATTATCATGGTTGCGTTCCTTGTTTCATGATTTGTCTCTTTTGTTGCCACCACCAATTATCTAGTGTAACAATGTTTCTTCTATCTCATTGGCGTCCAATCCGGTTTTTCATTCACGAACGAAACATTTGGAGGTTGATTATCATTATGTTAGGGAAAAGTAGTGAGGGGTGAGCTGGTTGTAAACTATATTTGTTCTCAAGACCATACTGCAGATTTATTTACCAAAGGTCTTAGTTTGTCTTGTTTTCGTACATTGGTTCTCAAGCTACTTGTTCTTTAACGTTCACTCAGCTTGCGGGGGGATGTTAGACCAAGTCCAAGTCATGAGCAGATTGTTATTGATAAGTCAGTTGTGGATTTGAATTTGAATAGTTGATATGCTGATAATGTTATTTTATTATTGAGCTGATCCCTTGTTTATTGGAACAACTCTTGTATTTTGAATTGTAAGTTATCAATACAATAATATAAATATGTGCTTACACCAGAGTTACTGGGGTAGCCTTTTCTCCCATTTCCTAAGTCTTTCAGTATTGCCTTACCTTTTTTCCCTTCCAAACATTTAAGTAAATGTCTTGTCTTTTTACTTTAATTTGTTTTTATATTACCCCATTTACTTAAGTTTACAATGTAAATAAGGAAGTACCCCCCATTTGAATTCAATTAAAAATACTAGAAAATCAAATTCCCAAAAAATCAAAATATGGAAATCCAATTTTAGAGTATGAAAATCCATACTTAAATTGTATCTTATACTAAAATTGGATTTTCATATTTTGATTTGTTGTGAATTTTATTTTCTAGTATTTTTATTTGAATCCAAATAGGGAGTACTTCCTTATTTACATTGTCTTAAATAAATGGAGTACTATAAAAACAAATTAAACTAAAAGACAAGACATTTACTTAAATGTTTAGAATGGAAAAAAGGCAATATAAGGAAAAACCAAAACCGAAACAAGGTAACCACAAGGTGTGGTATGGTTGGCACCTCCAGTTGTCAAACTGTTTGGTGTCTCAATAGCAGGGATTCGAAACCAGTAGCAAACTTTATGGCCAGAGGGTTTGGCCAAAAATAAAACAAGGTAACCACAAGATGTCGTGCTGTTAGAAAACTACCACCTCCAGCTGGCGAACTATTTAGTGCCTCAATCGTAAAGGTTCGAAACCATTTGGGAGCACTTTGTGGCCAAGGCAAGCCGAACCCCAAGCGGGGATTAATCCTACCCTTCGAGTGTGGGGACAACTCGTGATATTTACCAAAAAAACAAAAATAAAATGAACTAGGTTGGGGCGGGTCCATGAGCTGGCCTTGTTGGACTGAGTCGAGAGCGAATCGGAGGTTTTAAAACATAATTCCAATTCGTACCCAATCTTAAAACAAACTAGGCTGAATGAGCCTAAACATCATATCAAACCGAGCTATCCACTTTGACCCGCGGGCCGCTAGCCATATGATGACCTCTAAGTTCTATTGCTTAAATATATCACATTTGTTGGGTTACATATAGACGAAAAGGTCAAAAGGGTTTTATTAGTTACAGGTATGTTATACTCTATATTTTAACCCATACTTGTTATACTTTATACTAATTAGTGAAACCTATGAGGGAAAATTTCATATCTTTGGTTGAGCTTGGGAAAATTTTTTCCCCCACCTAAGAAAGTATTTAATGTAACTTTTTAGGATTAGCTTACCCTTGTTATAATTCTCTAATACCACTTTTGATCTTTTTGGAAAAACTTTTCTTATTCTTTTTTCTTTAACCTACGATTTTTCAAAGGTTACATTTGGTGATCTTTAGAGCATCTCCAAAGGAGATGTCAAATGGAAAATGTGGAATTTGAATTTGAAGTCTTATGTGTTAATTTGACACTTCATGAAAAAATTTAACTACATTCGAAATGCCAAATATCATATTATTTTATTTTATTTTAACAAACAAATGGGGCTCATTTGATGCATAAAGTTTTAAAAGAGAGTGAATAATGGAGTCCATGACTAAAAAATATATTTAAAAAATATTTGACATCAAACTTTTTGATATGTTATTTCTGACATATATCTATTCCAGCCCTCAAATTCATGTATGATTTGACCATTCGATTAGAGCAACTTTAACATTTAATTTTTGTTATTTTATATCCATGTGACAATTTTACATATTGATTGAAGATAGGTTACATTTGCAACTTTATTAGCTTGCTTATTGGTCTGACACAAAACTGGCTGCTCAAAGTCAAAGGAATATGGCTGGTGGGTTTTTTTTTTTTTTTTTTTTTTGTTTGTAACCAAGAGGATCCCCAGTGGCATGGAAATAGACAAATAAAATGCAATAGTGTTGGCTCCATTGAAGAGAAGCAAACTACCGACACTCAAAATGTTGTTGTACTTACAAATGGATCTTCATATGGAGGGCAGGAGAGGCCCCTGAAAATAATCAAGCATGCCGTTTATGTTGGCAACCACTCCCATGAGGTTACAAAAGCTTAACTAAGGCAAATTAGTTTATTTTCTTCTTTTTTTTAAGGAATATTTCATTGGATCTGATCTTTTTTATGTAATGTAAGAGAAAAAAATTGTTAAAGCATTAATAAATTTTAATTAAAAATGGGAATGGAAACTAATTAGTGCTTTACCAATTTTTTATTCCCCTAACTATAAGAAAGAGGAGATCATATGAAAATGTAACCAATTCTTTCCTTTCCTTGAGTCATTGGCCATGATCAGCCGGGAGTTTCGGGTTTAATACTTATATTTTAGCAACAAATCCAATAAATGTAGGCGTGGTGCTTGGTGTGTTGATTTTTTTTCCGGAAAGGAAGTGTGTGCGAGTTGTTTATTTCAAGAATAACAAATTATACATGGGAATGGAAAAAAAAATGGTCTTTCCCAATCCTCATTTCCTAGCATTCCCAAACTTGGAAATGAACATCCTCCATTCCCATCTTCTGAAATTAGACATGGAAGTTCATTCCCAAGAAGTTCAATAAAATTCCCCTTCAAATCCTTTTGGTTAGAATTAAAGAGTTTTAATTACTCCAACATTATGGATTTAAATTGTCATGATTCATGTCCAGGTTCTTGTAGATTGCAGCGGAGATCACATACCAAACAAACAATATCGGTGCAATGCAACATTGGTTTTGACTATTTATCTTCAAGATTCATCCAAATTTTAAAGCGTATTTTACCTTTTCTTCTTTTTTTTTTTTTTTTTTTTTTTTTTTTTTTTTTTTAATCTTCTTCGAATCTTCCAACTTTCAACCCTTCAAACTTAAAACAACCAAATAAAGCTTTCTGTTGAGTTGGGCCAATTTGTATGAGTGCACCTAGTATTCCTGTCCCACCTCCACCTGGTTCTCAGTTTGCACCCATGCAAGCTTATATCCCCCTTCCTGTTCCTCCACCTGCAATACAAATGATGCCACCACCACCACCACCACCTCCACCTCCACCTCAGAGAGCCCCTTCTCCGCTTCCAGAAGAACTTGCACCAAAGCGCCAGGAAGCTTGATGATTCTATGCTTATTCCAGAAGATCAGTTTCTGGCACAGCAGCCAGTGTAGGGACCTGTTCGCATCACAATATCCGTCCCCAATGTTGATGAAGGTAATCGGAAGGGACAAGTGTTGGAGATTAAAGTGCAGTCTTTATCCGAAACTGTTGGGAGTCTCAAAGAAAAAATTTCTGGGGAGATCCAGCTTCCTGCAAACAAGCAGAAACTGAGTGGAAAAGCTGGTTTTCTCAAGGACAATATGTCGCTTGCATATTCCAATGTTGGAGCAGGAGAAACACTAACTCTTTCATTAAGAGAGCGCGGTGGAAGAAAGAGATGAACAGATTATCTGACCAGGACGATTAAGGTTCTTGGTGGAATTTACTTGTTACCATGAGAATATATGCAATATATCATGTAGGATTTTCTGAACATAATATTATTTATTTCGAGTTATTTTCAATGCAAATTTTGTTGATGAAATATTTTGCTCTTGGTGAATACTTGATATCATACAAAGTATTTGATAGATGTTCCAAATTCATGTCGATGCTTCTAGCTCTTATACAAATTAACAAATAAAAACATGCACTTTATTCTTGTGTTCGTCATTGGATAATTCCCACTTATTTTCACATATTAGCTTACTAATTTCTTTTCCATTCAAGTAGTTATGTGCTGATTCTTAATTTGATTTGAATTTGATGGGGCAGGTTCTTCTCTAACACATGGAGTGAGCAAAGATGATAATAACAAACTTGGGGTGGGCGGTGGGCACACCATTCCCAGGGATTAGCCCAGGGGGCTTTGAACAATGTAGACCTTTATGTCAAGTTTCATACTCTCCAAAACCCATGGCAATTTTGGATAGTTATGCTGAAAAATAATGGAAAAAGGCACCTCCTTTCAGTCCAGGAAAGTTTCCTTGCGTTGGGAGTTGCTGCGTACTTTCCAAATTCTTCTTTCTTTCTCAGCTAATCCTATCTTCTCTTTTCCTCTCCCCCTCTCTTTCTCCCTACTTCCTTAACTAGTCCTTACAATTAAATTTTCTAGTCATCATTACCATTTGTCTCACATATACTGGACTTCATGTGCCAAGTTTTAATATCTTGTATTTTTGAAAACTCATGTTTTTTTTTAAAGAATCATACTTTTTGAATTTATTTTTTTGAGTAGGATACCAGTGATGTCTATGATGGGATTGTTGCGTTTCTTTGATGTTCGGGTGTTCTATGTTGTATGGTTTTCAGAATGAGATGGGAATGTTGTTTGTATATTTGGTTCTTTTATTTCCGACGTGGAATAATACTCTCGTGCATATTTGCTTTTGATTTGCTCAATATGGATTTTGTAAATTAAAAAAAATGATACCCATTAGTATACTTCCTATATCTATTCACTGAAAACCCAATGGCTCCTGTCTGTTCGTTCTAGAATTATTTCTAAGCATACGGCTGAAAATTAAGTAAATTTTTTCCCAGTATTTGTATCTATCTATATATATAAAACAAAAGGCAGAAAATGATGAAACATTCAAAATACTAGAAAATACCATTGGTTAATTCAAACATTAAGCATTGAAATTATTAATTAAATGATGATAATATAGTAAATACACAGTTTTTTTTCATATTGAAAAAAATTAAAATTTAAAACAAAATCATATAATAAGTCCTACTTTTATGGAACATAACTACTCATGTTATCTTTTCTTAATTCTAAAAATAAAATAAAAAATAAAAAATAAAACCAATTGGCAAGTATTGAAAAAGTATCTTTGATACTCTTTTTGATTACAAATCTAAAGAATATCATTGAGACAAAAAAAAAACTGCTTTCAATTCACACTTTTACAAAAGTGAAGGCTAAGTTCTAAGGCATAATATTTCAACTTACGTATATGCTTTTCTTAGGTTGTTTTGAGTGTAAGTTGTGCTTTTCCTCAAAAGAAAAGGAGCAAAACAGATTGATTAGCTTGGACGAATTGCGATATCATCTTGAACTATCTCTAACTATTGAAGTTCTTTTACAGAATGGAAACTCCCATGATTTACTCTCGTCGGTGTGCATAATGTCTCAATGTAAAAGCTGCATTAAATGCCCAAAAATCACATATTTCAAATAACTCAGGGTCTTAAGTTCAATTTCTTCCTCTCCCAATATTATTTGTTTCAAAAATAAATTGGGTTCATCAATGAGGGGAATTTTGGAAATTGTATCCACTATTTAAGCAAATTTAGACTTTTAGCATTTTTTTTTCTTTTCCTCTTAGGATTTTGAAATCTACCCATTCAAGGTCTCTTAACGCTATAACCCACTTGAGTAGTTCTAGAATCTTACTCGTGTATGCTCGAGGCTCCCTCAAGTGGTTAAAATGTTGGAAGCCTAAAAAATAAGTGGCTAAAAAGCTTTAGAGCATTTAAAAGTTGACTATTTTTCAAAAAATTTCATCATCCTTTGTTTTTCTTTGAAGTATAAATGATAGTCTACATTACAGATGAGAGAGATTTCTCACACTTACAGAATGATAATGTCATGGGGATTCGAACCTGAGACATATAATCTACAATTTAAGGCTTTTTTTTATTGGACTAAATTAGATCTCGTGAGGTTTTTTCCTTCTTCCTAAAATTGAAAGAGAGGATATCGGGTCGGATATTTTAGAATGCCAGAGTCCGGCCCAGGAGGTTTTGAAATTTCGCATCGTTCTATGCTGGCTAGCACCGGACCAACTTTTGTGCATTTAAAATGTAACCGTTCAGTTAGGCCTTGTCCAATTTACTATTAAGTTCTAGTGGGTACAGGAATTAACAGGGGCATAATAGTCGTTTCACATATCTATCATGTGGAAGGCGCTGCGCGTCTCTCTGTCTATATATACAGCTTACACGCCCTTAGCTTTACAATTTTGGTCAGAAACGCTGTCATCTTCCTTTGAAGTTTCCCAAGTCTCTCAACAAGAAAGACCCTCCGGTAAAATTCTTAACCCTATAAATCTGTACAGTTTGCAGCGATCTGGTTCTTCGATGATGATTTTTAGATCGTAACTCTTTCTGGATCTTGATCGATTCGTTGTTTGGCTTCGAAACACTGGAAAGTTTGAATTTTTAGCGTCAAGATTGTCAATTCTTGTAATTGATCTCTCTCTTTTTTTTTTTGTTCTTCTAAATTTTATATTGCTAGTTTGTTTTGTTTGGATTCATAGATTTAGAGAACATGGTGCGTTTTTTTCACTTTAGATATATAATGGTCAACGATATATATTGAATGGCCAACGGGTGGCTTTGAGGGTAAGGATATTGCGTATTACAAATTCATCTTGAAGATAGAAAAGAAAAATTAGTAATTTCATAGGAAGTCTAGGAATTGAACTAAAACTACAAGCTAGGTTGAGTTTCTTTGGCATCTTTTCATAATTTTTTTTTACCAAGTATGTGGCTAAGTGGTATATGTAGGATTGTGGTTGATGGGCATATTTGCTTGAAATTGTTTGTGTAGATATGTACTTGGTTTGTAGTTAAACCTAGATAAATTTTAGACATTTAGGATTGATCGGTTATGCAATCCATAGTGCTAGTTTGTACCAGATTGATTGATTATTTGTTATGTAGAGTCGATTTGTATGTGTTTGCTTATTGAGATATAGAGATTAAGGACCCATGTAGTCCTGTCAAAAAGGCAGAGGACCATGCTCCATGAGATTCGCACGTATATATCCATATTGTGTGACACTAAAAGCTGAAATCCAGTTGAAGTCTTTAAATATGTGTGTATATTAGCACATAAATGCTGGAAATTATTATTATTTTATTAAGAGTTTTGTGATAAGCATATAGATGATATAGTTTGTTAAAATTTATTTGAATCCTATGGGATATTTAGGACGATATTCAGGAACTATTCTCTAGCTGTTACTCTTGATATTCCTAATAAAGGCCTTTCTACCTTTGTCATCTGACTAGAATCTAGCTCCCACATAGCTCAATCTTTGTTTATGGGTAAACCCCAACTGAGAATTTGAGTAACCATTGATTACTTAACAGTATTAGGCTTTTAGATGATTGAAAGGCTTAAAGTAGTTTATGTTTCATATCTATAGGAAAGGGATTTTAGCTACAATTTTCTTTATAGAGCCTGTATTAGTTTATCACACCCAAGTGATGTTAAACATATGTATTAGAGGGATAATGATGTTGCAAAAACATTAGTGTTGGTAAAGGTTTAACGATGTTGGAATGCAACAGTAGGAGTTTATGGCACGTGCGTCTGGAGGTCGGGGTTATGTTGCCCCATTGTGGCCTGGAGGTCATGGACTCATGGGTTTCAAACGAGAAACAGTGTCTCCGCAAGCTTTGGTAGGCTGCGTGCATTTGACCCCCATCAGACCCTGCAATGGCAGTACCTTGGTGCAGTGTGCTGCACATTTTGTGCAGGTTTCTTGGAACTACCTAGTAATGATTAATTGGTGTTCATGATTAAGGTTTTGCTTTCTATTGTGGTGTTGAAGTTATAATAAAGGTGTGGACAGAGATTTGTAATAGGTCTGTTGTCTGGTTATGCTCAAATGTTTTGTATCAGTATTTTGTGGCATATCAATTATGATTATCCCTGCACTTTGAAACCGAGATATATAATCATGTGCATGCACACAAGCGCACATCTATTATCACACCCAAAATATAGCACTTTGTTCTGTTGAAGTATGGTAAATTCTGGGTTTCCTAATGCGCAGTCTCATTTCTTTTCGCTCTTTCATAACATACATGATAGAGTTATTTCCAAAGTTTTATTTGGTTATACTTGTGCTTACTAATGTTATGTGTTGAAAATAGTAGGTTTTAGTATTCTGTGGTGGCATCTTAACTTCAAAAATGCCTAAGGTTAGAAGAGCTAGTTCCTTGTCTCTTGATCGATCTAGGGCTTCTCCTTATCCTTGCACCTCTGATGATTCTGAGCCATACAACCTGAAAAATCCCTTGGAAAGCAAGGAGAATGTAAAAGAGTGGGAAGAAGCTAGGTGCCCCATCTGCATTGAACACCCACACAATGCTGTTCTTTTAAAGTGTTCCTCTCATGAGAAAGGCTGCAGGCCTTTCATGTGCAATACAAGCTACCGGCACTCAAATTGCCTTGACCAGTTTTGTAAGTCATCTCTGCCTTGCTGCTCTACCCCAATGTTGCAAGAACTTCCTCTCACAATCACAACCTCTCACAGTGCTAACGAGGAACAGTCGTCGCTTGGGCAAACCAGCCCCTGTGGGAGTCAATTGGAACCAAAGCCAGTTTGCCCTCTTTGTCGGGGAGAAATCTATGGATATGTTGTTGTTGAGGCTGCTCGTCACTACATGAATTGTAAAGTGAGGAATTGCTCTTCTGAGACATGTGACTTTAACGGGACTTATTCAGAACTGAGGAAGCATGCCAGGTCTCAACACCCTTCTGTCCGGCCATCAGAGGTGGATCCAAATCGACATAGCGATTGGGTAAGGTTGGAGCGTGAAAGGGACTTGGAAGATGTCCTTAGCTTGGTCCAACAAGGACCTGCAGAAGATATTGTTGATGAGGAATCCGGAGAGTTCAGTTCCTGGATGACTAACCTTTTCTCTGCTATGTTTCGTTCTCTTGAGGTCATGCTGGTTACTCGTTTGATGGATTCTTCTAGTGGCTCTTCAAGTGGCAGAGAGCAGACACATAACCGCAGATCAGGAAGAATGCCCAGGGCTCATTATGACAATGATTCCATTTCTGTGACAAGACGGAGCAACATTTTATCAGATAGTACATCTCGTCCCAGAGGTCTGCGTTGGCGAGCACCCAATAATGATGTGGAGATTAGTCGTGCTCCTAGATGGAGCCAAAATTCCTTGTCAGGTGAGAGTGGTCATGCTTCTAGATGGAGCAATAATTTCATATCAGAGCCTAATAGCCGTGCTCCTAGATGGAGCAACAACTCTTTATCAGACGAGACTAACCGGGCCCGTAGATGGGGCAACAACTCCTTATCAGAGGAGACCAGCCGTGCCCCTGGTTGGGGCAACAACTCCTTACCAGAGGAGGCTAGCCGTGCCCCCCCTAGATGGAGCAATACTTCTGTACCTGAAAATGCACCCCGTCCCAGGGGGCTGCGATGGCGAAATCAAAGATGGCCAACTTACAACAACAGGCGGTGACTGCAGCCCATTGTTGCTGAGAGTAGCTCACACAAAAGACTATTGTCAAGATTTTCTGTAAGTTTCTTTTTTAGCAGAATTATTGTCATTTTCCAATGTTGTCTTCCTCATCATTCTTCCCTTTTTACCTTTTCAGAGTACGTCTCTGATCAGGTTGCGAGCCATGACCAAGTGGAAGTATTGAATGACAAAAGCTTCAAGCTTCATTTTGTTGAAAAAGTATTGTAAGGAAGCATGAAGTTTTATTTTGTCCGGACAATGGACGGCTGCAGGAACTTTATTGTTTTTCTGAGCTTTCTTTTTTTGATTCATTGTTAGCTTATGTTAAGCATAGTTGAGTACTTTATAGATAATCGTTTTGGTTTATGAGGATGACTCTATTTCCTTTTGTACAAACCTTGTGGTTTTTACTATACATTAAATTTAGATAATTCAGATAAACATGTGCAGGTTTTTATCCATAATAATATGAATAATAAAAATGAACTTAGCATCCAAATCTCTACAGACAGGTTTTTGAATGACAACATAAAATATGGGAAAGGAATTGGGAAATTAATTGAGCAAATATGAGAAAACGTTTTTAAATTAAGGAGAAAATCACAAATATTTTTCAATGTGACGCAATTTCGAAACTCAATTTGGCACAATTACAAAAGTTAGATATGATAGAAACAAACTGTATGGACTGATATGATGAAGTAAATGTAAGATGAGTGTGTATATATATATAGTTTTCAAAGTTCTCCCTTTATTTTTTTTATTTTGACAAAGCGGTATTTTACACTAATTTAATGTACACGGAGGGAGAACGAACACACAGCTTTCACCAACTGCCCTAACCCACATTTGCGGTTCTCCTTCATTCTTAATTTGGGTAAAACTTCGAAGTAGCATTAACTTTCACCCCCAAAATAAAATTTCACTGAGAGGTATAATAATGTGTAACAAATTGGGTTCAAATAAATAGCCCACGCGGCCAGACCCAACAAAAACCGCAAACATTTCGAACTTTGTAGATCGAATCGACGGTGCCAAGTGTCACTCGCACTCGAACAAACGGACCGTTTCACTGGGTTCCTTCTTCCTTCTCTCCTCAGCCTGCTTGCGCGGTTCCACCTCTCCTCTTCTGCAGGTAAATCGATAAAGTTTCTGACATTGCTTCGGTTTCCGGCTAAGCAAGCACGGTTGCATATTAAGTTTTATGAAGAGGAATGAATGGTATTGTAGAAAGCTTTAAACTTAACATTATGCGACTGATGGCATGTTCTTGGCTCACAGAATGGCAAGGTCGCTTTCAAAGTTGCTCTGCAAGGGAATTTCATTTTCAGGCTCGGCTGCTCGTTCTGCCATAATTGTAAGACTTTTATCAGTTTTCCACATTTGGGTAGTTTTGCTAGTACTAGTAGACTAGTTGCACTTAATAGAAAGAAAAACTCAAGAGCGTTGAGAATGTAGTTCGAATGAAATTTTGATATTACCTGTGATGGGACATATGTTTCAGTGGGGAAATAGGTAATGGCATTATATATGTTTTCAGCATACTTATTGCTTGAGCATTGTTCTCTTGGTAGAAACTTTAAATCTCAAACACTGGTCTTGTGGATTTTTGTTACTGTTTGAATGTATGGTCTAGATTGAGAGTTTGATCACATGAAACATTAGGTAGTTTGGGAAGAGAATATTAACCCATATTACACATTCTGTATTTTTTCATTCTTGACTGGATCATGTGTGGCCATACGTACGTGTGTATTAATCCAGGCCATCTTTTGAATTTGTGCTTCATCTATACTTCACACTTACCAATGATAGCAGTTAATGTTTTTTTTTTCTTTAAACTGGTAGCAGGCTCCTGGATCCTTTTATATCAATGGAATGAGATACTCGACCACAGTGCCGAATGAGCCTGACACACATGATGATTTTAAGCCCACTAATAAGCTGGAGAATTCTGGCCTTACATTGAAGGACCTTGTTGAACAGGTAGAGATATGCCAACTGAATCTTCTTAATATAGCTCTTTATTTCCCCTTTGTCGTCCAGACCAAAGATCATTGTTCTTTGAGTTAAATGATTCTAATCCGCTTCTGTAGGATGTCAAGGACAATCCTGTAATGCTTTATATGAAAGGAGTGCCTGATCTTCCTCAATGTGGCTTCAGCTCACTTGCAGTAAGAGTGTTAAAACAATACAGTGAGTTCCGAGTCATTTCATACTCCAACTCTGATTTGTGGTTTTCTTGAGTTAATTTAGCAATAAAGTCTATGTATGTGCAAACACAAATAACTAAAATAAAACCATAGTGATATCCATAGTCTTCATGATTGTTCATATTTACCATCACAGTGAGGCGCTTTTAGTTAAATATAGCCATCTAAGTGGCTTGCCAATTTCGAACATATGCATACAGGTGCATATAATGTTTCCTGCATAATAGAGTATCAGTTTTCCATCTAAATATGTGATGCACCTAACTCAATCAGAAATATCAACACTGGCTAAAAAACACAACGGAACAATGAAGTATAATACTGTTTTGGGTGAAATGACTAACAGATTGCATTAGTTTGTCCATTCAAGTTTACTTCTTGGGTGAATTATGCTTATAACAAGCTCTTATTTGCTCTACGTTTAAAGTGTCACTGGAAATTTAACTCAATGGGCAGTTCAACTTGAAGGTATGAAAAAACTGGTCATATGTTTTTGGGACTGGGGAGTATAACTTACGGTTATGAAGAAACATTATTACTTCAAATTATCAAGTTACTAAATTGTGCTTGCAAGTGGTCTATTGTACTTCTGCTGAAACTTAACTTCTGATAATGATTATACATTGCTGCAAATTATTTTCTTATGATAATTCGGTACCTTTCAGATGTTCCTTTGGGTGCTAGGAATATCTTGGAAGATCCTGAACTGAAAAGTGCTGTAAAAGCCTTCAGGTAAGTTGATTCTTTGTGGTATATTAGTAACATCTACAAGTTTGAGACCAAAATTATTTCAAATTTTGTTGCTTATCCAGAGACAGAACTGTTGGTTTATGTTGGCCTCCCAAATTTTAAAGTATTTGATTTCGAGCTGATTTCTTAATCTTTCTTTTTCCCTATGAAGCCACTGGCCAACGTTTCCGCAGATATTCATCAAGGGGGAGTTCATTGGAGGGTCAGATATTATTCTCAATATGCATCAGGTTAGTCCTTATAAATTCAGTTATTCTTGTTTTAAGGCAATGCATAGCTTTAATGATGTGGTGTATCCTGTGTAGACTGGTGAGCTCAAGAAAAAGCTTCAGGATATTTCAGCCAATCAAAAGAAATCTGAATAAGTTGTTGAATTTGAAGTGCAGATGACATTTCATCCATGTGACATCAAGTTTAATAAGTGTCTCTTTCATCCGCAATGCATTACATAGTGTTCATGTGAGATTTGTTTTGATTGAATTTCTCTATTCATTTAGGGGTGTGCCTAAAATCCCCCTTTCACTATGGAGAAACAATTGGAATTGTGGACATTTTTTTTTGGAATAAAATCTGTTTTTTGTTTTGCTTTTTAAGAATTGGAAATAAACAGTTCAGCAGAATATATATCAATTAAAAATCGGTTCGTTGCTTTGGAAAAAACACTCCAGCAACTTCTGAAGGTGTGGATGGAATATGATGAAGCTGAATAGGCCAACACCTGTCTTTATTGGATTAAAGAATAACGTTTCAACACCTATCATTCCAAATCAAGACTATTGTAGAATGCAAAGCAATTGAACCAATTTCATTGATTTATATCATTCCAAACTCTACATAGACAAAAGCAGTGTGGGGAAAAGGAAAATCTCAACTTACATTTTCCCACTAGCTCCCCTTCTCACTCTAAGGTACACAAAACTGCAGGTTGCTATCTGATGATATGATAATTGCCTATCAGTCACACCATGATAATTTAAAGGACAAATATACTTTCCAACTATCAGAGAGACAACATGAACTAAGCTGCAAATACACCTGTGATAACTGGAAGACTTTGTTACATGGATTATATTTTAACCAACAAATTGCAGTTCTGGTCCATGATTCGCAAATTGTAGCGTAACTATTTTCCAACTTCTTGAGGAGGGTTCCAAACTGAGCAAGTTGATTTAACACATTGCAATGCAAAAAGTAATCTTTTACTCTGAAAAATTTGGCAAAGTTTGTAGCAGCATTGCCACGATTTTCATTTCCCTGAGCTTGCTGAACATAAATATCGAAGCATATATTCATTGGAAGAACATGTATCTGCCAAATCCCGATGTGTTCTGGTTATTGCCTTCTGCAAGGATTTTAAAGCAGGAAGCAGCTGCCGAAAATTTTGTTGAATAGAGTTACCATGAGCTTTGCAGAGCTCCTACAAGACAAACAATAGCAAACCATTGGTGAGATCTTCATACAGAAACAATGCTGCTGTAACAGGTATACAGAATCTAAACTGAGCAGAATTGGAAACTGTTAAAAATACCTGACACCACCGAAGTATGAACTCCAAATGTGGGCAACTCTCTAAAAGATCTGCAAATGCCTCAATTAACCTTTGCAAATATCTGTAAGGGATTGATGCGGCGACAGCAGGGATGTCTATTGGATTAACAGTGAAAATACATTTTTTAATTAGACTGTCTTCATTTAATCGTAGACTAAGGATCAAAGCTTTGCTCAATTGGTCTTCGTTGAGTGCTGCATCAACTGCCTGTAATGTAATCAGAATTAGTATGGAAAAAAAAAATTTGATTGTAGAAATGCTATCAAAAGAAAGAAAAAAATTGCCATTTTCTTAAATGAAGTTTCAATTTTTATCAGAAAAAAAAGAATATCAAAGTTCAAAAAGTTTGACATTTAATTGGAGCAATTGTGGTATTATGGTGCGGATACTGAGTGTAAAGAACAAAAAAATTCAAATGTTTACTGGGTCAACTGAGTAGAGGGCATTATTGAGCAAATTAAAGGTCTAAATAGAAATACCCTATAACTAAACAAAGACAAAAGGAAATTGATTAGTTGTCTTAATGTCATTTCAGTTATGCCCTATGCTACATTTGCAAGGGTAAAATGTTGATCGACTTTGTTTCTTTCAATATTTTAGTTCTATCATAAGCAATGACATTTGCATGAAGTTTGTAATATTCCAAAGTTTCACCAAGTACCTCAGGTGTGACATCTATGTCAAGATCAGTTGGGTCAAAGATAAAGGAATCATCAATTGAATAAACTAGAACCCCCTCCGTTGTTGCTGCTGAGAAACTCCGACCAGTGGGGGCGATTCTTAAGGATTTTGTTCTAACAATCGGCCTTCCACGGTTAGGCATGGATCCTGGTAAATCATAACCTAACTTTCCCCGGGTTTGTTTGTCAATACCTTCTTCTGTATCACTGTTATCATCATCAATTAAATCCAATGGGCCAGCATCTGTCATATTCTTTGAGTTTAAGAAGTCAAGCACTCCGTCCAAAGATAGATTGTGAGTTATTTGAAACCTCCGCAGCAATACCTGTGAAAATAAATTGGGAGTTTCACTAAAACACCCAAAATGGGGGCTGAAATTATAAAAAAACCCAACACTCAAAATACTTTATAAACACACCCAAAACCCATCATTATACACACTCAAAACCCATTTATAAATACACCCAAAAAATATACAATTGTTGATTTTAGGGTTGATTTTGGGTGTGTTTCTATGTTTAAATAGTGTTTGGGTTTTTTTTTATAAATACATGTCTAGGATTGGGTTTATTTATAAATTTGTAAAATAAATTCACTACATCAATACGCATACATAGAACATGTGAAGTTTGGAAATAAACAAGCAGAGGAGTTACGTTACTAGATTCGGAGAAAAGACCATGGAAGGCGGACTAATGCTATACATCCTAACTTTCCTTTTACCAACTTACATGGCATTCTCACATTGGATTCCACAAAATTGTTGTTTTTATCAATGCAATGATGTATGCGCCACATAGAATGGGAAAAACATTGGGAGAAAAAGTCAGGATAACTAGCATTTTCCTAAGGACAAATAAAGTGTAGAAAATTGATGTTGAAACAAGTTGACTGTAACAGCTTCTGGGAGAGATAAATTCTACCAAAGAACAAATGCATACACGATGTAGCATTCAAAAGCAAGAAACAAGCATAAGAAAGTATGAAAAAAGCAGGCTACTATTTCAAAAATGACATACGACGAGGGGCTTAAAAGTCATTTGGACCTTGAAAGCAATGGAGGTATTCTGGCAACCACTTCCTTTCATGGGGGCACTTGCCAAGAAGTGGAAAGTTGTGCAGCCCTAATCAATGTTTTTGTTACATGTTTGACCTTCTGAATATGCGACTTATAAGTGGAGAAATATATTCATTGGTACACTGGCCAAGGGGTGGGGAGTTGTACAGCTCTTATCAAAACTCTCATCACATGTTTGATCCTCTCTTCTGAACATCCAACTTGAACTTCAGAGAAATCCATTCAACTCTGTTCCACATTTGAAACATGTGTATTCCCCTCCCCTCCCCCCTCCCCTCTACCCTCTCCCCTCTCACTATTCTCAATATATCAGGTATGAGGTTCAAAGCCTTAAAAACTGCATAAAAAACACTATGCAGACCTGCTCTCCTCAATTTTCTGAATTTATTAACATCTAGTGTTTTCAACAGGCCTGATAAAATCTACAGTGTATTTTTCATTGAGCCACTCTAGACACCAATTTATAATCTATTCACCAAGATAAAATGAAAGAAGATTAAGAAGAAAGTGTAGATCAAAAGTAAGCTTATAAGAAATGGCTACATTTGAAATCCAGATAGAAATCATGGTGAGCCTTACATCCATGTGGTGAAAAGGTTGCATACGGACAGGGGAAGAAAATCACAACAAATAACCTACAAGCTTTCAATATATCATTTTGTTGGCTAAAGTCAATAAATTTAGTGTAAACAACAATTGCTTATGTAAGAATGGGTGAAAGCTTGTAATCCAACCATGAATGAACATATATCCCATGCTTTTCCATGCAGTTTCTTCAAAGAATAAAAAAGGAGCAAAAGATGTGTGCATATAAATCAATGTTAAGGTCTTGTTGTTCCAGCGGCAGAAAAGTTTGAGGTATGTTATAGAGTGAGAAGCAAGCTCTTCAAAGCTTGACCATGTAAGAAACTAACCTGATCCGCAACATCATACATGCAGATATATTTGCTACTTCCTCCAGCTAATATGTAACTCCCATCAGCTGAATAACATAAGGTTGTGAAGAATTTTCCTGAACTTGAGTTGGCAGCTGATCTACGATCTGTCATAAGACGACCTCCAGAAATATCCCTGCGACCCTCAATGGTATACATTAATAAACCATCAATTGGGTCCCAGAAATGAATTTGACCATCCAATGTGCTGCTAGCCAACTGCTTTCCATCTGGGCGGTACACCACTGTAAGAACATCATGCGTATGAGAAAATGTTTCAACTGCACCTTTTCCATCAAAAACATCCCACAACCGAACTGTTCTGTCCCATGATGATGAAGCTAGAATTGCCTACATGTGGAAGAAAAACAACAACTATCAAACCAAACATGTCAATAGACTTTTGGTTGAATACATGAAAAGATAAAAACAAAGTTTCTCTGAGCAACTTTGTGAGAGGACCTGAATGGTTAGAATATTTCAGCGGTTTGATCAAATCTAACCACTTTAAACAAATGGTCCAACTACTGAAATCTCCCAAGGGCTCATAGGCACTCAAAAAGAGTCACAGGTGAGCAGATTCAATTGAATGGTGGTGCATTACACCAAATACATAAGGAAAACGCCCCAAATCATAAATAGAAACCAACTTAATTTTACACAGTATAGGCATCTACAATAACCAGACTTAGGAATACAGGAGCATAGGCATCTATACTAAACAAGCAACCAACCAAATGTAATATGAGTAAACTCACATTTGTAGGAGAAAACATCAAACCATGAACAGGACCTTCATGACCACTAAGAATGTCCAACAAACGGCCTGTCTTCATCGACCAAACAAAGATCTAGAGTACAGAACATTAAGAAAAATCAGGGAACAGCAATTAAAATGAACCATTAAAGTAAAAAAAATATTTTAAAAAAAACTAGGAGAAAGGGGGAAAAACACCTCTAAGGAATCAAGAGTTCCAGCACAAATCACTTCACCGCTCTGATCTGCTGCCAGTGAAACAAATTGCCTAGATTCAGGGGTGGTAAATGTTCTAAAATTTCGGTAACGGAACAAATCCCATGCACGAACAGTCCCATCCAGAGATGCACTTAGGAGACTATGGC